CCCGATTAACTGAAGTGAAAAACAAACAATTTCAATTTACGGCAGCCCAGACAAGTACAGAATACTCTATGAAAGTATAGGGTCTCATTACTTAGCAACTCATTCAAAGACCAGACGTTTTAACGCAATGCATCACGAAAAGGGAGCCAGCGCATTTGTCCCAATATTACACGAAGAAGTGAAGCTAGTGGAGGGAAACAGATTTCTCAACAATTCATTTGGACTGCCAGGTGATTTCGCAGTCTTAAACAATGATATCCCATAAAAAATAGAGGAACACACCCAAACTTGGCAATTGGCAGCTCAGTAAAGTACACGAACGTTTCACATTAGCTTGACAATGAGACGTACCACTAATGTATTGTTCGACCCTACATTTCATGAAAAAAGGAGGGACACTCTGAATTTACGGCCGCTATCAGTGCCAGGCAATTTTCCAGTTACTTGAAAATGGCAGGGCCGTACATAGCGGGGGGGCGAAGGGGGCAGTTGCCCCCGCCAGGAAAACTAAATGTTTTTTTTCTAACATAGTGTCTGATTTTGCTGGGCTGTTTCTTGTAGCTATATTGGTCCGAAATCTCACGAAAACCGAGTTTGCCCCCGCAGACAAAAAATCCTAGGTACGGCCCTGAATGGGATCTACGTACCAAAAAGGCATCGTTGGCCCTATATTTTATGCAAAATGGAAGGAACAGCCTGTTTGTTCGCCAGGTCATCGAAGCGCCAGACTAACTGCCATAGACTAGTAAATAGGATCCAAATACAGTCGAACCTGTATATAACCAGTGTGTAACTGTCACCTTCGGGACTTGAGGAACTGGCCACTTAATACAGGATAAAAGAATACTCACCGGGCGTGTTTTAATGCCAAGGAAACAATACGACAATCAAAACTCTTTCAAGCGATCAATACTTGAAACAAAGTTCGGTGCCAACTGGTACCTTAACGGTATAAAATACGTAACATTATGTAAAAGTACTATGCAATAAATCTGAGGACATCTGAAAAGCGTTAATGATACTAAACGCCCGAGTATCAGCTTAGAGTACCTTTGTACCCCGGGATTGTACATGTTAGTTTTCTATAGTCATGATGGATCGCATTTTAAACACCATGAAATAATGCATAGAATGACATATCGCTTAGTGGCCGCCAAATACAGCTAAAAATAACAAAGAAAGACAAACATAGGACTACTACACAGACTACAGGGTGGCCGCATAATACAGGTAACAAATACAGGGTTTGTATGAGCGAAAAAGCAGGACTTTGAAAACTGGCGGCTTACTAGAGGGTGGACGCTTACATGGCCGTTAAATACAGGTTCGACTGTACCAAAAAATGCACTGCTGACCCAATCTTTCATGCAAACTGGAGGGAACGGCAAGATTTAACGGTAAAGCATCTATAGTACCCAAAATTGCACTGTTGAACCTATCTTTCATGGAGACTGGAAGGAACGGCCTGATTTTACGGCAAAGCATCTAAGTACCCAAAATTGCACTGCTGACCCTATGTATGATGCAAAGTGGAGGGAACGGCCCGATTTTCCGGCAGGGCATCTAAGTACTCAAAAATGCAGTGTTGACCCTGTCTTTTATGCAAACTAGAGTGAACGGCCAGATTTTACGGTAAAGCATCTAAGTGCCCAAAAATGCACTGTTGACCCTGTCTTTCATGGAAACTGAAAGGAACGGCCCGATTTTACGGCAAATCATCTAAGTACCCAAAAGTACACTGCTGGCCCTATCTTTCATGGAAACTACAGGCAACGGCCCGATTTTACGGCAAAGCATCTAAGTGCCTAAAAAGGTGCTGTTGACCCTGTCGTTCATGCAAGCGTAAGGGAACCCAAAAATGCACCTTTGATCCAACCTTTCATGGAAACTAGAGGGAACGACAAGATTTTACGGCAAAGCATCTAAGTGCCTATAATGCACTGTTGAGCAAACCTTTCATGGAAACTAGAGGAAACGGCCAGATTTTACGGCAAAGCATCTAAGTACCCAAAATTGCACTGCTGACCCTATGTATCATGCAAAGTGGAGGGAACGGCCCGATTTTACGGCAGGGCATCTAAGTACCCAAAAATGCAGTGTTGACCCTGTCTTTTATGCAAACTAGAGTGAACGGCCAGATTTTACGGTAAAGCATCTAAGTGCCCAAAAATGCACTGTTGACCCTGTCTTTCATGGAAACTGAAAGGAACGGCCCGATTTTACGGCAAATCATTTAAGTACCCAAAAGTACACTGCTGGCCCTATCTTTCATGGAAACTACAGGCAACGTTCCGATTTTACGGCAAAGCATCTAAGTGCCTAAAAAGGTGCTGTTGACCCTGTCGTTCATGCAAGCGTAAGGGAACCCAAAAATGCACCTTTGATCCAACCTTTCATGGAAACTAGAGGGAACGACAAGATTTTACGGCAAAGCATCTAAGTGCCTTTAATGCACTGTTGAGCAAACCTTTCATGGAAACTAGAGGAAACGGCCAGATTTTACGGCAAAGCATCTAAGTACCCAAAATTGCACTGCTGATCCTATCTTTCATGCAAAGTGGAGGGAACGGTCCGAATTTACGGCAGGGCATCTAAGTACCCAAATATGCACTGTTGACCCTGTCTTTTATGCAAACTGGAGGGAATGGCACGATTTTACGGCAGGGCATCTAAGTACCCAAAAATGCACTGTTGACCCTGTCTTTCATGGAAACTAGAGGGAATGACAAGATTTTACGGCAAAGCATCTAAGTGCCTTTAATGCACTGTTGAGCAAACCTTTCATGGAAACTAGAGGAAACGGCCAGATTTTACGGCAAAGCATCTAAGTACCCAAAATTGCACTGCTGATCCTATCTTTCATGCAAAGTGGAGGGAACGGCCCGAATTTACGGCAGGGCATCTAAGTACCCAAATATGCACTGTTGACCCTGTCTTTTATGCAAACTGGAGGGAATGGCACGATTTTACGGCAGGGCATCTAAGTACCCAAAAATGCACTGCTGGCCCTATCTTTCATGGAAACTACAGGAAACGGCCCGATTTTACGGCAAAGCATCCAAGTGCCCAAAAATGCGCTGTTGACCCTGTCGTTCATGCAAACGTAAGGGGACCCAAAAATGCACCTTTGATCAAACCTTTCGTGGCAAAGCATCTAAGTGCCTAAAATGCACTGTTGAGCAAACCTTTCATGGAAACTAGAGGGAACGGCCAGATTTTACGACAAAGCATTAAAGTGCCATAATGCAAAATGAAGGAAACAACCTGATTTAAATGCAAAATGGGATCGAAGTGCCCTAAATGCATTGTTGGCGGAAACAGCCCGATGTTACGGCAACCGTGGAAGTGCTAGCCTTTTTGCCGTGTATCGGAAAATAACCTGAAAAATCAAAGAGCACACTGGTTCAACATTCAATAAAAGAAATGATGTACACACAATTAAATCCCGACAAAAAGGTAATTTTTGTATATTTTCTCGGTTATCCGGTAAAAAAATGCTGTAACCACTCATTTGTTTACCAAGTCATTCAAAGTCATGACTTATCCTCATAGGTCACAAAATGCGATAACTAGTTAACGACGACCGATTTGATGGAAAACTTCCAATTTTTTCAAAAGAATGATATTTTCCCGTTTCAGTTGCTTAAATCAAGAAAGAAATAAATTCAATAAACAACTTTATTGAAGTTGTAATTGAGGGGTAATTTTTAAAGGGCTGCTACTTGGAGCCTTACAAGTAGCTACTTTCGGGGTTACTCGGAAGGTAGCAAATTGACGTTACTTTCGCATAGCCGTTATTTTCGAGGGGATCCTTAGTTTAGGAGATCAAAGTTAGGTTCTTGTATTTTAGAGGTACTTCTCTTCAGTTAAATTCTCAATTTCTATAAAAGAGATATAGTTGTTGACTAATAGAAAAAATTAACAAACGTGAGTCTTGTCCTGACATATATACGTATTAAAGTTAATTTTTTTTTATCTCGGATAATTTTCATTTTTCAACTTCATTAGCATACATTACCATACCAAAAAAAATAACTGAGATAAAAAGTAACTTCAACATAGACAATATTTATCGACAAATATTCATTGCAATCTCCTTTATACGATGCCCGTTTATGAAGACAAAATTACAGCATGTACTTATTTTGTCTTTTTATAAACCTTTTTTACATTGATACTTTTATTACTTAATACAGTTTGTTACCGTGACCTTATTTTCATGTAATATAAATATGCACTCTCAAATCCAAACTCATTGGTTAAAACGTTTAGGATAATTAAACTCCAACACACACTTAACAACCTTCTTAACCTACAAGTAACTTGGCCAAAAAGGTTCTTGTATTTTTGGCATGACAGTTGCAAATTTATAACAGGAGGTTCTCAATCCACAAACAGCGGCACCCAACGACTGTTTTCTGTAAAATATCTCTTTCGGAAAATAATACTAAAACCCTTGTAATTTCGAAAAGACTCAATTTCTTCTAGGTGCTCCGAATAGATACAAATTATATGGGGCCGCTTAGAATGCAAGGCATTTCAAGACATCTAAAAGTACTTGGGATAGCCTAAAAAGTATTTTCCGTGCTCCTTTTTAGTGCCCCTGAATCCACTTGGTTTTTATGTGTCTGTCTACTGTAGCTGTTGAAACACACACACTTATTTCCAGCTAACCAGGAAAAATTACGCATGTTTACCCCACACACTAATTTAAAAGCACGATATTAAGGAGCAGGATTTTCCCATTCATTAGAAAATTGGATGAAATAGCGAGAAAAGCGTTCTTGGCACGATAGTCGATGAGAACTAGTAGGAAAACAACGATTTCACAACAATTGATTCAGGTGCTTGACGATTTTCATTTACTAGGAAATGGGAGCATTGAGAGTCCCAAATGCGTACGTCGCCCTATAATTCATGCAGACTAGCAACGTGGACATTAGGATTGCGGAGGTCCAGAGGAGCCCGAAATATAGTGGAATAGTTAACGCTTTTCTAGTTTAAAGCAATATTTCCGAAGAACTAAAAAAAGTGCTGTCGGTATCGTCATAATCGCTCTCGCATTCTTTTTCACTGTCCACTTCATCCTCCTCTGTTTCCGGGAGGGTTAGCAACAACTCAGACACTTCGTCAGCCTCGTTTTCATCGTCCTGTAACGGAATACTGTTTCGATCAAAAATTAAGTTCGGGAGAGGGACTTCTCCGATGTGACCTTGGAAAACTCTTTTCACCTCTAAAAGCTGTCCCTCCAAAGACACCAGTTTCATTTTCGGAAATATATTTTTCCCTAACTCCTCTAAGGACAAAGGAGATATCGTGGCATCTTTTAACGAACTGGAAAACGTCGCGTGCTGCCCGCTGACGTGATCAACTACGTTTCTCATCTCTTCCTGAAGTAAGGTCACCTCTTCTTTAGCTCTATCCAGCAGATGGTACAGATCGATTGCTCTACGTCTAACGGTTATGGGTACTGGCGAGTCAGAACCAACAAACTCCGATCGTAACCAAACGTCTGCTTCCGGGTTCTTCTCTTGATCGAACTCCAAGGAGCGTGGGAATGGGCAAGCATTACTGCATTCTAGGTTGTTGAATTTATCTAGAGCGGTTCCCATGCTCTTTGTTGCTTGACAAATCTGCTTGGAAAGCCGTTTGGAAAGGTCATGGCCATCTAAGTGATAAGGACAGAAGACAGGTCAAGAAAAAACCAAGAAAAAGATAAAATCAAACAGTAAGTGAAAAGACAAAACCCCGTAATGTTAAGACGGGAAATTCCTGACAGTTGTCTAGTCCTTGAGCCCAAAAGCATCAGGACTAGCAAGTTATTTTATGCCCTGGCCTATATTTTCGACAAAGCAAAACTGTACTACGTTGATAGCGCCGTGATGGCAGGTTTAAAGAAATCATAAAGACACTGCTTTTAATGGGTCACTAAAATCAAACGTTTCATGAAAACGGACCATGTCCTTGTTTCTCAAGAATGCGTTCTAGCAGCTTGGAATCATAACCGCAACAATTAGTAATGGTAACACGACTGAGTGGAGTCCAATTCGGTCTGTAATCATACGAGTGCTTAACAAAATCGGTGGACCGAGTTGCGGGAGTTTGATTTGTTTAATCATGAGCATGATTACAGACCAGATTGGACCACAGGAAGTTCTGTTAAAAATTAATCATAACTTTAACAAAACTTGTGATATATAAGGCTCTTTTTTTAAATCGAAACACAAGAAATTCCAATCTTTTTTCGGCTAGCAATGAAAAAAAAAAACATTTAAGCGCGCGCGTGATGGTGCGTACTGTCCTATTAAGGCTGAAATCAGGACAGTTGATAGCCAGTCAGATTTGAGAACTTTGTTATAGTTATGATTACACTTTTTATCATATATCAAATGATATCAAACTCAACAAAAACCACCGCTCAATAACTTTAGTATGCAGATCGACCAATGCCACCTTTTTGCTTCTGTCACAAGCAGCATCTCATACCGTTGTATACTCCACACAAGAAGTGGTACAGCGCTGACTTACACCATCTGTGTTCTCCAATTCAAATAAAACGCGTTCCAGCCTGATTCAAAATGACAATACAATACAAAATGCTGAGAAGTAACCTAATGGTTAGTGAACCATCAGAATTAAATATTGTCTATGCAGTAGTTCAATGTACAGGTCACCACATGGGAAAGAGTGTTACATGTAATAACTCCCTTAAAAGATGTCTACAATAGGAATGTTGTAATAAAAAGTTCACATCCCATTGGTTATTCTCAGTGCAGCCACACCTCTCATACACATGTAGCATCAATACCATGATCAGGTTTGACGAATCACTGACCATCTACAGCGATAACTATCCAACCACCAATCGACAATAAGGTAATGTCAACCACTGATATCATAATACATACCATTAGCATAACTACATTGATGATTATTGAAAATAGAGCACTATGATTAGCTAGGAGCTTCGCTTCATCCTTATATAGGAGAGACCAGCTGTGACATAAAAATATCAACTACTGACAGTAAGTATCATTATACACTTAACAAATGGATATAATTGGTGCTTTTTGCTCTTTGTTTGGCTACTCAAACTTGCAATTGGTATACCCAGTGCTTATTCACACCAGTTATTCTGCTACCATATTTATAATGAAGAAGCTGTGATCTAGACGTTCACAAAGATGGCAATTAAATTCTGTTTCATTCGTGAGCTCAATTATATATCATGTAATTGTTTTAGCACAGTGTGTACATAGTAAAACAATACTATTCACCTAACCTAGCACTTCAAATGCAGCTCGCTAAATATCCACAAGCCACCTCCACTTCACTGAATAATATATAAGGAAACAACTAGTCTATTACTATAATATTATATTAAATAAGTCTTATTACTAACCTGAACTCTTCAAGACTGTCAATAATAACTGGATATAATTTCCTCTGGTTCTAAAGTAGTACATAAAAAAACCTTATGGCTAAATATTATTTGTTAACTAGCTAAAAGAAAGTAAAGTAAACTGACTGACACAGCATATATAGACAATATGACAGTTTTTAAAAGCAAAGGACAAAAGAATTTCATAATTTTTAAACTATCTTAATACCAGAAAGGATATAATATCATTAACAAGGGTCTGAATCGCAGAACAAAATTCTTTTACAGCCACTTGGCATTCAAGATTAAGGGTGAGCAGTAACTTCATCAAATCCATTGTGAATGCCAACTCTGGCTTTGTTGGTGTGGCACCCAAAAATTGAACCTAAGTAAACGTAAAAAATCAGGTTCACAACTACAAACTGAACAGCAACAACCACTTGAAATCCTGTAAGAAAGAAAAAACAAAAGGGATATTAACTGATGTTCATGCTATATGAGTAATTGTTAAACAACAATTGCAGTCAGATCAGTGCACATATATAAACACTTGCATACATGTCAAAGATAATTAATACACCATAGGCACCAGATTAAATCAGAGAAAACAATAAAAACCAAGTAGCCAAACAACAGGCTAATATATATATAAGTACTTTCACGAGAATTCATACCCATGGTATGCATTGTATCTACATCTGTCGACCAATTGTTGATCGACAGTTGATAAACAGTTGGCCCACTGTCAGGTTGCCTGTTGGTTGACTGTTGGTCACAATAAAATTACAGTTTTCTTCTATGGTTCAGTACGTCTATTCCTTCTTTTTGTAGATTAATATTAGGGATGTACATCATGTCTGACATTTTTGTTAATATAAAATTGCATACTGCTTAGTGTTATACTGTACATTTTTCCATTACATGTTTAACTAATTACAAGCAAAGTCGCATACATATATATTGAACAAACACAAAAAACAGCTTTAGAGCTACATCTGATCTGCTTTACTAGATCATGCATGGGGTTGACACATAAAAAGACTTTTTTCCTTACCTCGAGAATCTACGGTAGAAACATTACGAAAATGAACAGATGGGCACTGATGTGCGTTCAGCACCAGGGTTCTTGCTAAGATCAAAGGGAAATATATAATTATATTCTCCTCCTAGAATAACAATAAGTCATGATAGTATATGGCATTTTATGTATTAAACCAAGAATAAAAATTCAAACATTAATTAATTGACTAACAGGTCATTTTGTTTTAGTGTTTAAATAGATTAATAAACCAAAGTGATTTGATTTAAAACTCCCCTGCATGATCCTTAATTTAAGTGATACACATGAATGATATTAGTTTTCTCCGATCCTATCTTGCCGAGCTTAACGTTTGTTTGTTTTGCTCTCAGAGAAACTAATCTCTGATCTGGCAAGGTGGTCAAAAGTGATTGTAATTTACAATGTAAGCACGATATAGCTTCATTAATACTAAAAAAAATAACAACCAAGGAAACCATGAGCTTCTAATGCACATAATTTAAAGATCTACAAGCACAACCTGGCCTGCTACTGCAGATATTAACATTTGGTAAATATTCCAGTTAAAAGACATTGTAATAACTGACAAGCAACATAGTTCAAAGATGAAAAATGACAAATAAAATCTGGGGCTATTTTAAGCTTATAAACATCAGCTTTACAAGTACAAAGATTTAAAGCAGCCGGGTGAAGCAGGTAATTAAGAGTCATTGGTGAAGAGTCTGGCAGCTACGCATCTACTCTGTTGTGGAAACCTTCAGACCAACTTACGTACCTTAAGAATTTCCACACTATGGAGAATATTTACTTCGGTGTGCATTGATGTAGCACAAAATTCACAAAACTTTGCTGTTGCACTACAGTCCAAGGAACGACAAATGCCACTTTCCGAGTCACAGAAGTGACACCTCAGTAACGTGCTGTTCACAAACGAACCTTCCTTCTAGAAAGTGGTCGAAAGAGCAGCTTGCCATAACTTAGCCCATGTATCTTCTGCTCTTTGCAATCTTTCATAATGACGAGTATTTAAGCTTACAGATGAAGATATTGCTGGCTCATCGCTGACATCGAAATCCTCAGCACAAATCACCTACATCCACGTTGAAATCGTCGTGACCATCTTGCTTATCAACATTAGTCACATTAATACAGCCCATTACCGGTAATAAGCTTTTCGCTCCTTCTCACTGCAGTGTCCTGATCGTGATAGCGAACTTGAATTTCAGCCTTAAAGCGCTTCTTCCTGCAACCAAATGAACTGGTCAACAACAGAACAAACTTATTATAAATAAGTGGCCGGGTATGGGCTGACTGCAAGGCAAAACGACTACGAGGCGAAAAACGTAAAGGAATAAAATATTATGAAAACAAAATAAAGGCTTTTAAACAACTTACCGGCCCATTAAATACTGCTTTGCACGTTAAACGTAATCTAACCTCAATGTGCTGTGTCGGATTGTGTAATATGAGGGATAAAGGTGAATTACATCCACGTTTATCCATCATATTGCACCATCCATATTAGTCGTTGACTTAGTCGTACTATAGTACGTAATTTGATGGGTGATACCCGGTAATTTGGGCATCATTTTTACGGGTGATACCCAGTACCCTCCGTGTGAATCGGGTGGCCATTTTGAGTTCACAGACAAGCAGTGTGGTCAGCGGTGTAACAGCCTCGTGTAATATTTATCAATTGTCCTTTTTCATTCTTTCTATTTGTTCTCATTGCAAGGTAGTTAAGTTGGACACATTAGTTAGCCTCTTTTGTTTTAAAATAGATGTTATTCTTTTGCTTTCAATTTGCCTATTAAACAACATTAAAGTGATTTTTCTTCTCGGAAACTTGGTTAAACAGTGTTAATTAGCCCTGAAAAAATCGCATAATTTATCGCATAATGGTCCTATCTTATCGCACAAACTGCCCTGAAAAAAGCCGCATAATTTCTGATTTTTGATCGTACTCTATCAGAAGGCCTGTGAAAGTTTCCAGGTGGTTCTATGATATTACCATAACTTCATACTTTTGTTTTAAGAAGACCAATTGACTCAAATCAACTATTGCACATGATTTACATTGCTCATTCCGGGGGGGGGGGTACCTGGGTTAATTTTCACCGGGTATGTGCCGCTGGCCTCTTAGAGCCCCTACCCTATTATGTATAGTCTATCCGAAAATGTGCGACCCCATCCACCGGCATATCCCCATTAGCCTCTTTTAAGGGGGTACGTCCCCCTCTCACCGGTGGGTACTTTTAACTCTTCCCTTGTTTATTCATATATATGCCTGCTGTATATTCTTTATCCTCAGCTTCACCAATATCGATCAAGATCATTTTACATGGCCTTAGACCTGTTGAGCCAGACACATCAAGTCTGTGGATGGAATTGTCTTCTTTAGAATCAGTTATTTTGATTACAGTGACTCGCAATTGTTTACCATTTTCATATTCGAGGTCGATTTTTCGGAGACATCTCTCATGAAAAGTGCTGAGCATTTCGGAGCCTCCAAATCTGACAATTTTCTGGGCGAGAATACCCCCCGACCTCCCTACAAGGCTCGTGCCTTCCGCACTCGCAATAATGGCCCCTGTTAGAAAAAATCTAGCTACGGCCCTGAATCAGGATTTGATTTGACGAATCATTTTTAAAATTCTTACCTCTACCATCTACAGACTCTGAACCCTTCTCTGCTTTCTTTATCAGACTTCTTTGGGCCCTAATCGTCCACGGTTGATGCATGTCAGTGATCTCAACACAGCGCAGCTGATGGCAAGAAAATAAAAAAAGGCTTGTGTCAAAAAAATATGACTGAGTTAAATTTCCATCTTTTTTTTTTTTTCACAAAAGGACAACGGCAAAGGTAATACTTCAGATAATAATTTCTCACATTTTCATACCCTCATGTTTCAATGTTAGCTCTTTTCTTTGGAAACGCGGCGTCAGTAGCAATTCATTTAATGCACTTTATGATAAAAGTAAACTCTGTATAGAGAAAAGCAAGAAAATAATCAATCAAAGCATGAAAATAAACTTAACAAAAATTAAAGGGGATTTTTGTACGTTCGCAGGCTAAGTTGGACAAGCTAAAGATTGATCAATGTGAAATTGCTGGTCTACGGTTTTCCGAGCACCTCATCGAATGACCAGTCTTAGGCTCGTCAGCAGCGGACAGCTATGTTCCTGCGCAGATTCACAAACTTTGAAAACATTTGAGTGGTGAAAAATATCGTGACGTTTAACTATAAAATCATAGATTCTACTTACCACCTTAATACCAAGTCGTCAACCAATTCAATAATATCGCCACGTCGGTTGGTCAAGAAGCAGGGATAGTCTTGAGGTTCCGAGCTCTCTTTGCGATCAGAATCGACACATGATACATTTTCAGTGAGTTCTTGAGACTTAGCAGTGGTTCATGATGAGATCTGCTAAATTGTTCATAAAGTCATCCTGGCAACTTGAATTTCCTCGGTTTTCATACTGAACTGAATGCGAGCGATCCACAATCTTTCAGGGGAAGAGTACCACCTGACCACAATGCCGTTAAAAAAATTTCAAAAATCATGTTGGCCGTATTTGCACATGGGTGAATAAATTTGAATTATTATTGTATTTTCTCGCAAACATTCGTGAGAATCTATTGTAAGGAAAAAGAAGGAAAAAGGCGCCTTCACAAAAACGCGCGTAAAATATTCATCCATTAGCATTGCATAAAAGTTGAACCGCGTGAATGAAATTATGACCGTATCAGGAGTTAAATTAAACCGAGTTTAAGGAACCGAGTTGGCGAAACGAGTTAAACAAACTTACTTTGGGCGATTTGGTTATTGATTTGAGACTAGTTTGGGCTGTTTCTTTTCGCGTGCATCAGTTCTGATCAGCATTATACTTCTAAAATAGGGGTTTCGCCTGGTTAAAAACTAGAATCATGATTCCCTCATTTGAAGTTGAACCAAGAATTTTGAGGCCAGTCAGGTTATAGCCGGGATGACTACACAATGTTCAACAGATTTCTTGAAATAACTTAGTCGTTTTAACAATGAATCAATAAAGCAGTTCACAACCAAAAATTACCTATGTTTTTCCAAGACTAAAGTTCAACTGTGAACGAGAGGAGCAGGAGAAAGAGCGCAAAAGATACTGGGACCCTCGAAAAGAAAAGAACTGCTACGCACCTATGGCGTTCTGCATAGCTGCTGGCGTTTTCATCCGACTCCCTCTCCTCTCCCCTCTCAGCTGTTCTTTCTCGCACCCCATTAGGTTTCGCGCGCCCAACGTTGAATTCAAAAGGATAAAAACCAAGTCATTAAGCGATTTAAGGCTATAATGTACTTGAAATCTGGATCATGGCCAGAAATCTCGGACATCGAATTTAACTTACTCAAGTACGCACAGGAAGCTACGCCCCTGATAGCAAAGTTAAGTATGAGCTTTAAAGAAAAATACCGAAAAAAAGGTGTTCATGGCCTCTACACGGTGAGATTTTCTGTAGCAATTGCTGCCCTAGCGGCTCAAGTCTTCGCGACGTGATCTTGCCGACGTCAATGCTAATAATGAACTTCCGTAACAGGACGGGAGAGGTTCCGAAAGAAGTAACGGCAAACTTTTTTAGACTTTTTATTCTTGTCCAACTGCTCTCGACGACGGAACTCGAGCGAAATGCTTGCTACGTACGCAGGCTAGAATTTCGAAGAATCAAGAGCATAGCAGAGAAAACACAACAAGAACAAGAACAAGAACCAGGCAAGACCTGTGGGTCTTTTAGGGCGCGATCCATTCACTAAAAACGGTTCCGACGGGTCCGACCGGGAAAAGTGGTCCACCTCAAAAGCTGGACCAGTTTACTCGAAACTTTTTCCGGTTGGACCGAGCCGATCCATTGAGTTTTGGACCGAAATTTCCGGAAATTTTGGTCCAAGTTTCTTTTCGTTTTAGAGACGATTAGCTTCCCCTCCCTTCACCCCTCCTCCTGGGTCAAATATCAGCCATCGAAATTCCACTGTATTGTTGGACAGCGGCGATAAAAACGCGCAAGGAACGTTGGGATGGTAGCAAATCCAGCATGGCGGCCGGACCGATAGCTGAGAGAAATCAAGGTTTGTAAAATAATGGTAGTCTTTACACCACATCCCAATGTTTCAAGTCAAGTATTTTCTTTCGTACGAATACTTAACGACTCAGACACAAGCCAAGCAAAGTAACTTAAGCTACTCGATTAAAGACAAGGTGGCGCTTTCATTACCGACATTAGTTGTAGTCGTAAACAAATTTTGATGTATCGCGGTGGCTCTTTTGTCGTAAATCAAAAGAGTGTGTTCCTGTCCAAGGCCTCAAAACTTATAAGCTACTTGATTCCTCATGGTAACCCAATTCGAGGATTCCGAAACGCAAAAGCGGCGGAGCAGTTCGCATCTGAAGTACAAAGAAGAGAGACGAGTTTAGTTTGAATGCCAACCGGAGAAAGCGCAAGTCAGCTAAATCGGTCATAAGGATGGTTTTGAGGTTACTTGACAGCCTGGTGCTAAGACTACCAATGTTTTTTTGCTCTGTTTAGGTACCCAGCAGCTGGAAATTGTTTTCAAAATACTAGATACATGTACCCAGCAACCTAGTATCCACGTCTAATTAAAAAAAAAGTCAACATTAAAAAAATGTTGAAATTTACATGTATGCAGAGCTTTCGTCATTTTTGTCCCGCCTTTCCATCAAATCATCTCTTGTTTTCATTGAAATTGCTGCACATTAAAAATTGTCTCTTGTGTTTAATACTACTAGTGATGAGAATGGAAATAAGGAGATACCAAAAAAAAGGAACAGTTTTTATGAGAAACTCAAAACTCTGAATGTGCTGCACCCTTTTTGGCAGATTTCTTTGTTGTCATCACGCAACTATGTTGTCGAAGATCACTGTTTCATTAAAAGCAATCATTGGGACTTTGATTTCATTGGAAATACCCATACAGAGTCTTATTATGGCTACTTTCAGTTGTTCAAGCATTATATTTATGTATTCTTTTATTCTAACATATCAATAAAGATGACTGATTTGTTGTTTCTAAGATGCCACAATATATGTTGGAGGACTGGATGAAAAAGTTTCAGAGCCTCTTCTATGGGAACTATTTCTCCAAGCAGGGCCAGTTGGTGAGTTAAAAATACACTACAAAACAAAGACCTGGGGAAGTTTTGAGGGTGTACTTGAATAATAAAAGGCCTGCCTAACCCATAGCATGCATGAAATACAATTCTCATGCACTTTTATAATGATCTGGAAATGAGTACAGTTACAACTCTGGTATCTGCGGAAACTTACATAATATTCTTTGATGCATTCAACAATAATAATTATGACTGTTAAGAAAATTACATGTTAAGTTAGAAGTGCAGAAAAGAATGCTGCTCAATTAAAAAAAAATCTTTGTACATTGTTCTATTTAAAACTTAATGTAACTGCATGGTATATTATTTAGTGACTTGTTTAATGCAAACAATAACATAGTGAGTGGTTAAATTCTCTATTTCAGTGAATGTCCACATGCCAAAAGATCGCATCACACAGCTTCATCAAGGTTATGGATTTGTTGAATTCCTTGGGGAAGAGGATGCTGATTATGCTATTAAAGTCATGAATATGATCAAAGTTTATGGAAAACCAATTAGAGTTAACAAGGTACAAATGTTATCCTCATTGTACATAATTACATTGTATTTGTGCCAAGTTCATACTAACACCGTAATTACCAAATACTGTAATTGCAAGGGCTATGTAATGCAATGTATATGGCCTCATTTTGTTCTTGTCTATTTGAGAAAAAATGAGCATTAGCACTGTAAGTTAACTTCCAGTGTGATTCCTGGGACTGCTGCTTTGGAACACTCAGGAGAGCAGTTCTACATGTATTATATTCAAAAATAGTTGGTTATATTTTGGTCTGCTCCACAGCCGTCCTTTGTTTCATCATTATTTTGTTCTGTTTTAAATCTATCAAGTACCTTCAATTCAAAAGGAATTCTGTTTGAAAATGGTACAAGAGTAAATCAATCAAAGTCAAGCCTCAAAATTTAATTTTCAGCAAAACCAGCCAAACAACGATTTTATGACAGTGTTCCCTGGCTTTTGTTGAAGCTTTATGTGAGTTCGCACCTGGTGAAGTAATCAGGATTTATCTGCTGCCCTGGGCCAGGTGGTTCAAAGCTGGGTTAAGATAACCCAGGGTTAGTGTGAAATTTGAACTCAGATATGAGAGCTTAAAAGGCAAATCCAGTTTAAATCTCTTTGCCTACAATTTGATGATTGGATACTCTAAAAAGAATAGAGAAAAATTATTTATTATCTGAGAGAGTGTTTTGATAAAAAGAAGAAGAAACTCATGTTAAAATGTAACCCTGGGTTAGCTCTATCTGGCATTCAAACGACTGGGCCCAGAAAATCAAAAACAAAAATGTAAGGCCAAAGGCCCCCAAATGGTACTTAAGTTCGGTATCATTTTTTTTTTCTCATCCTTGGCCATCACTGTACATGTGAGTGTTATACTCATCAGGTAAAATATTTAATTTTCAACTGATTTGTTTCCAGGCATCAGCACACAATAAGAACCTTGATGTTGGTGCCAATATCTTCATTGGAAATCTTGATCCAGAAATTGATGAGAAGCTGTTATACGACACATTCAGTGCTTTTGGAGTGATCCTTCAAACCCCAAAGGTACCATCAAACGTACAGTATATATCTAATTAAAAAAAAAAGGTTCCTTCTAGGCAATTGGTCATTGTCAATGATATTGGTGATTGAGTATTTGAGCATACAGATCTTGCGGCAATGAATTGCGTGATTGACCACCAAACAATGGCTTCCATGTGCACATCTTTATTGAATCAGGTTTACACTCACTCTACCTGGACATGTAATATACAAATTTAGCCAGAGCTAAAAGCAAAGCTCTGTTTTATTCATTTTAAATTTACTGCATACAATGGACTTTAACATTATGGGAAAACCATATGACTGAAAAACATAAACTTGAGCCTAGGATGAATTGAATTAAAAGCTAACAACTGGTCATTTTTTGATAATTTAGTAAGGGGTGTACGTGATTCAATAATAATAATCATCTTTATTGAGGAAACTTTTTCATAAATGATATGGTTTTCAAAAAGGACCTCAAAACTAGATATATATTATAAAAACAAAAAAAGCTATAAAATTGCAAAGGGATTAAAAAGATACAAAAAATGCATAAAAAATTAAAAATAAGTATAAGTAAAAATTAAACGTAAGTAGCTATATTAAAAACTTAAAAACATTACGTTTAAAACTATTAACATTCCTTGAGTCTTTGATCGTCTGACTGAGGAAGTTAAAATCGGAAACGGCATGATATTGTGTTCTTTGCTTCCCCCAATTTCTTTTGACACGTGGTAATCTAAAATTGCCTTTGTTACGTGTATTATGCCTATGAAGTACGTCTTGTCTAATCAAGTCCATATCGTGATTAATTAGGCCATTGATGCATTTGTGTATTCATGCATTTGTATATGCATTTGTACATTTGTCTTTTCTCTAGAAAATCGCCTTTTCTCATTGTATAGTATTGTATTCTGGTCAGTGCATAAAGAAATGTGTACATTCATCATGTGGTACAAACTTATTCTGTAATAATAGTAGCCAGTCTGTTTCCAAGGTCACCCTCATCCTTTGTTTCAAAGTGAGGCTACATGTAATTGACCACTCCAGAAATACCATAACATACCATAATGCTCTTTGTTTGTCACCACAAAATTTTGCATAAGCATTGTCTTAAGTTTCTCTCTGGAGTTAAAATGGCCCCAAGAGAAACTGAAAACAATGCTTATGCAAAATTTGGGGTGACAACAAAGAGCATTATGGTATGTTATGGTATTTTCTGGAGTGGTCAATTATGAAGCTACATGTATTGATTTGACATGATTTATCTTTAAATTTTCCTGCAAACAATTTATTATTACTCATTTTTACTGTAGCGTTATTTGGAAAGTAAGCTGTTTTGTAACTCAAAAATGGCCCATTGTTTTCCCAGTGAATGTTAATGTTTGATGTTTACAATAACACTGCCCCTCATAATATTTCACATCTCTTTATTCCTACTCAACAAATCCACTCTTACAGCACTCGCTCCTCCTCTTCTGGAAATTATTACATTAGCCACTCTAAACTAAATCAGAAAAATGATTCGTTTTCTATTATGGGAGCCAAAATTTGGAATAGTATACCTGAAAATTTACGAAATTCTTCAAAATCTCTCTTTAAGGAAAAAGTTCATACAATTCTGTTGAAAATATTTGAAGTTTAGGATAGATATGCCGACCTAAACACGATAATCTCTGATTTTAAAAAATATTAGCCCCCGCTTATCTAAATAGCTGCCTCGATTTTCTTATCTCAATTTCTCTCGTGACTGACCTTTTTCATTATAAATATGGTTCTTTTTCACTTCAACTTTTCGTAAGAAATCTTAAGCCGTCTACACACCACCTGCCTCGATTAGCCTTGCTATTTGCAGGTGGTGTGATATTTGTATATTTAATGTAAGAAATAAAGATGTTGTTGTTGTTGTTGTTGTTTGAAGTGGAATTGGTATAGAGCTTTATTATTATTATTTTTTTTTACCAGATTTCTAGATTTAAAAATTATTCATAAAATGCCAAAACAGTAATTTATTTATGCAGAAGTTTGTTCCATAAAAATTAATCAATCAATCAATCAAACACTTTATTTCACTTGTAATAAATTGATAGCAAAATTGCTAATGTTGCTATTGTTATTGAAGCAGTAGAAAATATTTCCATGTTTGCATGCATGTAGCCTGGTATAAACATGAGAGGAGTAGGGAGAATTGGAGACAGTTATGCAAACTCGAGACAAAGTCAAGGGTTTGCATAACTGTTGAGAATTCTGTCAACCCCTCAAATCACTGAATCTCTCCTAAGTTGAATTTTTCAGATATACAGTGTATGAATTCACAGAATTACCAACCCCAAAAAGGCAAAAATCTTTGTTTTTTTTTTTTAAATATATTTTGTAAGGCTCATAAAAAATTTAATGTGTTTTGTCCTGTATGGCCTCCTCATCGCTAATTACATTTGTATGGAACTTTCCTTTTTTTGACCACTTTTTGATTCCCTGAAGGAGGCAAAGCATTTTAAAAGCAAATTCCTGTGCATAGCAGATGTGCACACCATGAAGGTAGTGTTCTGATTGGACAGCTAAAGTGAAATACACTATACTTATTTATGATATAAACACCAATGAATTACCAAGTGAGCTTTCGCGCAAAAACTTGATATCTTCATGTGTGAAAATAACATGTTATCTTCACATGTGAAAATATCACCGTTGCTATGGCTACATAATAAGTCACGCCTTTCACACCAAAAAACTATTAAAGTGAAATGGTTTGGTAGTTCATTGGTGTTTATATAATAAATAGAACATTACATGGCCGCTTGGAGATATGAAATTTCTCTTATCGTGTTGAAAAAATTTTTCTCTCGTTCGCTGCGCTCACTCGTGAAATATTTTTCAACACTCAAAGAGAAATTTCGTATCTCCACGCAGCCATGTAATATCCTATGTGTATGTACAGTGTTTACACCAGACGTGGTCTTCTTTTTTAGATAATGCGTGATCCTGAAACAGGCAACTCCAAAGGTTTTGCATTCATTAACTTTGCAAGTTTTGAAGCATCTGATGCAGCCATGGAGGCTATGAACGGACAGTATTTGTGCAATCGACCAATCACAATATCTTACGCATTCAAGAAAGAGTCTAAAGGAGAAAGGCATGGATCTGCAGCAGGTACTTGTGAATCAATCATAATGTGCAGCAGTCCATAACTTGTACACTTAACTGTCTTTTAATAAAATAATTAACAATTATTGGACACTTGAGGTGGAGCAAAATATCATTATTTGTCGGTGGCAAGCAGATCAATTATTTGCTTCAGCCTTCAGCTTTGGCAAATAAAATTAATGAGCTGCGAGACTGTGACAAATCACAATATATTGTGTTAGCCGAGTCTATTGTTTTATCATTCAGTCACTGAATTTTTTTTTTTTTTAAATGAATATCTTCTGGAAGCAAAGCAATCTGCCATTTTCATGCAAGAGTGATCTCAAGAAGGAGAAAAGCTTTCATTTATGCATGAGCAGAATATTACTCACAGCCAAACAAAGTTGGGTGACATTGCTCCTGAGCAGACCATTATTTATAGACAGTTATTGGCAGGTCACGTGGTGGGCTGTCGGCCAATAAAGAGGAAGAAAAATCTGCAATGTTCAATTGACAGTACAGTGTGTCATGTGTATGTTAAAGGTTGAAAAAATGCAAGTTAAATTATTATTGGATAAGGCTGAGTACAGCTACCATAAATAGTGAAGAGTAATGCCAGTCAAGGAGAGTCATTATAATATTCCTATGATACTTAGAGAATAGATTATTGGATCCCTAGCTCTAGCCAGACATTCAGAGAGGTACTCTCATCTCTACTTACCTTGAAATATATACATGAGTGTAACAGAGTTCTTTGTAAAGAATTCCAAAAGGCCTATCACAGTTTGATATTCCTCCAAGATGTTGACTATGACAGTATAGTCTTGAAGTGAAAGAGCCCGTTCATTATTAGCTCACTGCTACTCATTTTAAAGAAAAATAAGGGAGGGCTGAGCTGTATTTTTGTTAAAGGGGTCAGTTTCAACTTGGCTAACTACTTTCTCCTAAACATCCCTTCCCTGGCTTCTTCAGGACTTTTACAACTCGGGCTTAAAAGGAAAAAAATGACTGGCTACACCTGACCTGTGTACAAATTACATTGTAATGATATATTATTTATTAATAATAATAGTAATAATCCATTTATATAGCGCCTTTTCTACAAGATTCAAAGGCGCTGTTTACAAAAATTAGATAAAACTAAAAAGTAAAAATAATCACAAGAAATTGACATTAAAACTGGAAGCTAACTACAACATAGATAAATGTACACAATAGATAAAAAATCAGATAACAAATAACAACATCATGATTCATAAGCTCGCATAAAAAGAAATGTTTTAAGTTTGCATTTTGATATCCTCAGGTAAGTTATTCCAAAGTTCCGGAGCAGCAACAGAAAAAGCTTGTTTACCATACAAATTGAGATTAAGATAGGGTTTAACTAATAAATTTCTATTAGAGGATCTAAGATTGCGGCTGGATGTATACAGTTGAAGGAGTTGCTGTATATAGATTGGAGCTCGATCATGTAGTACTTTGTATGTAATTAACATAATTTTAAATTCAAGACGAAAGGAGACAGGGAGCCAGTGAAGATCCCTCAGGACTAGAGTAATTAGATTCATGTTATTTCTAAAAGTCACATGTATAGTATAATATTCTCATATAATTCTGAGCACACTGTGCGACGGTTCATACAGCAAATACAAAGCATAGTTATGGAGGTTTGACATTATTTTGAGGCCATGTTTTATCATTGTATCAATAAGTTGTTCAAATTGCATTTAAACACCAGCGGCATGAAAATTAATGAGTGTTTCCATGGCATGACAATAGGACTCTCTGATAGCCCTGAGCTACATGTAATGGAGTGACTTGTTGGACTAGCATGTGCAGAATACATTGAAATAAATTTGTATTAGTGAAACGGGGTTGGTAGGCCTGCACTGCATGACTGCTCCAGGGTAGTTAACTTCAGCAGCAGCTTGCCCTTTGGGTTTCCTGTTCAATGTGGCAGTACAGATATATTGTTACCTTAAGAGAGGTGTACTGCTGTTTACATGTACATGTAATTTCTAATTTGCAATATATTATATTTGCTTTCTAAACAGAACGCCTCTTGGCAGCCCAAAATCCTCTTGCTCAAGCCGACCGACCTCATCAGCTGTTTGCAGATGCACCGCCCACTCCTGTGGCAGCTGCTTTACCCCCAGCACCCCCAGCTGTTATGCCACCTCCAGTAATGACTGTACCAGTACCCAGCGCTGTACCCAGTATGCCTCCTATGCCGGTATCAGGACCCCCAATGCCACCTGTTCCACCAGGCATGCCTCCTCCAGGTAACAGCTGTCAACTGTTAATTTTCTTTGTATATACAAAACCCTTTTATTTCCAACAGATCACTACTTTCTACTTTATTTTATTTATTATACACTTACAATGTACCATACAGTGTACTGCCAGAGAGAAAAAATGTAAGTCAGAACATTCACCTGTAATATTATTTGCTTCGAGTTTTTTCTGGAATTGTGACTGTAGCATTTTTGGCTAGATTATCATAAAACTATAACACTTCCATTATTGGCTACGAGGCTTGGAGAAATAAAACAGAAACGTATTATTCATTGCTGAGCTTCAACATGATTTCATTTCTTTTATTCGGCCAAGCCTCGTAGCCAAATATGAATTTTAATATATCAAAATTGGTCGTTTTTTCCTTTTTACCACATAGGTATGCCTCCTCCTGGAATGATGCCACCACCTGGTTTCCCGCCACCTGGAATGTTTCCACCCAGGATGCCTGGTATTCCACCACCGCCTGGACAGCCTCCTGATCAACATCCTCCCCCACCACCACCAGGTCAAATGCCACCACCTCCTCCCCACATGGGAGGGCAGTTCCCACCACCACCCCCTCCAAATATGATGCCACCTCAGGTGAGTCTTCTACACACAGCTGTTTTTGTGTTTGTTGTCACGCAATGATCCTTCCCAGGAGTGTTGTGTGACAACACCAAAATGGCTGTGAGGGAAACTAGGGGAGTTATGTACAAAATAATTGCGTAAAAGTTATCGGGCTAGTCTTTGGTGCTTTATCAGTTTGGGAGGAAAAAACAAGTGTGGCAACATGCTGTGATCTGCCTGAGGCCCTAAAGAAAATTCTTAAATGTTAAAGGAGTGTTTGGAAAACAGATCATGTTCTTATTAGCATTTTAGTTTTTTTTTTTTTTTTTTTTTTTTCTTAAATAATTTTTTTTCAGAAGAAATGTTTGACATTTTACACTAAATTTCTGGTCACAATACATAATGTACATGTATGAAACTCCTTGAAATTGATCAAAACAACTCCTCTGCATGTCATAATTTCATATTTCTTCTCAATGTTTGATCCTGTGATGTTTTAGTAACACAGTGTTTCATATTTAACATAACACTACTTGAGTCCCGGCTGGCTCTTTGGACAACCAGCTCTTACATTATTTTTGCTTGCCTATGGGGTTGAGTTGCATTCTTGGCATAGTACACTTTATTGTTTGTAAAGCTGACGTGCCTTGGCCCTTGTCCATCTGCTATGCTTAGGGGTATAGAATGGTAAATGTGAGACTTTGCGAGTCTGCGAGACCCAGGTTTCAAGATTCGAGACTGAGATCGATACTCTCTAAGATGCAAGATCACCTAAAAAAGAGATTTGAGACCCATCAAAAACACTTCTAAAATTTTGAGATTGGGCCGAAATTTTCCGAGACCCACGTTTTTCAAGGAACCATTCTATACCCCTAAGCTTGAAAATTGACTTGCCTGTCAAGAAAGTGTACTTGTCCCAGAAAATCCAGAGAGCACTTGCTCCTGAGGACCTGCTTTAGTGAAGATTTGACTATAATCTGTAACATTTTCACTTAAATGTTTTTTCCACCAGCCTCCGCTAGGCCATGGTCCTCCCCCAGACCAAGGCGGGATGCCACCCAGACCTCCTATGCCATTCCATCCTCCTCCTGGTGGTAGACCACCCATGATGCGTGATATGGGACCACCTACCGGTAATATACCAAGTTTGTTAAGTTCCGGGCCCCAGCCACTGATGCAGACACCTATCAGAATGCCGCCTGGAGGTGAGTATAGTCTGACAACTTGCTCTCAATAAAGCACAGTGCTTGCTTGCAAGCTTGATTGTGTAAGAGGGAGAAAAAAACCGTTGGAAAGTTGCTTCTTCCAAAGCTCTAATTTTACACATGTACATATGGCCCCTTGTAAGGGAATCTTGGATTCTGGATTCCATGCAATGGATTCCGGATTCCAGGTACTGGATTCCGGATTCTTTGTCAGTGGAACTGGGATTCTGGATCCCAATCGCTAGTGAGATCTGAGTTCCTAGAGCTGAAGTCCGCATTCCAAAGCCCAAGATTCCGGAAGATTCCACACGAAACATTTCTCTGATTCTGAGTCCACAGGCATTATTTCTCAGATTCCTGAATCCGGATTCCCTTACATGGCATTGGGGCGATGCAAAAGTCCCTTTTATGTTATATTACACGTGATCTTCTTTTCTGTGTTTATTTTTTGTGTAAATCCTCATAATCAACTCCATCAAAATCTCTCTTTTTCAGGTCCTATGCCTCCTGGTGGGCCGCCAAGGTTTCCGCCTCCTCCACCTCCTCACTGATCTGTACCAAAAAATTGGATCCGTGCTCGTTGACTGTTTTGTCGTTCAAAGAAAAAGGAACAACTTCAACTAAGATAATATCACGTCGGAATTTTCATGAAAAACAGCTTGGAAGAGAGAAGCAGTGATGGAGAAAAGTTACTTCTTAAGAAGACGCAAAATAACTTACAACTTCGACCTTAGACTACGTCGAAACAAAAGCTTGTGCGTCCTTTTATTTCAGAGGACTATAATGGATCCGTTGACAGTGAATGTGAATTAGATAGATCAGCTTGAATTGAGTTTTTTTGTACCAAATTGTACCAATAGACCAATTCCGACGTATTAAAATTCATACTTGGCTGCGTTTCTTGGGGGAATAAAACAAAAGAAATGATTTTGAAGCTCAGCAGTGAATAATACATTTCTTTTATTTTTACCCCAAAGTATGAGCCAAGTATGAATGTTGATATATCGAAAATGGTCTATTACAAGACGTCACACAGTTACATGAACCAATCAGGACGCAAGCTACATGCATTGTACATTCACTCAAGGAAAGAGCGGGAATCGTGTTTCGTTTTAAATCTGTTTGGTTGGAATAGTTTCTTACCTCTGACACTCATTCAAAAGCCGCTCGATCCATCTTACATTTCACTTTATGATAAAATAAATGAAGCCCAAAATTGCCCTTTTTGTTTAATACTGTAAATATACCTGTACCTGTACCCCAAAAAACAAACCTCGATTAATGGCCTTCATTTTCATTGTTATTACCTCTTTTGGATTTTATACTGGGTTCATTTAGTAAAGTTGAGACGTAAATACAGACGCGATTTGTCGCCTCATGCTTTTAAGATTCGTTGTGTTTCTTCCGGATGTTAATGCCTCGTTGTCCTGTTCCTGCATGGCGTCTTCCCAGACCTTCTCAGTCAATGCCTTCGGGAACCGGCCGGTAGCCGATATGAACTGCTGGGAGCCAAACTCATTTGGAATACGGCCCGGAACCCATAGACGACATAGACCGCGCGGAACAATGAGGCCCGGGGACTGGGCATTATGCCCCCTACCAGGAGAGAAGATAATGTAGTTCAAGTAACGGAAACAAAAAATGGATGATTTTGTGTTAACGGGGTCTGGTTAACCCTCAGGCCTATACGCAAAGTCATACCCCCACCTCGAGGGGCGGAGGGGTCGGGGGTATGCTGTAGGCCGGGGCGGGGACTGTTTATGAGACCCCTCCCTAGAGGTTTTGATATGTTGCGGTATTTGGAAAACATTTTACCTTCAGAAGAAAGCCTTTAATCTTCTCGACAAGATTAGCCATTAAAAATAGTGGGGGCGCTGATGGAGGCTTGTATGATCGCCAACTTGGCCGCCATCTTGGATTTTACCAAGAATTAGAAATCAGGTAATGAAGGGGTGCCTAAGGCTAACTTGTGGATTATCAATTACTGTATTTTAGAAATGAAAGCTGATAATGAACTTGCAATTAGTCTACCGGTATATTTTAAGTCTGTCAAAAAATGAAAATGTTTTACGAAAAAAAACAAAAACAAAAGGACCAAAACAAAAAAGAAGAAAAAAGGAAAAGCTTACATCGTTAAATTTCATCTTTAACACTTTTTTCCCTTGAAATTCTGCCGGTCGACACTGTTTGAAACCGGTAGAGCTTGATTTATGAAGAATTGAAAGATATATTCCAGGAAAACAAGCATGGTTTTGACAGTTAAACCCATTTCGTCGCATTTGCAGAAAATATGGCCAACAAGCGTCTCGCAAAACCGTCGCGAGGTCTCTTGCAGCTTGCGATTCCCGGCGTTTATATATAATTATGAGGAGAATAAATTACGATTCAGCGACAGTAAACATTTCCGTTTTTATTGAATAAAGAGACATTTCATTTCAGAATGATATTTCACTAAAAACCATGAGATTGGGAGTCCTGTCGTGGGAATGAGGTAAGATCGTGAGACTCACAACAGAATCGAGAGTTTGGACCAACTTGGGAGTCGAAGAACAATTGCTGATCTTTTCGTCATGTTTATCGCCTGGTCAAAAAGCTTCAAAACTTCGTAGACTAGCTTCTGCCTCAAAGTTGGCCACAGTGCTAATTTGAAACAATCAAAGTCATCATGAAGACGGTGATCCTGTTACTCCTGTGAAAGTGTACAAAATCAGCACATTGTGGAACGCGAACGATCTACGACAGTTGTCGTTTTGACATCGGGCGCTTTCGTGCGAGAGGTGTCTACATTTAAATAATACATTTGCCTATCTCGGTGCCCACAATAACTTGTTACTTATGCTGCGCGCAATCCACAAGTTAAAAACAGCGAGAATTGGTAGATTTTTGTGAAATAACCCATGAACAAGTACTTTGCTTCATTTTGTCCACATCAGTGCTTTACTTTTATCGTTGAAAAAAGTTGCATTTTCACTAAAAAATAGCTTGACCACCTGCGGACTTATGAGTTCATATCTCGTAACCATAGAAACTGATCATCACTAAGCTTGTCTCGAAATAAACGAACAGCTACTGAAAACGTCAGGTGCTGATGTTTGATCGTCGAGGGAGAAAATCAGAAAAAACCTCAGAGGGGGTAGCATCCACCCGCCCTGCCTGTACGTCCCAGGGTTATAAACTTTGTTTTTTTAAATTTATTTCCGATCTGTTTCTTCAAAAACTAGCCAAGATTTCGTCCAGTCCAAAAAGGGCTGGTCATTGGCTCAATATAAAATGTTATAACATGACAAAAGTAAAGCGCGGGCTCTGATTGGTCAATTACCCATTTATTATTAATTTTGCCCATGGGCGAATGATGAGGAAAGCTAGGGTGTACTAGAAGCCGTACCCGGCACTTTTTACACGACTGTATGTTTTTTCCCTCATAGTTTGCAAAGATTTTTGTCTTAACACTGAAAAAAAAGTTTTACAAAGACTGTTGGGGATAACGTAAAAGGTTTTGCAATCTACATCCAAGCGGAGATTACTTATTCAGTAAAACTATATTTTTGAAAGAATAAGAATTTGCAACGAATGATTTACACGAGCCGTAGCGCGAGCTGATAACAGAACTCACGTCATTCCCCTGCAGTCTGTAACTTTTTCTCTTTTGATTATGTTTTGAAACAAATAGTAAACGGCTCAGCATGTACTAGTGAGTTAAAGTTGCACTTGGGAGGATTGCTGAGCACTTAACAAGCTAGAGTCGCACTCTGCTATCGCTTGAGCCACACTCGGCTATCGCTGGAGGTTGCTTAGCAACCTCCAGCGTGCAACTATAACTCAATAGTACATGCTAAGCCTTTTTTATTCGTTAATTTGAGATATTGGAGGACTTTTCGAATGTTTTTACTGAATAAAAATTACGGGTACGGAGTTTAAAATTAAGGAAAAGTGGAAAATATTCCATTTGGGGGTTGTTGAAAATTACACACAACTTTAAAATGTGAAGGAAATATTGACTTTTATTGGTCGACAAATACCAGTTAGAATCTAGCTAGTCTACCACCACAACAATTCAAGGCGCCCCTGAGTTCATAAGCGGCCGGACGAACTGGTCAACTTAATGTCAGACCTTTTTTTCCACCATTATTTATTTCATTCTCAATTCATTGTCAATTCACAGCATTTGCGGTAGTTATGTTAGCCCACAATTGACCTGCTCACCACTGAGTTCTCAGTAGCTCAGTGGTTAGAGCATCCGACTAGTGTACGGAAGGTCGTCGTGGGTTTAATTCCCTTGCATCTGGAACTCACAATTTTTTCTGTGTTTTTCTCTCCACACATATCATTTCATTTATTATTCATTCTCAATTCAACCTTGTTTAATCCATCCACTCCCTTCTCTAAGACTGTTCCCTAAATACACTAACAGAGAAATTTTTTTGCGTGTGTTAGAAGCTCTTGCTGTCAAAAGTGAAAAGGAAAACAGACTAATTACGATTCCTAGATAAAAGCAAAACAGTATTTCATGAATTATTCCATCGAATGCAGACCCAGGCTGTTCAAACGTTAGAGGGCACGAATCAATTGTATATGGATCACTATCCAGCTGATACGTATTGGGAAACCCATAGCGCTATCGCATCCACCAGGAAAGAGATTTTTTCTCCAGTGGATAGCGTTATTCACATTTTGTACACCTGGGGCCAGATCTTTTATTATAATTAAAATTCTAGACAACGTTTACTTCTTTCAAATAATATTTATCCTAACACGCCTTTCAATTTGAACGTTCATGCTTGTTTATTTTCCTCCAAGACAAAGGGGATGGGTAGAATTTAAATTAAGGTGAAGTGTAGCCGTAATTAGTTTTTTAAAAAATTCGCTTTGCTGTTAAATAAATTGTCGGTCAAAAAACGACCGACTTTACAGTTATATCAATACAGTAAAGAAGTTTATAGGATTTCGTCTTTATGAGGAAAAGTATGAACTGAAAACATATATATATTTGTCTAGACTACGGTAGCCTTCAATCCTTGATGAAACCTATTGACAGCCAACAAAGTAGCAACTGTGAAAACGTACAATAAAAAATCAGCAATTTGTTTTATTCTTATCAAGTATTAGGTCCAGAGCCATAGTTGCAATTAAGCCAAGAGTATTTTGAATGTTTGACGAACCGTACCGATCGAAGTTAAATTACCGTTTTATAATTAACGAGGATAACTTTAAGGTGTCAAAGGCATAGTTTTACAGTATTCTCTGTTTCTGAAAAGAAAACTGTTCCACGGTTTTTTCAACTTTTGACTGGGAACAGTTAGCGAAATGAAGACCCGTCGACACGGCTCTGAAAAAAGCGAGCGAGCGAACTTGTAAATTTCTAAAATACATCCCATGTTAACGAGCATGATTTTAACCTGTCAAAGATAAATCATTTTACAGATCTATTCTCTGCGTCGTAGCAGGTGTTTGAAACCTGAATCAATTAGCTAGTAGATTATCAATAACAGCACTGGCATATATCCAGCCAAAAGTAAACTAATATGACGTTATTATGCTGGATACTGACATAGCAAATGCTGACCACAAAATCCCCGCCCTTGTGATAAACTTATTGCTAGCTATCGAGTGAAAAAAAAAGCAAAAAAGAAGAAGAATTAGGCAGATCAATTGGATAATTCTTCTTTAGTTACATACGAACATAAGTGCGGACAAGATCTTCGCCAACACAAGCAAAATTCCTGGTAAGCATCTCAGCCTAACGCCAGTAATAACAGCCTAGAGCTATTTGAGCAAGCAGAGCACTGCAGCATTAAAATCTTCAGTAACACACAAACGCCTATTTGGTGACATTTGTTATCGAAAATTCTGGCTTTAGCATTTAGCCGATAATGATAATAATTATAATGATGATCATAATAATAAATAAATGAATAACAGGTTTTAGTTATATAAGGTAACACTAGGCAGATACAGACAGATCGATGCCTCATTGCACGCACTATTTTTTTTTTCAGGAAAACGTAAAGATGGCGACTTTTCGTGCGGCATTTTTTCAGCTGTTTCTACTCCTAATGATACCGTTATCTTTTTCCAACCTCATACCAAGTTTCTCCAGCTACTTGTCATGTGTTAAGATGTGCCAGTGCTCGCTCGACGAAGAAGGCAGAGTATTCGCTCAATGCAGCTTTACTAAACACAATATTACGGCAACTGATGTTCAACTACCACCTAACGTTTACAGTTTGTAAGTACATATCCTATTTGACTGAGCGCATGTATCTGTGACGTCTCCGTTGTTTCGTGTTTTTTCGTCTTCGAATTGGTATGGTTTTGAGAAAAAAACCCCTTATGTGAGCATGTTGAATATTTTTTTCCCGCTAAGTACATTGAGATGGCTCGCATAAGAATCAGATTCTTTAAATTAAAAATTACAACTTGCTGGCTCAGTTATTGAGTCCATATGTAGAAGAACATCCTAGTGAAACTATGTTACAGTGTGATACAGTTTGACTTTTCTTTGGCGGATTTTAGTGGGAAGAGCACTTAGCCAACACCAATGTAAAAGAAGACGAAGCGCTCTCCAGAATCTCTCCAGTTGAATGAAAAGGCTTGCGCAATTTTCCTCGCGATATCAGAAGGCTTACAGTTGCCTCCCTTCATTCCCTCATTAATCTTTACCAGTCTGTTCTCTGAAGAAAAAAAAACTGAAGCAAAAAAAATTATAATATAATTTATATACTCTTAGCGGGCGCATGTGAACAGAGCCCTCGCTTTTGAATGTCTCCTGCATGGGCTGGTGTCGTAAAAAGGTTCCTTTTTTAGTTTATTTGCGCAATGTTTATCGATGTTTCTCCTAGTCGAGAAAGTAAGGTTGGTAAGGTTGTTGAGGTTGACTAAACGAGTCGGGAATATTTTGTCTCCATTTGGACTTAATTATGTGCAAGTTTCACCTTTTCGCTTTGAAATGAATCAAAACTAAGAACTTAAAATAAACTTGAAACAGTTCGCTGTATCTGTGGCTGTTATCTGCCCTTTTAACTACCGTTGAACGTTGTGCAGTAATCCATAAAAATCGCTAGTTAAACTATAATTTATCGTTGATTTCCCGTCCCTTCGTCCTAATTTGTATTCTTGTGTTTCACTTTCCACCTGTGTTTAAAGTCGTTTTACCACCTACATATGTGAATGCACCAGGTGTCTACTGGTAATTTACTAAACCAAGAGCCATAATGATCTCTCGACTAAACAAAGAAAGTAATTCTCTAATGACAGATGTTAGGAAATTATCATGGCTTTAACTGAAATTAAAAAGGATGAGCTTTGTTTTGCTCTCTATGCACTAAGTGACCAACTTTTTTATGGGTTTGGATTTGTGCTCCGAAACCTGATTTAGTATTCACATGAAAAATACATTGTAGTATAATACCCTTTCCCGATTTAGGAGATATTTCAACACGGGTTTTCTTGTTTGACAAAATAAACTCCTGTGAAAGTAATAAAAAAACCTAGGAAAAGTTGGAATAGGAAATCTAATAAAGCTTACATAAACTTGTATTCTCACGGAAGTTACTAAGCAAAAACCTCCTGGTAAAATACACAATCAACAGATCCTAGGAGAAGTTAGTTTTTGGTTGTTGTACTGGATGCGAAAATCAGACAAATCAGATTTCCAGGAGCCCAGCGACAACAGTTGCAAGTTGTATCAATCATCCAGTTTCTTGATCGAACCTTGACGCAATTAAGAGGGTGATGCGCATTTTACCCCTAAGTACTACAAGAGTGAGTTCCCCAAGATTAGAAGGTGCATTCACCTATCGTCGAACGCAACAAGCCAATCTTTGATTCTTAGTTTTGATTTCTATATTAAGTTGTCATTGTCTGGTTGACTGCTTGTTGAAACTACCGTAAAATTCCGAAAATAAGCCCCTCCTTATAAGCCCCTCAAAATCGTAACGCAAAAAACCCTCCGTTAAATCGCCCCTCCGAATATAAGCCTCCCGGGGGCCTTGTACTTGGAATTTGCCCTGGAATACAAAGTAAAACAAAGCAAAAATGGTAAATCTCCTTCCCACCACAAGCTAGCCCAATAGATTTTGAAATGCAAATTTTCCTCCGTACATAAGCCCCTCCAAAAATAAACCCCTTAATAAAGGCCTTTGAAGAGTATAAGCCCCGGGGCTTATTTTCGGACTTTTACGATATTCACGATAATCTTGGGGCGGTCATCCAGACCCTGAGATGGGGTGGGGGGGGGGGGGGGGCGAATTAAGTTTTTTGGTCCTTCGGTCTTCACTTTGGTCTTTTGATAGTGTTTTGTAGTGTACATTTATTTAACAACTTTCTCTTTCAATTCACTTTGCAGGGATTTATCAAACAACAGCTTTTCCCATATTCCTGCAGCGTTATTCCAGAAGTACAAGAACATAACAAAGCTGTAGGTAGAAATGTTATAAAGAGAGTGTGTCAGAACTATTTGAACCGCGTGAAAGCCCAGCAATTGACAAGTTAACGGATCTGATTCTGGTCTTATTTATTTGATCTTATTTAGCCAAAACGGGTATATGCCGCTGAATAGGATATCGTTCTTATGGTTTTCTACAGGGTATATAATTTGATCACTATATATTCAGTCTTGAACAGGGTTTTAATTGCGTAATGTAGCAGTTGTTCGGAAGAGAAGTCACCAATGGTGCGTTTCGTGACCCCAAACAATGCTAAAACAATTGGAGGAATGACATGCCATTGTTTCCTGCGACCAATTAGGAGAGACCTTAAGAGAAGCCCCTACACTACCCTTTCAATATTTGATCAGAAGCTTTAAAAAAGTGTGAAGGTTGGCGGTGAATCCAATAGACCCGCACCGTACTAAACCTCTTATTTCAGTGGTCCCCTTTAATCTGCACTTCCATTGTTTTCAGGGATAGGGGCATTGCTATGTGACAATCCCTATTGTTTTCCCAGCTAATCAAAAACAATCTTTCAAATAGGTGGGGGATCGCCCGGTGAATCAGGTTCGTCAAGTCAGGTCTCTTGGTTTAAAAAACAGGGTAGCGTTCACAGGCGTATTTCGGAAAAGAACAACTTGGAACTACATGCCGTGAGAAGCATATAGAAGGGGGGTATATGCTTCTCACTCTAGAAATATTGGTCATCGCACGGTAAAATACGTAAATGGGGTGGAAATAATAGTTAAGGCAAATGTTACATCCAAACGCTCCAAAAATTTGCGGTCGAAGAGATTTGAGACAAATTTATGGGTTTTCGTACGCCAAAATTACGATCACTCGATCGCGACCCTGCAATACAAAGTTTTTCATAACCGTTTGTGTTTGTGAGACTAATTCTTAATGTAACCTCTTTGTATAACAGAATATTAGATGACAATTTGCTACACAACCTTACATCAGAGTGGTCGTTGGCAGACTTTCCATCGCTTGAATACCTGTAAGTATCTAATCAGAAACAAGATGCTACCAAAGTGTATACTTCGGCTCTATGATCAGAGACTTAGTTCGTTCATTCAGTGAAAAATGTATAAGAATGCGCCATTAAACGGAAGATTGTTCACGGTACATTCAATATTCAGCCATTACACAGAAAGATTCGGAAAAAATTGAATTTACGAGCATTTGTATATGAACTCTTAAATAGTGTATTCATTTACATGTACAACCAATAATTACTTTCTTAGGGCCGGTCTTACATAATAGGTGGGGTGACCCACCACATGTTACCTCATCTATCTGGGGTCCCCCACTTCAATGTAAACAGGCCCTTAATAACAACATTGCATCAATCTTATATGATTTATTTCTTACCTAATTAAGGCACGTTTATTACAGAAATTAAAACAAAGAGTAAAAGAATTAAGATTACAAGATTGCACGGATTGCTATATAAGTTGTGAGAGTGGGGGAAGGAGACTAGGAAGTAAAAGGCTTCTAAAGTTCAGAAAGAACCCCTCTGGATATGATTTTACTGGGGTGAAATAAAATGGAAACTAAAAGGTTATAGAAACACAAGGATTTGGCTGGAAAAGAAAGTTGAAAATGATGCAGACTATGAATTAAGGTGGCAAGAATTTGAGAAAGATATTGGGAGAGAATTTTGAATGTTTGGTTGTCGCTGTACTTTTAGTAGCCCAAGTCGAAGACAACTCACAACACGAAGCCCACGAAAGAACTCAAGTTGCTCAATACGCCCTCCCCCTTTAAGATAGTCTACTGCAGGTTTTTGACAAGGTGACACAAAGCAAAGAAAACGCAGCTGCAATATTTCATCATTGGTTGCATTCAAGAGAAATATGGAGGCCATATTCAAAACACTAATGGCTTTTAAGGAATTTATTTGATATCAATTCTAAGGTTTTACCATGCAGGTCCATCCAAAGGAACTCAATAAGATCAGTGGAAAGCAATTTTTTCAGAGGACTCAATCGACTGAAATATTTGTGAGTGTTTTATTTAATTTTGTCGTAAGTATTTAGTTAATCAACTGATGACACTTTTTTTCACAGAGGCCTGAAAGTCGCTTTCCTGGCAATTATAGCTTGAATTTTTCAGTAACTGATCGATATTAGGCGCTTATAATGTTTGAAAGAGGAGAAAACGGTGACTGTTATCATGTGTAACTTGGTAGTATTAAAACAGGTATCCCTTCACTTTTTTCAACTTCCATGCCTTGTGGAAGGCATGAGACCCCCCCCAAAAATGACAGCTTTAAGATTACACCAAAGACGGGCATTTTCTCAAAGGGGCTGTCTCACGGCTGTCTATTTCATTTTGTCTTCTTGGTTTGCAACCACGTGACAAGGCGGCCATGTTGGGGGCCAATACAACAAAAATTGTTTCTCCAAGAATTTACATAAAAATATATTTTATTTTCCGGGGGAGAGAAATGCTTTTGTTCTTAACCACCACCATGGCCGCCCTGACGTCACCTGCAAACAAGCAATTGCCAATTACACGTCATTTTTCGCAGTGCGACTTGACGCTAGCGAAGAAATTACTAGCAAATGACAAAATCTTTGCTTCACTGAGTCAAAAAAAGATAAACGTGACAAACAGCAAACATGAACTTTAAGAAACATTTAAGCTCACGCTGACATGCAAGTGTTCACCACAATTGAAATTAAAAGAGATATTGAAGTTTTAATCTTTTTCAAATTTTCCCAAGCGTGCCTTATTTTGTAATGCTGTGCTGTTTATTGCCTCTTATTCCTACTAATGTTTTGAGCGATTATTGTTGTGCTTCACTCAGTGTGGTGGCCGCTCTCGATGTTTGAATTTCGATAAATCTCGTGACACATCTCCTTTAGTTATATACCGTAAAAATTCCGAAAATAGGCCCCGGGGCTTATATTTTTCAAAGGTCCTTTTTAAGGGGCTTATTTTTGGAGGGGCTTATATTCGGAGGGGCTTATGTACGGAGGGAAATTTGCGTTTCAAAATCGATTGCGCTAGCCTATAGTTGGAAGGAAATTTACCGTTTTTGCTTTGTTTTACGGTGTATTTGAGGGCAATTTCCAAGTACAAGCCCCCCAGGGGCCTTATATTCGGAGGGGCGATTTAACAGAGGGTTTTTTGCGTTACGAATTTGGGGGGCTTATATTTGGAAGGGCTTATACAAGGAGGGGCTTATTTTCGGAATTTTACGGTATATAAGAAAATATATGCTATTTTTTTTTTCTAGGAATCTTGGTCTCAACGACATAGAAAGATGGTCTGGTAACCAGTCCCTTAACACGCCTAATCTTGAACTCTTGGACATCACAGCAACAATCAGCTGGGAGCCAGATGAAAATATCCTGGCTCTTCCGAAACTTAAAGAACTTAAAGGAGTTACATGGTGCAAATTTTGTCCAAATTGTACAGTCATAAATCCGCGAAATCTTGTTGATGAGTCAGAGCGCAAACGAAAGGCTGAACAATGCCTTGAACAATTTGACCAAATGAAGTTCCTCGAATTTGGAAAGAAGGATCCGAAAAGGTTTATAAAGCATCGGTTTTTACCAGAATGCATGTGCGTGAGGCAATCGGAATGTGAATTTCGACACGTTGTGATGCCATATTTCAAGAAGCGAACCTCCTTACCACAAAAGCTTTTCTACTTGGAGTACTTTCTTAGTCCCTTCACCATCCTTCTGAACATAATTGTTATCCTGATAGTGCTGTCATCCCGTTCCCTGCGTAACACGCCGTCATTTATCTTAATCTGTCATACGGGAATTATCGACTTGCTGATCGGTATTTACGCAATCTGGGTGGCGTACACGAACATCTCTAACATCGACGGTATTTTAGAAGAAATAATGTGGACTGGAAAAGAGGTGCAACCTTCCACAGGACCCATCTTCATCTCAGGGCAGCTTATCTCGGTGTCTATTGCACTGCTTCTTACACTCGAAAGATACCTCGCTGTTGTTTACTGTATAGCTCCTTCTAAGCGCATGACCGCTAAGGGCGCTCACATCTCTTTGTCATTTGCCTGGGGCATAGCAATAACGTTTGCGATCTTGCCCATATTTGGTGTTGGAGGTCTACATTACAACATCAAACGGGCTTGCACTCCTTTGAGTTATGACGAACAGTTTGATTCCGGTTCCTCCCTGATTCTAGTGACTTCTCTCACTGTCATACTGCTCTTGTACTCGGTAACTCTTCCCTTGTACATCCTACTTTTCCGGTTTGTGAAAAAGAGCAGTAACCAGGTCGGTGTCAAGCGAGAGCTGTCGCTTGCAAAAAAGATTGCCGTTTTGGTTTTCACAAACTTCATTTTCTTTGCCATTCCAATACTCCTGATCCTTGTGGTTTCAATTTTTGCCAATCTCGACAACAACCCCTTCGATTTTGACGGCGATGCTTTTAAAAGCACTGTTTTCAAGATTGCCATTGGCCAGTGGTTGCCGGTCACGTGTCTGAACATCAACTCCCTATCGGATCCTTTCCTGTATGCTTTCAGACATGCGCATTTCAAGCGGGAGATCAGACGCAAACTTAACCGTCTCTGGTCCAGCTCGGTCTTTCCTTCTCTGGCCCCCATGGTTATGTTCAATTCCTTTGGAGATACCATAGCAGATGCAGCTGACGCACAAACAAGAAAAACGGTAGGAATTGAATTCCAGACACAATGTAACAAGACCAACGAAAACACGCTTAACTCAAGCAACGAAGAATTGGAGTTCAATAAAATAGAAAAGTAATGCTCCTGAAAAAAATCCTCGCCTCAGGCTACTCATTTTTGAATGAGAGAAACGCACTTAGCTACTATAGTTGTAAGACTTTGCTTAATGGACTTAACGTCAATCTAACACTACAAAATCATTATAAAATTAATGCTCCGTCATTGAAAACGAAACTAAGCTTGTAATTTTAACGAGTTCAGAATTATCAAGACTGAAACTTCTACGCTACAATTATGTAAAATATTTTAATGTAAAAAAAGATCATTGTTTATACATAGAACATTAGAAATAAGAGTTTGTAAATAATTATTAAGAGTCGTAACCATGCCACAAGTAATTCAAAATGAAACAGACTATGTCGCAAATTCTCAATCAACCATTTCAGTGTTAAGCATATACACGTCATTAATTAAAACATTTCTAAAAAATCCATAACTTCGTCCTTTGTAAACCCACAAAGATGCATGTACATTAGTCACACGCCGTAATCAGTTGCACACCTTTGTTATCTCGCAAGTTTGTAAGTAATATAATGCAATAAAACTTAATATGAACTTTCTTGGTGCCTTTTAGAAAGTTACATCCTTACAACCGAACTCCCGGTATTTTAAAGCAAAGTCCGACCCAATAGGCATAAGAAATGATATTTTTTTGTTTGTTTGCTTGTTTTTAATAAATTAAAACTAAAATAAAGGGAAAAGGCAAAACTTTATAAAAAAAAAAACGAAACGAAAAACCGAAACGCAGGAGCTAAACAAAGAAATAACCAAATAGCACGTTTTGACTTCTTTACGGAGTAATGATCGTGAAACAATCTAAAAAGGTATAAAAATTAATTTCATAGATCCAAAAAACGAAAGAAAATCAATGTGTCAGTAAAGAGAGATTTTCATGCAAGCTTCAGACGACAATACACGAACAAAAGTTAAACAACAAACGAACAATATTGTTCAAAGATTGGACAAATGCTTAAAAGTACGTCATATTCCATAACTTGGGGCAACAGAATCCGGGCAGTCGAACGATGCTTCTTCGCCGCAGAGGTTCCCTTTGGCGCAAAACGACCGAGAGTATTATCTCTTTTTTCCCCCTAACTTTTAATAATAATTAATGCTCTCAACCCATAACCCCTTAGATAAGCAAGTAACTAGACCAGAATTATTATGGGGAAAAGGGGTAAGGGATGAAGTACTCCAAATATGGACAGCAGGTCACTTTTCTCTACATATTGGTGTAACAGTCCGAAATCTACAAGGGGAGAGGTGATAATCCTCTCTAGGGAGTGATAATCCCCCAGGATAGTGAGAGGTGATAATCCTCTCTTGGGGGTGATAATCCCCCAGGATAGTGAGAAGCTAGGTGATAATCCTCTCTAGGGGTTGATAATCCCCCAAGGTTGTGAATGGAGGTGATAATCCCCCTTGGGTACTGGAGAGGTGGAAAGACCTCTCCAGATGTCTAATTCCCCGGTTTAAGGAGTAAAAAGAGTCTATGGGGCAAAGTGTGACCTGTATGGGAGCACTTCATCCCGAACCCATGTTTATTAATTGCCAACGACTCTCAATACAGATATCATCACTAATTTAACCTAGGATTGCGTGCCTGCTGCCCGTCAGGAAAAACCCTCAATTATTTTGAGGGAAACCTGAACCCTCGCGAAAGCAGAGCCAGACACTTAACATGAACCTCGAGGGAGAGAGGTTAGACAAAAATATATTAATAGAAGTTGTAAGTAAATAACAATTAAACTTTTATCAACTCAATAATCAAAATAAGGCCCAAAGTAACTAAGTGCACAAGCATGTTAGGATGCCTGGTACAATGATTCCCCTCAGTAGAAACCCCACCTCTTTTCTGCCATATCTTCTTGACAATTGCAAATTGATTCAAAGTGTATGACTGCAGAAAGTATAACCAGCTTCTTAAATTTTTAAGCAAGAGAAAAAACCTCATATATGAAACCGTAAGAAAACCAGCAGAGAGAATCAAGCAGTAATAAGGGAGGGTGGGATGGGATTTTGTTCCACGAAGAGAAGAATATGAAGTGCTATTTTGCTGAGCTAGGCGCGAAAATATAGGCATCAACTGTACATGTGATAGCTGGCATCTAATTGGTTGAGCGAAACAATTAGTGTGACAGGGGTCACATGCAGGAAGTGACCCCTGAAAGGAAGTGAGCTGATTCCACTACTTGTAAGGGCGGGTTTATGGTTATCACATTAACTCCAATTTATCCTGTTGTATAAATTAGCTAATAAATAACGAGCACTTGACGAAATTCAGTATTTAAGATCCAAGGAACGTAGCTCTGACAAACTAGCCCTTAGTGAAATGGTTTCTTTTTCCCTCGAGTCTTGGTGATATCCTCAAATCAAAGGACAACGAAACACTCAATTTCGTTGTCAGATAAGGTTTTTTTTTTCCCTTCTCCTGAAAGAGGCGCCCTAGGATTAGTTTCAGGCCTGGAAACCATAGATTTATAATAATATTTACAGGGTTATTGAGAGACCTACATAAAGGTATTAAAGAAGGAAGAATTGGGTTTAGGAAAAACAAGATTTATTATTACACCCTATTAGACATTCGCCAAAAAAATACCCGACTGAAAGTTAGGAAAATACTCCATTGACAGATCAGAGACAAAGAATGTCTAATTCTGAGTCTTGACATCTACAGCGTAATAAATGTAAATGTCTTTTTGAAACAATAAATTTATTTCAGAAATCCATACAAATTTATAACAATTCAATAAATAGCTATTATTTATTTTACTATTCAATTGGGGAAATTATTATATTGTGGAACAGGAAAACCTAATGCCTCGTGTAATATATACATTTCTAAGTGATTCGCTCTTTTACCCTGGCCCTTGGCTGTGATCTTTAAAAAATGTAAAAAAGAGTTTCCCCTTTTTTAGTAAGGTTTTTCTTGGTCGATATCTTGTATCTTGCTGTTTTTTCAATAAAATAGTATAACAACAACCAAACAAAACAGGCATGCCGCCAAAGAGACAAAGAAATTCAAAATCAAAACGTCCACTGCAGTTAAGAGGCCAGTACAGTCTAAAAAATAGCACTACATAATGTAATAGCGATATACACCTGTTTTTGGTTTTTAAACGGGAAGTATAGAAAAAATATTTAGTCATCCTTTTTTTCCACAGGAAGACTTTTAGTCCATTTATGCCCTTATATTTATACGAACATTCTTCCTACATTGAAAGTGCAATCGGCTGCTGGACGTGAGGGCCACTCTCGCTTCTCGCTCGCTTGCTGTTTCCGTTTTTTTTTTTTTTTTTAAGTTTTGAGAACTGTCAGCTATTAAAGCAAATCCTATTTTATATAATGTTATCTTTCTTTTGTTTGCTTTTTTATTTTTATTTTTTTTCAAAAACAAAAAAATGGTAAAAACAAGAACAAAAACACCCGGGACGCACGCCCCAAGAACTCTTTCCCATTAAAGCCATCTTCATGCAAAACCCTATATAGGAGACGTCACGTGATTACACCACACCAGTGTAAGATCCTGACTGGTCGATACGCCCTCTTAACAATGGTTCTTGTTCTGCTGAGCCTGAAGTGGCATTGTTATCTTCTTCCTCCGGTGCAGCCACCTGAAGACAAATCAAGACACTTTAACCATTCTTTTTTCTTAAGCAGTAATCATGAAGAAGAAGCGGTATTTATTTTAAATTTTAGAAGTTTCAGTCTCTACCTTCTTTCTTTAAGTTTTTAAACGTGTAAGCTGGGTAGAGATTGAGGAAGTACTGCTTAAGTTGTTTTTTGTGGTCCAATTCTACGCTGGGTTTAAATTTCATTTTCCTAACGTTGATTTGGGATATGAAAATGTATGATAACGAGTTCAGAGCAGAGGAAGATAAAAATCTAAACGGAAGGTAAAATCGAACCAAACACATAAACGCGATGTTCTTTCACGCGTTAAGTAACTCTTCCGCATTTCGTATACTACCCTTCATATCTTCATCATCGTCGTATATATTACACCTCGCTAGCAAAGCCTTTCACTTGCTCGATTTGGAGCACTCGAGAAAGATCTTTGTTTTTGGGTACAGTTTCGAATCCACCTCTATTAGCCTTGCGCTTCGTAGAGCGGGTTCAGTGACGACCGACGGTTTATCAATAAACCGATGCTCACACTCGGAACTGACCAGTTTGACGAGAGAAAACAAGATTGATCAATCCAGAAGTTCGGGCTTCGGCGACTGCAAGGGCTCCATGCGATTCAGGCAGAGCCTTCTTTTTTTTTCTCCTCCTCACCAAGGAGACAAAAGGAGGCTCTTATCGCAGGGTGCGTATATTACGAACTCTAAAAGCAAACAGCTCCCATTTACCTTGATAAATCAGTGGTAAGAGCGGCACTCACTGGTTTCGCACAGGTTTTTAATGGAAAGCAGTTTAGACTGGTAAGCTTCGCCTCGTGATCGTGTTTACTATTTCTACAGATAAGTTTTCTTTTCCGGAAAAAGAGCGCGAAAGCCAGAAACTGGTATCAAAGATAGGTTTGAATAAATGGAACATATATTTCCCTTTGGAACATTCCGCCCGAAAAAAAAAAAAAAAGAAAAAAAAGAAAACAGGACTTTTTCAGATGTTCCGTTGCTCATCACGGAAAGTTTGCTTTAGAACGAACCATTATTACTCGTGTTTCATATACATTGGCCACCCGGAAATTCCGAAATCTGTTGGCAAATGTTATCAAACCAACAATTTGCCGTTCTTGCTGCCGCCGTTGTCGTGCGTGCTTAAGATCTCTATTACCTAATACCTGAACAAACAATGAATATTCACAAAATTTACCTGTTGTGGCGGGTCGGGTTTAGGCATCAAAAGTGGGATTATCAACAGCTGATTGTAGAGAGCAGTGCCAAGTAAAAGGAAAAGAAAACCATCAACTGCAGAATAACACAAAGCCGTTCAATAACCCTTTAAATGATACGAGTGACCAAGTATCAATTCATCATCAAGAACAAAGGTTATGAGAATTACCAAAATGATCACCAAAGGGAGATCAGTCTGGAGTTATTGGAAGTAGGTATTGGGGCTTAAGGTGTTTAAGCAATTTGGCAGCAATACATAGCTCCTGTTTTTACAGTCACAAATATTAAAAAGTACTCGATTGAAGGTATTTAAAAAATGAAACTAAGGCAAAGGAACGCCATTGCGTAAGAGGTGGTAATCTCAGGAACAATAAATGATTTCCTTGCTTTCTTTTCACGAATCTTTTTTAACCTGTTTGACACAGACACCTTTTACACAAAACTGTGAAAGGTTTGAACCCATGAGCCATTTCATAAGTATGGTGACTATGATCGTCTGGTGAACGAAGTCCTGAATAGGACTGTTGTTGTCGGCAGTGACTGGCGTTTGGACAACCTTTCCCGTGACATCTTCAGAGTCAAAGTGAGTTGTATCACGTCGCTTGATGGTATTAAGCTCTAGTTATTGTTATTGTTGCATTGCTCAACAGTTCTAAGAAATCTTCCCTACCTTGAAAAATGCCATATCGTTTGTCCCAAGCTTCTCCAAAACCCTAAAACGGAATAAAAAAGATCTAAACCTATTAAATTACAACTGATTAATAGCTTCAAACTACTTCGTACCGCAAAGAATGATCGACACGCTCGACGAACATCACTGAAAGACGGATAGCTCTCAACAAATGGGCACCCTGAATTGATTTCTACCGTTTTTAAGTGAATTCAGTAGCCATATCTTTGGCTGGATAATGTGGACACCATTCAAAGATAGGCGTAAGTAATGACGACGGCGAAGGCGAAGGCGAAGGCGAAGGCGAAGGCGAAGGCGAAGGCGACGAGAACGTCAAAAAAGTATAACAGGTATAAGGAAGGAAAACAACAACTCCGGCGTGTGCGTCACACTTTTTCATGCACTTCTCTGTCTTCCCCTGTACGACTGAAACGTGAATTTCTAAACTGCAACGCCTGATCTATATCAGACGAGTACACATGCGAACGAATTTATTTTCCTTTTTTTAACGAGGAGAATTTAACTCCGAGGAAACATTTGAGTTATTGAGAGGATTAGAATAATCGTCAATATGTTTCAAACAATGCGGGTTAGTATTAATTAGTATTATTAGTAACCAACGGCTCCGCTACTTTCACAATCGTAGCTGCTGAAGCTCTCTTGTTTTTCAAAGTTAATATACCTCGTGAAAGACATAGTGGATGAATAAATCAACAAGCCACACAACGATGGTTCTAAGGGCGTCTATTAATGTTCGATGCACAGCTGAAACAAGAAATATAATTTGTTTTAATCAGAAGGTAATGTAAACACGAGAAAGCAAGTTTTAAAAAGGAGTTGTTAGTGAATAAGAGAATTAGAGCGATTTTGGTATGACCTTGAAATGAAAACGAGCAAACAAAACAGAAACAACAAACGAACCGAAAGAGAGCGATTTGATTGGTTTATCGAACGGATACAAAGGAGCGTGGCTTTTGGTTGGTTAAGCGAACGCTCAAGTGAAAAAACTTCATGCCTGAGAACTTTCTAGAAATCAATCGATACTTCGCCTTGACGTCATACTGCAACACGACTGACCAATCGAACAATGCCTCCTCCATATTAGGGTTTTCTTTGGCGGGAAAACAAAGAGTCCATGTTTTGATCTTTTCATCCATTGACTTATGAAACAGATGACGAACACTTACCGAAACCATTTTTCAAGGTCATAGGAAAATCGCTCTAACGTGGCCTTTGCCAGAGTCGACTAAAGCTATGTTCAAACAATACCGGATAGCTTTTGCGCCGGCGCGGAAACCATACCGGCGGATTGGGTTCTGTTCACACATAAGAACTCTTATGGCGGCGCGATTTCGGTAACGGAGCGAAGCTGCACCGCGTCGATCTCGAACGTGGAGCGTCACATACCAGATAGGTTCTGTTCCAGACTGTGGTGTAGTGTAAACGGGTATTCGGGCTATAGCGGAAGTGAATACGTAGGATAGCTTTACGATCGTGTCGACACGATAAACAATCCCGCCGGTATATTGGGAACACAGCCTAACACTATCGCTAGTTTTATAACATCGCGTTTGGATGTAATGAACCGATGAGTGTTTGGGACTATTTTGAGAATCCTCATTGCAATTTAGACTGCGAAAACATCCGTTTCTCCTCGCTCTTCGCCGTTGGGGACGTTTTCAGGTCCCCAGCGGCGAAGAGCGAGGAGAAACGGATGTTTTCGCAGGCTAATTGCAATTAAGTCGTGAAGGATTCAGTCTAAGGAAAAAAAAACGGATCACCTCCATGTATTTGGATTAATTCACCGTTGGTCCATAGTAAAAATTCATATTAATTTTGTAAACATTGTTTTTGTCATTGCAATGAGCCAGCCACTGGAAAAAAAAAAACACTGTTCATTTTAAAAACCAACAAATAATGAGCCTGGGGCTCTGCTCCATTAGTGGCAAAGGCCCAAAAAGAATAAAACAAGAAGAAAAACAACAACAAAAAAAACTAACAAGCGACTAGAATATTATTAATTTCTGGACAAGGAGAGAGGAGGATGCAAACAATTAGGGCAACCAGCGGACATACAGGGAATACGAGGACACAAGTGTGTGAAAGGAGCGCAAAAGAGTACGATTCAACCCTTTGTATACGAGTATGTTAAACAGTTTTTCCCGCCTTTACCTGTTAATGATTTGGTGACTGCTAATCCAAAGAAATTGTAAAAGGAAATAGAACAGATGTATAAAACTGAAAAAAAGAAAAAAAAAACATTCAAGAAAAAAGTATTTTTGCAATAATACATACAACTTTCTTTGAAATATACTTTGTAACAGTTGAAAAGAACACCTAAAGAATTGAGGATATTGCACTGGATATTGAGTGCAGTATACATGTTCACTACACATCGAATGTTTAGTAATATGCTAATCGAAGTCTGTACATTGAGTAGGTAAGATATTGTTTCCATTCAACAAACGTTTGACGCACTTTTCCGACCATTTGTAAGATGTGCTGCACGAACGTATGGACGAAAAACGATCTTTCAACTGAAGTAAAAGATGTCAATATATACGTGTATGATTTCTCCGCTATTCCCCATTTCTGTGCATTTCCAATTGGGCTACATGTCCGTTTGCAACAGTATCTATCTACACAACGTACACATTATATTAGGCCATTTCCGAGTTGCAGCAAGCCTCTGTTTCAAAGCGTGCTACGTGTAAAGCTATTGATATGAACAAATGAAATAATAGCATGATTTGTACGAGATATTTACCATAAATACCACTCACGATATTTCAAAATTGTCTCAAAGTTCACTCGCCTAACGGCTCGTGAAATTACGTATAACAATTTTGAAATATCACTCGTGGTATTTATGCCAAATATCACTACAAATCATGCTATTACCTATACAAGTATAATTCATTATCACAAGAAAGGTTTTGCACTTAGCCTGTTCTGGAAAGTGAGGGTTTTTTGGAACTCGAAAATGGCCCATTCGTCAGATTAAAGATACAATATTGTCAGCATTAACTCACGTACAAAGTTGGTTAATTTCTTACGTGACATTATGAGCAATTTGGCGTCGTTCTTGATCATTACCAAGGCATCCAGACTGTTCTCGTAACTATGGTGATTCTGATCTCCAGGGATGTAATACAAAACAGGAAGGACTATCTATAACAAAACAATCACGTAACCGAAGATTATACTGAAAATTCTAAGAGAACATCACAGTAGTAAAAAGGAGTTGCACAGACAAGACACTAGACAAGTACAACGGTACCATGCAGGTACTTACTGCACTCATAAAAATTATTCCAAAGAAGCCTTCCATTCCAACGACCTACGGAGACATTATCAGTCGATATTGGTACAATAAAATAAAGAAATCATTAAAATTCAAAATAAGTTCAATACATTTGGAGGAGGGCTTTACAGCCGGGGGGATTATAATCGGATATAGATTTTTTCGTTTAGAGGTAGACAGAGCTATAATTGGGGGAAAGGGGGGGGAAGGGGTGGGCTTACGTGTGGGGGAGCTTATAAGCGGCCGTTTACGATATCAGTGGGATTTGAGAGGTGAGCGCCCTCAATCCTTAAGTAACGACGACGACGACAGCACTGGAAACATCACTAAAAACGAATTTGCGTCCTTTCAAACTTCATCGCGTCTATTTGGAACCCGCTCAATTCGTCAAATGTAGGCGACTTTTCCTGGAGTTGAATTCTTAAGGGCTTTTATGCATGTTCAAATAGAGAAGGAAAAAATTGTCGTAGTATGTCCACGCCCTCCACAAAACGTCGCATTGGGAGGTTTCACGTCGTAGTCTTGCAGTGGACGTCAAAGAAACATACTAAAAAGTGTGATGCACGTGCAGAGCAGTTATTTTGCTCATAAAACCAATCGTTGATTAAGGTCCTTAATACTGCGTGAGCAGCGCGTGTCTCAGTTCGTTGCTCTTTCTGTCACTCTGTTGAAAGCGTCCTATAGAGTGTTTTCATATGACGTCACGGCGGCCATATTGGTGTCCCAAAACCTTGAAACGACGGCCATGTTGGTGTCCCAAATAAATCCTGTGGGAGTTGAGCTCTTTTCTTATGCAAACACTTTCTTTTGTTCCAATAGATTTGCATAGATGCTGGCCACGTGAGTGAAAACGCTCTATACAGTCGAACCTTCACTAACGGTCACCTCTCTACAACGGTAACCTCTCTACAACGGTCACCTCCCTACAACGGTCACCTCTCTAAAATGGCCACCTCTCTACAATGGCCACCTCTCTACAACGGCCACCTCTCTACAACGGTCACCTCTCTACAACCACCTCTCTACAACGGCCACCTCTCTACAACGGCCACCTCTCTAAAACGGCCACCTCTCTACAACGGCCACCTCTCTACAACGGTCACCTCTCTACAACGGCCACCTCTCTACAACGGCCACCTCTCTACAACGGTCACCTCTCTTCAACGGCCACCTCTCTAAAACGGTCACCTCTCTACAATGGCCACCTCCCTACAATGGTCACCTCTCTACAATGGTCACCTCTCTACAACGGTCACCTCTCTACAACGGTCACCTCTCTACAACGGCCACCTCTCTACAACGGCCACCTCTCTACAACGGTCACCTCTCTACAACAGTCACCTCTTTACAACAGTCACCTCTTTATAAAAGCCACTTTTTTGGCGGACAGTCCATACATTGACTCTTGTTTAAAACTCTCTACAACGGCCACTTTCTTCTGTCCCCAAAGTGGCCATTGTAGAGAGGTTAAACTGTACTTCGTTTCTTTCATGCGCCTACTATACCCAGGCTATTTTGTATTCACCTTACATGGAATGTACAAAGAAAAGGAAAATACTGAACATTGCTCTACACTAAATACTAGGCATCACGATAAGGTTTGGATGGCAACCAATTAACAAACTGTAATACACTTGGGGTAAACCAGAGAGAAAACGCAAAAAAAAAGAAAAAGAACATGCAAATCATCAATGAAATACTCCATTTCAATCTTTTTATCAAGCAATGAACTTACTTGTAAAGGATGGAAGTTCTTTTTCTTCAAGAATGATTCTTCTACTATCATCTGTATCGCACTGACACACTGACCAGCCAAAATAAGAACAATACCTGCAAAATGATCCTTCGAAATGTTCCCTTAAACGAAAGGCAATACGAGAGCAGTAGCAGACAGTGATACAGTGACTTTGTATTTTAATGGTTGCTATCGTCGAAACAATAAGCTAACACTTCACTCAGAAAGTCAAAAGACTGGCTGCGCGTAGTTGGAAGGCATTGAGAGCGCGCAAGTAATGACAATAATGGCACCCGCGATTTTACCGCGAAACGTATGAACAGGCACTATATGATGAACTAAAGAGCAAAACAATGATGACGAAGTGGAACGCGAATCGAATGGACATACCTGTACCTAGACTATGTATTGATAAGGTATATAACTAGACAAGATGAACTTCATGGACACATGTATATAATACAACTACTGCACACCGCTTATTAAAGAAGCTCACTGCACTTGTGCACGCGGTAAAATTTCCAAGTGGTACCTAAAATAACGTGCCCTTTCGTGGCTCCTCGGTGGTTATCTCTGAGAACACTTGATAATCCAACAAGAACTAAACCAATCTGAAAAGTCAAATTATTTACAACAATGTTCAGTTGGAAAGACAACAGACTAAACTACCACTTTTAACCCATTCGCTCGTGAACCTCTCCTAATCGCCTGTGCAGATCCACGTCCCTTGTACCACTTTTGACATCATCAGTTTTAACGGCGGTCAAGGACAACTTTATCATCTAAGCTGGGCAGGGTGAAAAAGGAGGCCAGAGAAGCAGGAGGAAAACCATGTAAAGTTGACCCAACTTTACCAAGTTGGGTTTTGCTGGAAGCCCTGGGGAATTTTTTTGGGTATTGATTTTTGCCCCTATTCGATCATCCCCGTCACTTGAAATCCGGAGTGGTTGGCGAGCTTATTATAAGCGGCAGTTTACGGTATTTTAACATCATTTTTCCCAGGTTGACTTAATAGAGTCACGTCATTGTTAGCCTTAGGGATACTTCTTGTAACGAGGCATGCATTCACAGAGCCATAACTTACGGCCAATAAATATGATACAAGATATACAAAGTCCTTACCATGGTAACAAACATTCCAATCCAATGAATTGGCCACAGCTTTCTCTTCAAAAAGATTTTCTTGAGTACAGCAAAGACAAATTAAATTTCACTCAACTTTGCTACCGGAGGGAAGCTGAATGATGTACAGTTAAATCTTAAACCAACCACTTTAACAGGGACGTCATTGTGGGGAGGGATACAGGTGTATGACACCATTTTCTTGAGTCTTTCTTGTGGAAAGGGTGGGGTGGAGGGGTGTGTGACACCAATATATATTTCTTGCGGAAAGGGAAGGCGTTTTTGTTTTCAAATTATTATCATTAATTAAAGACCAGATCGATGGATTACAGTAAACATAATTTATGTACTTCAGGCTACTTGCACCCCGCCCCCCCCCTCTCCAAAAGGGAAAGAAAGGATCATAATATTAAGCATCACGTGAATCTACAGATCAATAGGTTTATTAAGAAATCTTGTGAACAGCTCTGTATGTCTCAGGATAGCATACATAGCAGAGTCGCGAGGAAATTGGGAACAAGGCAAATTTCACCACCTGCAGAAATCCCTCACGGCTCTGCCGCTGAGAAAGTACCCCAGATACAACAATCCTGTCACTAGCTATGCACAGTGCATAGCTATAGAGACTATAGTCTAAGGACATATCTTTTACTTACTGACAGCACTCCAGTGAATATAATGATTGAACCTCTTAGCATCTGCCAAACAGATGCATTGACATAAAGAAGGCCAATTCCTGTTAAAAATCAACAATAATCATTATATTGTTGTATTTATTAATAACACATTTTATATGGTGCTACAATAGATAGATAGAAGTCTTTGTTAAGAAATCAGTCACAACATAAGTGTGGCTTTACAATCAATAACAAGCTACATGTAAGCTAAGGTACAATAAAATCTATCATAATATGAATTACAAAAATTAAAATAATTTAAGTCGAAATATATAAAGAATAAATTTAAAAAGACACCTATTTACAAAAGCCCACTTGAATTGTTCCCTTTTTACTCTAAGGTGTACGAAGTCATGACCCCTTTCTCTAAGAACCCTATTATGTTTGGGTGGAAGCAAGCCATACAATACATGACCGGTGTCACTTGTGATTCTGTTGAAAAGATCAAGGCTCACTACTTCCTCTGTTTTTTTATTTGTATGCATTCTAAGAATAGTGCCACATGATGTCAGAGTGACCAATTTACAACCTTTGTGTGACTTGTCATTTTTGTCAAAAGTGAGAAATTAATTTTGCCAATAAATGCTAATTTCAATTTGTTCATCTGAGTTTCAGTTCTATAAACAGTTAATCACTCTGTGCAGCATTATTGCAAAGAATAAATAAATAAACAAATTAATTAATGAAAATAACTAAAAAATAGTTTGCTACTTGCCTGCCAATGTAGTCCCAAACAAATCACATACTGTAGGGAAGGCAAAAATCCACTGAAATACTCTGGGAATGAAAGGATAAAAAAAAGTACATGCATATTCTTAACGCATCACAGGAACAATTTTACAGACTACAATGTGTTTGTTTATTATCATTATGTTTGTTTGTTTGTTTGTTTGTTTCCTTTTCTGGCTGGCAAAACCTGCCCATTACAAAAAAGCTACAATATGTAACTGACAAAATTGTTGTGACACTGTTGTCCTCATATGGGATACCTTTGAAGAACAAGAAAATCCATGCCACTCCCTCTCCCCTCCATTCAAAGGGGTGCTATATTTTTTGCTGTTTTGACCATAGCTACTTGTACAGGTAGCTTGAACATTCACATGTTTAAAGTCTGTCGGTATAAACACTGAGATATTGACGACATGTTTTGGCCACATAACATACTTTGAATTCTGAAATTGAAATCAAAATATCTAAAGGAGAAGCCACTATGTCTTGTTGCCATGGCAGCAAATTTTCTGGATCTCAACGAACCATATGGCAGAAATAGACACATGGTTCGTACAATTTTTAGGCAAACATAATTCAAGGACTTTTCCAGGACTTTTGAAAGGACAAATTACAGTTTTTAAGGTCTAGGAGTTATTCAATAACTAGGCTTTCTTTGACCCTCTTTGAAGGAGTCATTTATGATTTTTACTTCATCTTCGGCCATGGGTATAAATGACTTGCATACATTATCATCTGAGGCACAGAAATAAATAGCATTATTTTGTTGTGCAGGTTCATACATCGAGGACAGGCCAAATTTTTCCTTTGCAAAAGAATCTAATTGTACAGTAAATGGTGCGCCATCAACAAAGTAGTCAAATTCAAGGACTTTTCAAGACCAAATAAAGTTTCAAGGACATTGACTGAATTCAAGGACTTTTCAAAACGACTACTATTAAACATTCAAGACCTTTTCAAGATTGTACAAACCATGTAGACATGAAATTGAAATGTATGAATTTCCTGTGCATAAATGTATTTCTTGTACATGATTACACTCAGGAACAAAACGGTAGCCGGTACTTTTCTTCCATTGTTTAACAATACAAATAACCGTCTCTGAAAAAGAAAATATTGTTACCATAGTTTAACATGCATGGAGTCACACTTTTCCTTTTTATTGGCAGAGAGTATGGGTGAATTTGATATAAACTATAGGCAGCCTCCCATTTGCTTGAAAACACTCTTAACCCTTTAAACTCCAATATCCAAATACAAATTCTCCAAACTGATCGGTATACATTTCCTTAAAGAATGAGTTGAGAGAATTTGATAAAAGATCAAAGTATTTTCTCTTAGTTGATCATTTAATTCATTCTCATAACCTCATCTCATGATAATGTGTGGATATCATTAGGAGAAAATTGCTGTTGGTCACTATTGGGACTTAAAGGGTTAAGCAAGCAAAATAATATGCTAGTGTGTCGCAGCTTCACCATTCTAACACTCACATGTCACACTCGCTCACAGAGTCTCGAGGAAGGCTATTCACTTGTCTATAAATAGTTAACATTAGAACACTACATGTAATAAATACCTAGGTTGCTGACTTATAAGTTGTTGTTCAGGGCCTGCATCCCCTTCATTGTTGATACTCTCCATAAAGCTCTACAGAAAATAGATAGAAACCATCGATATTTTTATGAGTGTATGAAATAATCAAGCCATGCTTAACAAAAAATTAACCATTGCTTAACTTAGCTCAAAACTATAAATCCAGGGTAGTAATTTATTGTAGTGGTGAAGAATAACCCAAGTAGACTCCATATTTTAGCAGACAAATTAAGCCAACATAACCATCAATGAATTCTCTACTTTATAGCAGAGTGTCTGAGCACATGGCAGAGCCCCATACCCAAAAGAGGATGGATCTGACCAATTGATGCCAGAAAAGATGTCAGCGTATGCCTGACCTCCCCTCCCTACAAACTCTGAGAGTAGGGGAAAAGAAACAGTAAAGTAGGGAAGAGAGTCCAAGACATAATACATTGTGTTTCGTTTTTGGTGCAAAATTAACCATTTTAGGTGCAGTTGCTCAGGTAAAAATATACTACTGTCTGAGATTAAAGCTTCTTGTGTTTGACTTAAAACAAAATTTTCTGAAATACATTTCTAAAGCTTTGCTTTTTAATTGCCTGGTCACACTTTTGGACACACTCCAAGAACAATTTAGTCTCCTAATGGTTGCTGGAAAAAGGAAGGATAATAAAAGTCTTGCTGCGAGGCTCTTTTATCTATGTTAAGTGCCAAAATCCCGCTAAAGAAAAACAATCGGACAAACAAACGTAAAGAAAACAAGGTTTTCGGAAACATTTTAGTCACTCTCTGGTTGCTGTCTTAAATAAAAAGTGTTGTATTGTTGTTCATCTTTATGTAGATTTATTAATGTTTTGATTGCCAGTCATAATTTTGCAAGATGTTATCAAGTTTTTTTTTTCTTTTATGGACTGTGTCAGAATGATGCATGAATGAGAGTCTGAAAATGGTTTATGCACAGTGTGTGATTTGTACTTGTAATTACACAATTTCAATTTGGTTTATTCTTACCGAAAAGAAATTACATACATGTATTAGAATTGTAGGTGTCGCACAATTAGCCGCATTAAAATACACAACACACAAAGGGCAGTTTGCGTAGACTACAAAATTATAGGTTAAAAAAGTTATCAACCTTCCTGGGTCTTTTCGCCAGAAGAAACAAAAAATATAACTTGCAGAAAAAGGTTATACTGAGCATCACATAATTTGTTATGATGCATAATCTAAAAGGTTTGTTTTGCAAAGAAAATACAATTGGCCTAATTTACTATTAATTTGGGTAAAATCCTTTGAGACTGAACATAAACTGTGAACTGGACATAGCCAGAGTTTCGTGAATGACAACCAGCCTTTGTAAAACATCTAATTTCATGGGCTATTGCCTTCTCAAAGGAGTGTAGTAGGGGGAGGGAGGGGAAGGGGGGCAGTGATGCACATGTATGGGTAAAAAATCTTTTCCAAGACTATTACTGTGATCGAATTTGATTTGAGAAATGTGATCCAAATTTATCCATGAAAATAACTTTAATTTTAAACCTGCTGTAGCTTCTTTCTTTCTCTTCGTCGATGAAAAAACAAGCCAATCAAACACATTGTTTCACCTAGAAACAAAAAAGAAGAAGTAGAAGTATTAGCTATAATAATAAATTATCAATATAATTTTATATAAAAAATAATAATAATTATTATATAATCAACATTATTAAAATAAAAGCAAATGAAAACAAACAATATTACAGGTTATAAATAATAGTCAAGAAAATACAGATCACAATAATAATAATAATCTAGATAAAAATAATAATAATAATCTAAGGCTTATCAAACCTGGTGTAACCTTTAAAATGTCATGTGAACTACTGTAGATCTGTTACATAAAGCGCGTCTCTTGGGTTTGTAAGTGGGAATACTGACAGAGGAAATTTGGACACCTAGACGTGGGGTTTAATACGAAATAGCTTGCACTTCTTGGAACAGCAATAGTCAGCCTTTTTTAGAAGAAAGCTATCAAGTCCATGCTTACCAATGAACATCAATCCAGTTTGAAACCAAGGATGATCAAATTTGTGAACCTCATTTCCATGCTCATCCTTTAGTCCCTTTGATCTGAACATACAATTTAAAATTAAATGAAAATAGTTAATTATTACATATACTGATATGCAATAATCAAACTAGAGCCTTTCCACCTGAGGTATACAAATGAAGAGATATTATATTCTACATGCAGTCGTGAAAAATAGACCTCCAGAAACCCAAGCAGCAGATTCAAATAAACATAATTTATAATCAGGCAATCACGAAAAAAAATGTTTAAAAAATATGCTATAGAGTTAAGCAATCAAAACCAGTGCAAAGTTCCATTTCTATTTCCCCTTTCTTTTTTCTTTTTTTTTGTTATCCACATACTCCCTCTGCACAGGGTGCCAGCAAGAAATTGCGTGTTCAGATTCCAGCCTTTTTCTTCCTTTTTTGGCAGGGGGAAGGTGGGGGGGGTTTGGAACGGGGGAATAAAAACTGAAACATCTTCTGAGCTAGCCTGCAGTCCCAGGGGGTACTCTCGATTTCAAATCACAACCCAACTTTCCCTGAACCAAAAACTAACAACCAAAAAAATACCCATGCCAAATTTCCAAGCCTTAAAAATCTCCAGGAAGGAAAGCAATTCTTGTGCTAATTATTGTTAGTTAATCATTAGTCTTAATTTTTATAACTTGTGATTATCACACGGCATGTCTGAAAACCAGCTTGCTGAGCCATTTACTGTGTTTAAATAAAGTTGATTGAATTGAATTGAAAACAAGTTTGGTTGCACTTTTAATATTTGGTTGTCCTTCATAACACCGCCCGAGCCACATTCCTAGGAGCCTCTGTAGGAGCCTATTGATAGATAAACTTAAACAAGTAAGCAGATACTCGAAACTCAATTTGTGCGAGTTTCGAATTTGTTTGTTTACCTTTAGCAGAGGATATGTTTTGACTATGGTCAACAAACACACGTTTTACGTTTTCATTTCAAAAGCACAAAACGAGCATCGAATTTGGTCGTTCCTTCATTGCGAGTAGGTGTAAAAGCAATAATTTGCCATAAGAATCATAGGTTTTAGGCACCTGTGTGAGCTCCTTATTTAAAATTTTAGTCGCCTGCCACAGGCCGCCAGGACATCGCAGGAGCCTGTAGTGACCAGACGCCCATTAGGCAGCGGCCTTAGCCTACTAGTATTGTGAGCAAGCATAAATGGACCTGTGGGATATAACGGGACCAGACTTGCCAAGTCTCATAACTTTGTCATGTGTCTCACAATTTCATGACCTATGTAACGCTCTCATGAGTTGGCAACCGATTTCTCATGTTTCTCGGAAAATCTAACTCCAAAAAAATTTGGAGTTGCAGGGTTCATTTCCAAGTTAGATATCAAAAGATAGCCAGCTCAATCCAAAGAAAACGCTTAGCGGTCGCGGTCTTCTAGCCTACTGAGACTTGCCCGCTGCCACCAAATTAATGTGAAGCTGTTTCTCTCAGATGGCCGCCAACAAAACATAGAAATCACAATTACTTTTTAAACCTAACCCCCAAAATTGATCGTAACGTTTACTACTGCAGCTTTAAAGTGATATGTGACTTCCAATACTCATAGTCCCCACTGAAAGTCCCTTCCAATAGGAAATTAGGGACAATCTCACGACTCTTTACCCATTTCTCACTGCTTTTCCCAAACCTAGAGCTTAAAAGCAGTCTCACAATTTTTCTTTTTGGGGGTTGGCAAGCCTGCGAGACCGACTGCGGTATGCACCCATTGTTTCGAGTGATTAATTTACAGTGCTTTTATTGCTTGACTGTATATGTGTGTGGCGCGAAATATCCGATTGACTGTTCAGAATAGTCACGTGAAGGTTTCTCTTTTGACAGCAGCTCTAATAAAGATTCCGCCTAAAAAGCAAGATAAGCATGAAGAGGGAGAATTAAAAGCAATTTAACACCCTCGCGATACTTACGAACAATCATTTTGTGCTTTCTTCGACAGGGTATTTATAGATCCAGAAATAAGCATTCCGATTGCCAGAAGAATCTGCGTGCACGTCAAGGCCGCCATCTTGGCCCCCGAGCGTTCCCCGAGCGGAGTATGGCAGACTCGTACCCAGTCCCTATTTATGTCTTTTAAGGGTGAGACAAGATTGGGGGTTAGGTTGAGGGTAATAAATCCGTGTTCTCCTACACCAATACAAAAAATCCAACTAAAATATCTTAATGTAACATGTAACTATGTGTCACTCAACATAACTATGCATCACTACCCATCACCACCAATCACTGTCCATCACCACCAATCACTGTCCATCACTACACATCACTACATATCACTATATATCACTACACATCACTACATATTACTACAGATTACTACTCATCACTACCCATCACTACACATCACTATCCATCACCACTCATCACTACACATCGCTACCCATCCCTACACATCACTGGACATTACTATCCATCACTACACATCACTATCCATCATTACACATCACTGTCCATCACTACAAAGCACTACCCATGACTATACATCACTACCCAACACTATCCATCACTACACATCACTGTCCATCACTACCCATCACTACACATCACTGTCCATCACTACATATCACTGTCCATCACTACACATCACTGTCCATCACTACACATCACTGTCCATCACTACATATCACTATCCATCACTACACATCACTGTCCATCACTACGCATCACTATCCATCACTACACATCACTGTCCATCACTACACATCACTACCCATCACTACACATCACTACACGTCACTGTCCATCAAGACACATCACTGTCCATCACTACACATCACTACCCATCACTATCCATCAATACACATCAATGTCCATCACTACCCATCACTATCCATCACTACACATCACTGTCCATCACTACACATCATTGTCCATCACTATCCATCACTACCCATCACTACACATCACTACACATCACTACCCATCACTATCCATCACTACACATCACTGTCCATAACTACCCATCACTATCCATCACTACACATCACTGTCCATCACTACCCATCACTATCCATCACTACACATCACTGTCCATCACTACACATCACTGTCCATCACTACACACCACTGTCCATCACTACACATCACTACCCATCACTACACATCACTACACATCACTACACATCACTATCCATTACTATCCATCACTACACATCACTACCCATCACTACACATCACTACCCATCACTACACATCACTGTCCATCACTACACATCACTACCCATCACTATACATCACTACCCAACACTATCCATCACTACACATCACTGTCCATCACTACCCATCACTACACATCACTGTCCATCACTACATATCACTATCCATCACTACACATCACTGTCCATCACTACGCATCACTATCCATCACTACACATCACTGTCCATCACTACACATCACTACCCATCACTACACATCACTACACGTCACTGTCCATCAAAACACATCACTGTCCATCACTACACATCACTACCCATCACTACACATCACTACCCATCACTATCCATCAATACACATCAATGTCCATCACTACCCATCACTATCCATCACTACACATCACTGTCCATCACTACACATCATTGTCCATCACTATCCATCACTACCCATCACTACACATCACTAAACATCACTACCCATCACTATCCATCACTACACATCACTGTCCATCACTACCCATCACTATCCATCACTACACATCACTGTCCATCACTACACATCACTGTCCATCACTACACATCACTATCCATCACTACACATCACTACCCATCACTACACATCACTGCACATCACTACAGATCACTATCCATTACTATCCATCACTACCCATCACTACCCATCACTACACATCACTATCCATCACTACACATCACTGTCCATCACTACACATCACTACCCATCACTATACATCACTACCCAACACTATCCATCACTACACATCACTGTCCATCACTACCCATCACTACACATCACTGTCCATCACTACATATCACTGTCCATCACTACACATCACTGTCCATCACTATACATCACTATCCATCACTACACATCACTGTCCATCAATACGCATCACTATCCATCACTACACATCACTGTCCATCACTACACATCACTACCCATCACCACACATCCCTGTCCATCACTACACATCACTGTCCATCAAAACACATCACTGTCCATCACTACACATCACTACCCATCACTACACATCACTACCCACCACTATCCATCAATACACATCAATGTCCATCACTACCCATCACTATCCATCACTACACATCACTGTCCATCACTACACATCATTGTCCATCACTATCCATCACTACCCATCACTACACATCACTACACATCACTACCCATCACTATCCATCACTACACATCACTGTCCATCACTACCCATCACTATCCATCACTACACATCACTGTCCATCACTACCCATCACTATCCATCACTACACATCACTGTCCATCACTACACATCACTGTCCATCACTACACACCACTGTCCATCACTACACATCACTACCCATCACTACACATCACTGCACATCACTACACATCACTATCCATTACTATCCATCACTACCCATCACTACCCATCCCTACACATCACTATCCATCACTACACATCACTGTCCATCACTACACATCACTACCCATCACTATACATCACTACCCATCACTATCCATCACTACACATCACTGTCCATCACTACCCATCACTACACATCACTGTCCATCACTACACATCACTGTCCATCACTACACATCCCTGTCCATCACTATACATCACTATCCATCACTACACATCACTGTCCATCACTACGCATCACTATCCATCACTACACATCACTGTCCATCACTACACATCACTACCCATCACCACACATCCCTGTCCATCACTACACATCACTGTCCATCAAAACACATCACTGTCCATCACTACACATCACTACCCATCACTACACATCACTATCCATCAATACACATCAATGTCCATCACTACCCATCACTATCCATCACTACACATCACTGTCCATCACTACACATCATTGTCCATCACTATCCATCACTACCCATCACTACACATCACTATCCATCACTACACATCACTGTCCATCACTACACATCACTACCCATCACTACACATCACTACACGTCACTGTCCATCAAAACACATCACTGTCCATCACTACACATCACTACCCATCACTACACATCACTACCCATCACTGTCCATCAATACACATCAATGTCCATCACTACCCATCACTATCCATCACTACACATCACTGTCCATCACTACACATCATTGTCCATCACTATCCATCACTACCCATTACTACACATCACTAAACATCACTACCCATCACTATCCATCACTACACATCACTGTCCATCACTACCCATCACTATCCATCACTACACATCACTGTCCATCACTACCCATCACTATCCATCACTACACATCACTGTCCATCACTACACATCACTGTCCATCACTACACATCACTATCCATCACTACACATCACTGTCCATCACTACACATCACTACACGTCACTGTCCATCACAACACATCACTGTCCATCACTACACATCACTACCCATCACTACACATCACTACCCATCACTATCCATCAATACACATCACTGTCCATCACTACCCATCACTATCCATCACTACACATCACTGTCCATCACTACACATCATTGTCCATCACTATCCATCACTACCCATCACTACACATCACTAAACATCACTACCCATCACTATCCATCACTACGTATCACTGTCCATAACTACCCATCACTATCCATCACTACACATCACTGTCCATCACTACACATCACTGTCCATCACTGTCCATCACTACACACCACTGTCCATCACTACACATCACTACCCATCACTACACATCACTGCACATCACTACACATCACTATCCATTACTATCCATCACTACCCATCACTACCCATCACTACACATCACTACCCATCACTACCCATCACTACCCATCACTATCCATCACTACACATCACGGTCCATCACTACACATCACTGCACATCACTACACATCACTATCCATTACTATCCATCACTACCCATCACTACACATCACTACACATCACTACCCATCACTACACATCACTGTCCATCACTACACATCACTATCCATCACTACCCATCACTACCCATCACTACACATCACTACCCATCACTACCCATCACTACCCATCACTATCCATCACTACACATCACTGTCCATCACTACACATCACTGCCCATCACTACACATCACTATCCATTACTATCCATCACTACCCATCACTACACATCACTACACATCACTAGCCATCACTACACATCACTGTCCATCACTACACATCACTATCCATCACTACCCATCACTACCCATCACTACACATCACTACCCATCACTACCCATCACTACCCATCACTATCCATCACTACACATCACGGTCCATCACTACACATCACTGCACATCACTACACATCACTATCCATTACTATCCATCACTACCCATCACTACACATCACTACACATCACTAGCCATCACTACACATCACTGTCCATCACTACACATCACTATCCATTACTACACATCACTATCCATCACTACCCATCACTACCCATCACTACCCATCACTACCCATCACTACACATCACTACACATCACTGTCCATCACTACACATCACTGTCCATCACTGTCCATTACTATCCATCACTATCCATCACTACACACCACTGTCCATCACTACACATCACTGTCCATCACTCTCCATCACTATCCATTACTACACATCACTGTCCATCACTACTAATCACTATCCATCACTACACATTACTGTCCATCACTACACATCACTGTCCATCACTATCCATTACTGTCCATCACTACACATCACTATCCATCACTATACATCACTGTCCATTACTACAAGTCATTATCCATCACTACACATCACGGTCCATCACTATACATCACTACACATCACTATCCATCACTATCCATCACTACCCATTACTTATACACATCACTACACATCACTACGCATCACTATCGATCACTACACATCACTGTCCATCACTACCCATCACTAACCATCACTACACATCACTAAACATCACTGTTCATCACTACCACATCACCCTTCTTTTCATAGCTTGAGGAAGGCTAAAAATTGGTAGATGACCGTTCCTTTCATGTACATTGAAAACTAGTTTATTGTTTAAATAAATCACTAGAGCTGCGAGTTAAGAACATGCTTTGATGCCGCACAAACTCTTATGAGAAGTGAACTAATCAACCGAAAACCGACCCAAATCTCAGTTTCATAGGTTTTCTTCGTCTTGCCAGTTTCTCAAGTACAAGTTGAAGGCACTGCTATAAAGGAAAGCCATGTGAATGCAAACGATTAACGGCTTGATTGCTCAAAGGCATATACGCTTTCTTTTATTGGTTATCCTTCCACCTGTGATAAAAAGCTGTACGCTATTCTTATTGACTCTATACGCTCTTCTCATGCCTAATTTCATGTTATGGAGGACGTTAGGTACGACGAAATTTCTTTCTCTTTCTACACTTGAGTGCGGTCCCCAAGAAATCAACTCTAGGGAAATTAACCTACAGTAGACATTTTCAGCGAGTAGTAATAATAGCGACAAAGTCTGAAAACGTGCTAATTCATTTTAAAAGTAACCTTTTCGTTGCCGTCGCCATCTTCACGGTGTAGTCGTGCAAGGACGGTAAAGAAATGTATATAACTGAGTGACGTACCTGCAAAGTTGATGTCTTGCATAATAAAATTAAACCCGTATTGCTTCCTCGTTGCTGTCGCCGTCGTCGTTGCTGGCAGCTTTAGCAACGACGACGGCGACGGCAACCAGGACGTCAAAAAAGCAATAGGTTTATTACGCAAAACAACAACTTTGCACGTGCATCACGCTTTTTTGTACATTTCTTTACCGTCCTTGCACGACTACGAAGTGAAAATGTCTAATTACAAGTTTTATGGAGGACGTAAACAAGCGACGACGAATCTCTTTTTCTCTCTCTAAACTTGAGTGCGGTCCTCAAGAAATCAACTCCAGGGAAATTCGCTTACACTTGCCATTTTCAGCAAATTAGAATAAACGCGAGAAAGATTGAAAAAACGGGAATTCATTTTAAAACTGACGTTTTCGCTGCCGTTGCCGTCGTCGATGCTAAAGCTCCCTGTGCGGCGCGAACTGAACCTCGGTTTTGGCATACCCCTCATAACCCAATATCACAATAAAAAATAATCATTAAATCTTCTTACTTCAAAGTATAAGGCACATAAGTACATGATTTTTGTTGTTGCTATTTTTGTTTATTTTTTTTCCTCACGTAGAAGACTAAATCCTTCAACCATAGGGGAAGCCAATACGGTATCATCAGTCAAGTTATGTAATGCAGTCACAGCGTGCTGAAACTGCCAGAGACCTCAGTCCTGTAATATTATTACAGCTTAAAACCATAGTGGTCGTTTTTTAAGCAAAAAGAGCATGTTTATTTGGAAGCACTTTTTAACATTTTCTTCTTTTCGTAAACACTTTTGTCTACATTTACGGTCATTTATTATATTTGAGGCTTCGACAACTAATCATTGTCCCCTAGTGGCAAAAACGCTTCTTTGGAAGCGCATTTCCTTTCCAAAAACATTTTTTCAACTTCACTTTTACCTTTGACGTTGGCTGATACTAAACTATTTCACAATGGCAGAATCACAGAACTAATGGAAAGACAGTCGAACCTCCCGTAAGCGACCACCAAAAATGTAAAGACTTAGTGGTCGCTTACAAGAATCGAACAACAGGGCGTCTTTTCCGAAAAGCGGTCCGGGCACATCTACTTTGTGGAAGATAATTAATGGCTGGTGATGTGTAGTGATGTATAGTGATGGATAGTGATGTGTAGTAATGGACAGTGATGTGAAGTGATGGATAGTGCTGTGTAGTGATGGACAGTGATGTGTAGTGATGGATAGTAATGTGTAGTGATGGACAGTAATGTTTAGTGATGGGTAGTGATGGACAGTGCTGTGTAGTGATGGATAATGATCTGTAGTAATGGACAGTGATGTGAAGTGATGGATAGTGATGTGTAGTGATTGACAGTGATGGGTAGTGATGGACAGTGATGTTTAGTGATGTGTAGTGATGGACAGTGATGTATAGTGATGGATAGTGATGTGTAGTGATGGATAGTGATGTGTAGTGATGGACAGTGATGTGTAGTAATGTACAGTGATGTGTAGTGATGGATAGTGATGTGTAGTGAAGGGTAGTGATGGACAGTGATGGGTAGTGATGGACAGTGATGTGTAGTGATGGACAGTGATGTGTAGTGATGGATAGTGATGTGTAGTGATGGACAGTAATGTTTAGTGATGGACAGTGATGTGTAGTGATGGATAATGATGTGTAGTAATGGACAGTGATGTGAAGTGATGGATAGTGATCAGAAGTGATGTGTAGTGATTGACAGTGATGGGTAGTGATGGACAGTGATGTTTAGTGATGTGTAGTGATTGACAGCGATGGGTAGTGATGGACAGTGATCTTTAGTGATGTGTAGTGATGGACAGTGATGTATAGTGCTGGATAGTGATGTGTAGTGATGGATAGTGATCTGTAGTGATGGACAGTGATGTGTAGTAATGGACAGTGATGTGTAGTGATGGATAGTGATGTCTAGTGAAGGGTAGTGATGGACAGTGATGAGCAGTGATGGACAGTGATGTGTAGTGATGGACAGTGATGTGTAGTGATGGATAGTGATGTGTAGTGATGGACAGTGATGTGTAGTAATGGACAGTGATGTGTAGTGATGGATAGTGATGTCTAGTGATGGGTAGTGATGGACAGTGATGTGTAGTGATGGACAGTGATGTGTAGTGATGGATAGTGATGTGTAGTGATGGATAGTGATGTGTAGTGATGGACGGTAATGTGTAGTAATGGATAGTGATGTGTAGTGATGGATAGTGATGTAGAGTGATTGGCAGTGATGGGTAGTGATGGACAGTGATGTCTAGTAATGGACAGCCATGTGAAGTGATGGATAGTGAGTGATGTGATGTTTAGTGGATGTAGTGATGTTTAGTGATGGATGGACAGAGTTGGGTGTGATGGATAGTGATGTGTAGTGATGCACAGTGATGTTTAGTGATGTGTAGTGATGGAGTGATGTTTAGTGTGTGGTGATGGAGAGTGATGTGTAGTGATGGATAGTGATGGACAGTGAATGTTTAGTGATGGACAGTGATGTGTACTGATGGATAGTGATGTAGTAATGGACAGTGATGTGAAGTGATGATAGTGATGGATAGTGATGGACAGTGATGTGTAGTGATGGACAGTGATGATGATGGATAGTGATGGATAGTGATGGATAGTGATAGTGTAGTGATGACAGTGATGTTTAGTGATGGACAGTGATGTGTAGTGATGATAGTGATGGTGATGTGTAGTGATGGATGTAGTGATGGATAGTAGTGATGGACAGTGATGTGTAGTGATGGATAGTGATGTATAGTGATGGATAGTGATGTGTAGTGATGGATAGTGATGTGTAGTGATGGACAGTGATGTGTAGTAATGGACAGTGATGGATAGTGATGTGGTGATGTGATGTGTAGTGATGGATAGTGATGTAGTGAGTGATGGTGATGGATAGTGATGTGTAGTGATGGATAGTGATGGACAGTGATGGACAGTGTGATGGACAGTGATGATGGATAGTGATGTGTAGTGATGTATAGTGATGGTAGTGATGGATAGTGATGTGTAGTAATGGACAGTGATGGAGTGAGTGATGGTAGTGATGGATAGTGATGGGTAGTGATATGTAGTGATGGACAGAGATGTAGTGATGGATAGTGATGTGTAGTGATGCACAGTGATGTTTAGTGATGGATAGTGATGGATAGTGATGGATAGTGATGTGTAGTGATGGATGAGTGATGGACAGTGATGGATAGTGATGGATAGTGATGGATAGTGATAGGATGAAGTGATGGACAGTGATGTGTGATGGATAGTGATGGGTAGTGATGGATAGTGATGTTTAGTGATGGGTAGTGATGGATAGTGATGGGTAGTGATGGACAGTAGTGATGGACAGTGATGAGATGGATGGATAGTGATGGATAGTGATGGATGATGTGTACAGATGGTAGTGATGGGTAGGGGATGTGATGGATAGTAGTGATGGATGTGATGGATAGTGATGTGATGGAGTGATGGATAGTGATGGATAGTGATGATGGATAGTGATGGGTAGTGATGTAGTGATGGATGTAGTGATGGTAGTGATAGTGATGGATAGTGATGGATAGTGATGGATAGTGATGGATAGTGATGGGTAGTGATGGATAGTGATGGGTAGTGATGGATAGTGGTATGATGGATGGGTAGTGGGTATGATGGATAGTGATGGGTAGTGATGGATAGTGATGGATAGTGATGGATAGTGATGGACAGTGATGGGTGGTGATGGGTGAGTGATGGACAGTTATGTTGATGGATGACACATAGGTGGTGATGTAGTGATGGATAGTTATGGATGTAGTGATGGGTAGTGATAGTGATGATGGGTAGTGATGGATAGTGATGGATGTGATGTGTAATGATGGATAGATGGATAGTGATGGATGGATAGTGATGGATAGTGATGGATGGGTAGTGATGTGCAGTGATGGATAGTGATGTGTAGTGATGGATAGTGATTGGTAGTGATGTGCAGTGATGGGTACTGATGGGTAGTGATGGATAGTGATGGGTAGTGATGTTTAGTGATGGGTAGTGATGGGTAGTGATGGATAGTGATGGATAGTGATGGGTGGTGATGTGTAGTGATGGGTAGTGATGGGTGGTGATGTGTAGTGATGGATAGTGATGGATAGTGATGGATAGTGATGGATAGTGATGGGTGGTGAGGTGTAGTGATGGATAGTGATGGATAGTGATGGATAGTGATGGGTGGTGATGTGTAGTGATGGGTAGTGATGGATAGTGATGGATAGTGATGGGTGGTGATGTGTAGTGATGGATAGTGATGGATAGTGATGGATAGTGATGGATAGTGATGGGTGGTGATGTGTAGTGATGTGTAGTGATGGACAGTGATGTATAGTGATGGATAGTGATGTGTAGTAATGGATAGTGATGTGTAGTGATGGACAGTGATGTGTAGTAATGGACAGTGATGTGTAGTGATGGATAGTGATGTTGATGTGTAGTGATGGACAGTGATGTGTAGTGATGGATAGTGATGTGTAGTGATGTGTAGTGATGGACAGTGATGTGTAGTAATGGACAGTGATGTGTAGTGATGGATAGTGATGTATAGTGATGTATAGTGATGGGTAGTGATGGACAGTGATGTGTAGTAATGGACAGCGATGTGAAGTGATGGATAGTGATGTGCAGTGATGGATAGTGATGTGTAGTGATGGATAGTGATTGGTAGTGATGTGCAGTGATGGGTACTGATGGGTAGTGATGGATAGTGATGGGTAGTGATGTTTAGTGATGGGTAGTGATGGGTAGTGATGGATAGTGATGGATAGTGATGGGTGGTGATGTGTAGTGATGGGTAGTGATGGGTGGTGTAGTGTAGTGATGGATAGTGATGGATAGTGATGGATAGTGATGGGTGGTGATGTGTAGTGATGGATAGTGATGGATAGTGATGGATAGTGATGGATAGTGATGGGTGGTGATGTGTAGTGATGGGTAGTGGGGTGGTGATGTGTAGTGATGTGTAGTGATGGACAGTGATGTATAGTGATGGATAGTGATGTGTAGTAATGGATAGTGATGTGTAGTGATGGACAGTGATGTGTAGTAATGGACAGTGATGTTTAGTGATGGATAGTGATGTTGATGTGTAGTGATGGACAGTGATGTGTAGTGATGGATAGTGATGTATAGTGATGTATAGTGATGGGTAGTGATGGACAGTGATGTGTAGTAATGGACAGTGATGTGTAGTGATGGATAGTGATGTATAGTGATGTATAGTGATGGGTAGTGATGGACAGTGATGTGTAGTAATGGACAGCGATGTGAAGTGATGGATAGCGATGTGTAGTGATGTTTAGTGATGTTTAGTGATGTGTAGTGATGTTTCGTGATATGTAGTGATGGACAGAGTTGGGTAGTGATGGATAGTGATGTGTAGTGATGCTAGTGATGTGTAGTGATGGACAGTGATGTGTAGTGATGGATAGTGATGTGTAGTGATGGACAGTGATGTGTGGTGATGGACAGTGATGTATAGTGATGGATAGTGATGTGTAGTAATGGATAGTGATGTGTAGTGATGGACAGTGATGTGTAGTAATGGACAGTGATGTGTAGTGATGGATAGTGATGTGTAGTGAAGGGTAGTGATGGACAGTGATGGGTAGTGATGGACAGTGATGTGTAGTGATGGACAGTGATGTGTAGTGATGGATAGTGATGTGTAGTGATGTGTAGTGATGGACAGTGATGTGTAGTAATGGACAGTGATGTGTAGTGATGTGCAGTGATGGATAGTGATGGGTAGTGATGTGTAGTGATGGATAGTGATGGGTAGTGATGTGCAGTGATGGGTACTGATGGGTAGTGATGGATAGTGATGGGTAGTGATGTGTAGTGATGGATAGCGATGGGTAGTGATGTGTAATGATGGGTGCTGATGTGTAGTGATGGATAGTGATGGGTAGTGATGGACAGTGATGTGTACTGATGGATAGTGATGGGTAGTGATGTTTAGTGATGGGTAGTTATGGATAGTGATGGATAGTGATGTGTAATGTTGGATAGTGATGGATAGTGATGGGTGGTGATGGATAGTGATGTGTAGTGATGGATAGTGATATGCAGTGATGGATAGTGATGGGTAGTGATGTGTAGTGATGGATAGTGATGGGTAGTGATGTGCAGTGATGGGTACTGATGGGTAGTGATGGATAGTGATGGGTAGTGATGTGTAGTGATGGGTAGTGATGGATAGTGATGGATAGTGATGTGTAGTGATGGATAGTGATGGGTAGTGATGTGCAGTGATGGGTACTGATGGGTAGTGATGGATAGTGATGGGTAGTGATGTGTAGTGATGGGTAGTGATGGATAGTGATGGATAGTGATGGATAGTGATGGGTGGTGATGTGTAGTGATGGGTAGTGGGGTGGTGATGTGTAGTGATGTGTAGTGATGGACAGTGATGTATAGTGATGGATAGTGATGTGTAGTAATGGATAGTGATGTGTAGTGATGGACAGTGATGTGTAGTAATGGACAGTGATGTTTAGTGATGGATAGTGATGTTGATGTGTAGTGATGGACAGTGATGTGTAGTGATGGATAGTGATGTATAGTGATGTATAGTGATGGGTAGTGATGGACAGTGATGTGTAGTAATGGACAGTGATGTGTAGTGATGGATAGTGATGTATAGTGATGTATAGTGATGGGTAGTGATGGACAGTGATGTGTAGTAATGGACAGCGATGTGAAGTGATGGATAGCGATGTGTAGTGATGGATAGTGATGTTTAGTGATGTGTAGTGATGTTTAGTGATATGTAGTGATGGACAGAGTTGGGTAGTGATGGATAGTGATGTGTAGTGATGGACTAGTGATGTGTAGTGATGGACAGTGATGTGTAGTGATGGATAGTGATGTGTAGTGATGGATAGTGATGTGTAGTGATGGAAAGTGATGTGTAGTAATGGATAGTGATGGGTAGTGATAGGTAGTGATGTGTAGTGATGGATAATAATGTGTAGTAATGGACAGTGATGTGTAGTGATGGATAGTGATGTATAGTGATGGGTAGTGATGGATAGTGATGGGTAGTGATGGATAGTGATGTGTAGTGATGGACAGTGATGTGTAGTGATGGATAGTGATGTGTAGTGATGTGTAGTGATGGACAGTGATGTGTAGTGATGGACAGTGATGTGTAGTGATGTGCAGTGATGGATAGTGATGGGTAGTGATGTGTAGTGATGGATAGTGATGGGTAGTGATGTGCAGTGATGGGTACTGATGGGTAGTGATGGATAGTGATGGGTAGTGATGTGTAGTGATGGATAGCGATGGGTAGTGATGTGTAATGATGGGTGCTGATGTGTAGTGATGGATAGTGATGGGTAGTGATGGACAGTGATGTGTACTGATGGATAGTGATGGGTAGTGATGTGTAGTGATGGGTAGTTATGGATAGTGATGGATAGTGATGTGTAATGTTGGATAGTGATGGATAGTGATGGGTGGTGATGGATAGTGATGTGTAGTGATGGATAGTGATATGCAGTGATGGATAGTGATGGGTAGTGATGTGTAGTGATGGATAGTGATGGGTAGTGATGTGCAGTGATGGGTACTGATGGGTAGTGATGGATAGTGATGGGTAGTGATGTGTAGTGATGGGTAGTGATGGATAGTGATGGATAGTGATGTGTAGTGATGGGTAGTGATGGGTATGGATGGATAGTGATGGGTAGTTATGTGTAGTGATGGATGGTGATGTGTAGTGATGGATAGTGATGGATAGTGATGTGTAGTGATGGGTAGTGATGTGTAGTGATGGGTAGTGATATGTAGTGATATGTAGTGATGTGTACTGATGGACAGTGATAGGTGGTGATGGGTAGTGATGCCTAGTTATGTTGAGTGACACATAGTTAGTGTGTAGTGATGGGTAGTTATGGATAGTGATGGATAGTGATGTGTAATGATGGATAGTGATGGATAGTGATGGGTGGTGATGGATAGTGATGTGTAGTGATGGATAGTGATGTGCAGTGATGGATAGTGATGTGTAGTGATGGATAGTGATTGGTAGTGATGTGCAGTGATGGGTACTGATGGGTAGTGATGGATAGTGATGGGTAGTGATGGTTAGTGATGGGTAGTGATGGGTAGTGATGGATAGTGATGGATAGTGATGGGTGGTGATGTGTAGTGATGGGTAGTGATGGGTGGTGATGTGTAGTGATGGATAGTGATGGATAGTGATGGATAGTGATGGATAGTGATGGGTGGTGATGTGTAGTGATGGATAGTGATGGATAGTGATGGATAGTGATGGATAGTGATGGGTGGTGATGTGTAGTGATGGGTAGTGATGGATAGTGATGGATAGTGGTGGATAGTGATGGGTGGTGATGTGTAGTGATGGATAGTGATGGATAGTGATGGATAGTGATGGATAGTGATGGGTGGTGATGTGTAGTGATGGATAGTGATGGATAGTGATAGATAGTGATGGGTGGTGATGGGTAGTGATGGATAGTGATGGATAGTGATGGATAGTGATGGGTGGTGATGTGTAGTGATGGATAGTGATGGATAGTGATGGATAGTGATGGATAGTGATGGGTGGTGATGTGTGGTGATGGGTAGTGATGGGTAGTGATGGATAGTGATGGATAGTGATGGATAGTGATGGGTGGTGATGTGTAGTGATGGGTAGTGATGGGTAGTGATGGATAGTGATGGATAGTGATGGATAGTGATGGACAGTGATGGGTAGTGATGGGTATTGATGGATAGTGATGGGTAGTTATGTGTAGTGATGTGTAGTGATAGATAGTGATGGATAGTGATGTGTAGTGATGGGTACTGATGGATAGTGATGGGTAGTGATGGATAGTGATGGGTGGTGATGGATAGTGATGGATAGTGATGTGTAATGATGGGTAGTGATGGACAGTGATAGGTGGTGATGGGTAGTGATGCCTAGTTATGTTGAGTGACACATAGTTACATGTTACATGAAGATATTTTAGGCGGATTTTTTATATTCGTGTAGGAGAACACGGATTTATTACCAGGTTGAGGCGCGCGCGCGGTCTCATGGGAAGGGACGAAGTGCAAAAGTAGCGCGCACGCCTCAACCTAACCCCCACGAACTGTCACCCCCAGGAGGGATAAAGGTTGGGCGGTTAAACGAGCGTTCCGCTCTTCATTCATGTGTGATGCGGAATAGGACTGGCACGAGCGCTCTTTTTGCAAACGGGAAATCCTATTTTCTTTCCGTAATTTCAGGCTACAGTGTTAAATAGATAAGTTCGTTTCATAACAGTAATAGGGAGCTTAAGCAGCGACGTTTTTGAGCGACGCACGTCAACCGGAAGTGAGCCTTTTTCTATTGTAACAAGCCTTTACGCTACCGTATTTGTATTGCCAAGTGTCTTAATTCTTAAAGGGACGATTTACCCAAAAATTTGCTCAGAAGCACGACTCAAGTGTGCAAAAAGTCTATTTCCGGTTGACGTGCGTCGCTCAAAAACGTCGCTGCTTCAGCTCCCTAGTGATAAACAGTTTCATACGTTTATGTCTGAATGACTATAAGTCAAACTTGTTGGTCGTAATGCCAAAATTTGAGTTTAATTTTAAAGTGTTGAATGTCTCCTCCTTCTACTAAATATGATTAATCGTGTTTCGCCATTTCGTTTATCCGCCCTGCTAACCCCCAATCTTCTCTCATCCCAAAAACACATAAATAGCGACCAGCCACTGGGTACGAGTCTGCGTTCAGAGCACGAGGTTCGTTTCCAGAAAACGTGAGTAGTTTCTGCTGAATTTGCACCTAGACTTAAATTTTCTTTTGCTACCTTATAGGCAAAGCTGTTTTTCTAAGTCCATGAAAATGTTATTTATTGTAAAAAATACCAAACAAACATACGAAACCACCCTACTCTGAGCGCCATCCTGTCACTACAAATGTATTCCTTACTGAATTCCCAGATTATCTTGAATCATTGCTGCTTTGCAAGGAACGATTATTAATAACAGGTGATTTTAATATCCACGTGGATGGTTGTAGCAACCCAGATACTCAGAAATTCCTTGACCTCTTAGACTCTTTTGATCTCCAACAACATGTTAAGCAACCAACACATCGCGACGGCCACACACTTGATTTATCTATTACACGAAAGTCGGAAACACTTGTTGAAGATGAGCCAACGGTTGATCTATTTATATCTGACCACGCAGCCGTGTTGACCAGGGTAGGACTGTCTCGACCAGGTCTCTCCCTGAAAACCACCACTTACAGAAAAATCAAATCCATAAACCTAGACAGCTTTCATAGTGATATTCATGCCAGCTCACTATGCGATGACAAACAGTTTGACACTGCTGACGACTTGCATGCGTATGCGCGTGAATACACTACCACCTTATCAGTACTGCTTGATCGACACGCGCCACTCAAAACACGCAGAAGAGTTACCCGACCTGTCGTACCCTGGTACAATGAAACTATCGACAATGCTAAGCGAGAGCGTAAGAAAGCAGAACGCAAATGGAGAAAGACAAAGGCTGCCGATGATCTGATTGATTTCAAGTCAGAGAGAAACCATGTGACCTATTTGATGAATAAGGCTAGGCGGGACTTCTACTCTGAGTTTATGGTTGAAAACGGTGCTGATCAAGGGAAGTTGATTAATGCTGCGAAAAAGCTTCTGGGCATGAAGGATGAACCCTTGTTTGCCAAACACCTTGACAAGACCATAATCGCGAACGATCGAACGATATCGGCAGGTATTTTATTAGAAAGGTGGAGAACATTCGCAATGAAATTGATGCTACACCTATCAGTCAGTCTGATCGCGATCTCGTACCTCCTGACAAACCTGTGGTGGACACGAATGTAATACTGCGTTCCTTCCGGAATCTGAGTGAACAAGATATCTACGATCTTATTCAGAAATCGGCTAAAAAGTCATGCGTGCTTGATCCTCTGCCAACCACCTTGGTGTGTGACTAGCTTGATGTTCTACTTCCTGTCATCACAAAGTTAGTCAATACCTCACTGACTACTTCGCACTTTCCCACTGAATGGAAACAAGCGATTGTCAACCTGCTCCTGAAAAAAGGTGCTAAGGACGTGACCCATAAAAACTTACGACCTATTAGCAACCTTCAGTTTGTCTCAAAAATTACCGAGAGGGCTGTCTTCGACCAAGTGTATAGTCACATGACTGACAACGAACTTATTCTTGTGCTTCAGTCTGCCTATAGGAAAAGGCACAGCACGGAAACAGCACTACTGAGAGTTGTAAATGATATTTTGTCCAACATGAATAAGCAACACGTGTCAATTATTGTGTTGCTCGATCTGAGTGCGGCGTTCGACACTGTCGACCATGCCATACTGTTACGCCGACTCGAGACCTCATTTGGCATCACAGACGCTGCTCTCGCGTGGTTCTCATCGTATCTATCTGGACGTAGCCAGTGCGTGTCGGTGAATTGAGAAACATCGGATTGTTGTTGCCATTTGGTGTTCCGCAGGGTTCGTGTCTCGGGCCCCTACTCTTCAGTGCCTATGCCAGCAAGCTGTTTGAGGTCATCAAGCTGTACCTGCCCAATGCACATGCATTCGCTGACGATACCCAGCTTTATCTTTCCTTCAACCCAGCCAACTCCCTTAATGAAGCAGAGGCAGTACATGCCATGGAACAGTGTATTGGCGCCATAAGGGCGTGGATGCAATCTGACAAACTGAAACTTAACGAGAACAAAACTGAGGTCATGTTAATCGGAACCCGCCAACAACTTAGCAAAGTCAACCTAGGTACTCTGACCGTTGGTTATACTAGTGTGGCTATTGTAAACAAGGCGCGAAATCTCCGAGTTTAATTTGACTCGCAGCTGAATTTTAACGTTCACATTACGAAAACATGTAGTCTATCCTTTTGTTCACTATACAAAATTAGACGCATTAGAAAGTACCTTTCGTACAAGAGTGCACAAACACTAATCTTAGCACTAGTAATTGGACGCCTAGACTACTGTAACAGTCTACTGTACGGCTTACCAGCCAGTTATATTATCAAGTTGCAACGGGTTCAAAACGCTGCCGCAAGGCTCATCTCCAATAGCACGCGTTTTGATCACATTTCTCCTGTTATGAAAGACTTGCATTGGCTACCAGTTAAACACCGTATAATGTTTAAATTGGTTGTATACACATCCAAAGCTCTATATGGTAGTGCTCCCACATATATTCATCAATTAATTAGACTTAAGCCACAGTCAAATTATAACCTGCGATCAAATACAAAACACTTACTGCTCGATGTGCCCAACAAGACCAAGAAGACAACAGGAGACGGGGCGTTCTTTGCAGCCGCGCCGACCCTGGGAACGCCCTTCCAGACGAGTTGAGAGCTTTGTGCAGTCTCAAAACTTTTATGGCACGGTTAAAAACTCATTATAATCAGTCCTTTTTTGTAATCAGTCCCATAAAATCCATTCCATTCCTCAAGTTTTCACGGGATCATTTGCGGTCGACTTTAGGGATCACTTGCGGTCGAGGATCATTTGCGGTCCATTTTGGGGATCATTTGCGGTCTCGGGATCATTTGCGGTTGGGGATCCTTTGTCGATTGCTTCAATTTTCTTTCAAGAATGTTTCGTCTTTTGAAAAATTTAAGACAGGCAGGACGTTACGCAGAAAAATTATTTTAACGCCTAGAAGCTCAACTTTTCTACTGAGGAATACAAAGCCGGGCACCCTCCACCTGTTGCTAGCGTTATCTTCACGATCGATTATTTGGGTCAAAGTTCTATTTTTTTGCGAATTTGATAGCTATTTAATATTATGTTTTGCTTTCTTTTGTAGAGCGGTTAAAGCACAAGAGGGTGAAAATTTTCTCCGACAACCATACTGCTGCCAGAGTACTTTCCTTTGGTGTCTTTAAGGTCCATACAGTCGGTGGCTCTAAGCGTTTTTTTTTTTTTCATGTTTGGTTTCGCATGGTATTGCCTTGGAAGCGCAGTGGATTCCTAGATCGCTCAACGGGAAGGCTGATCTTTTGCGCCGTTTCATTGACGAGAATGATTCGCCAGTTAATCCCTATGTGTTTGGAGTCGTTGAAGCCAAATGGGGTCCTCGCACGAATGTTAACCGTTTCACATCCCATTACAGAGCGTTCAGCTTTCGCGCTTTGACACCTTGTTTGCTTCTCCTCGTTGTAGGTGTGTCCGATGCCTTTGTCCGAGACCGGAGTGGAAAGGATAACTGGATTTTCTTTCCAGTGTGTCTGGTAGTGGTCGCCTGATTTGGTCTTGTATGCCCGGTTTGGCACATTTTTGCGGCATGTGAGCCTGATTTGGCTTATTTTTTAGCCTGATTTGGCATAATCTTGTGCCTGATTTGGCAGATCTGTGAGCCTGCTTTGGCTTGAGTTGTGAGTCTGATTTGGCATACCAGTGAGCCTCCTTTAGCTTATTTTTGAGCCTGATTGGGCATGTTTCAAGTCATTTTGGTGTCGGCTCGTTTTGGGCCTGTAATATAACTTTTTCAATTCTTCTTTGCGCGAATATTTTGCTTAGCGCCTCCTTTGTTCAATGTTTTTTGTTCAGTTAAGTAAATAACGCTGTAGTTGTTTTATTTTTAAGCTATTTCCTTTGATTTCAGTTGCCCTAAGTTCCAGGTTATGGCTTGAAACAGCCCCCTTGACTGATTCTTCGCTGAGGGATACAGTTCCAGGCGTGACTGGTTTGCACTTGGATGCTAACCTTCCATCCACAGTCTTGAAGATACGGGTCCGGCTTATTGTGGTGGCGTGAGTGGGCTTTATCGAAGACTGGTGTTTCTGCTATTCGAAAAACCTTTGCATGTCTCATTGTTATCTATCTAAGTTAGCTTAGCGTTCTGTAGATAACACTGGCGCATCTTATTTAGAATCTGCTGTTTACAGTATAAATTGGGGCCATGCAGTGGCTGGTATTTAAGTTTTTTCTGTTAGCCACGCCTTGGTTAAGTTTCCCTTTAAATTAGAGGACGCCAAAAGAAGCTAGGCTTGCGCACCCAGTTCAGCCTAAGTAGCTGCTTTCTGTTAGTTTTGTCAGGCGATTGCTGCAGATTTTGCCTCTAAATCGCGATGTTTTCCATCTAAAATATATACATGTATAGTTTTATGTCGATTTGTGTGTCCATGCAAGTGCAAAGTAGATCTATTTTGAATCTCTGAGGCCTTGTCCCGTAGCTGTGACCTAGTGTTTTATTAAGTTCTCGCCTCAGTCCTCCTCTGCGTTTCCATTAGTTCGTAGAATTGTCCAAGCTCAATCTTAGGAGTACGGTATATTATACTTTCATTCTAGTGCAAGCGTTTCTTTATTCACGTTATTTGGGAGAGGATCGAGTTTAAGAGGCATATTAAGCCATTAGTTAGTGATGTTTCTAAGTAAATACCGCACCCACAAGTGAGCGCGAGTATGACGCAGCGCCCAATCCAACTTGTAGGAGAACAGCTGCTGATTTGTCGGATATCCACGCCGGTTGGAGGTGCGAGCCCACTAAGCCGGCATAGGCATTTTCGGCATGGTCTTAACGAGCTCTCCGTATCTAGGTCACTTTCAGTCCAGGCGTATTTCGTAGAGATATAGATATATTTCAGTATGTTTTCCAGAATTTGCGTGTAATTGTTAGCGCTTAGCCTTATCTAAGTCACTTTCAGTCCTGGTGTATACAAGTTTTAGTATATTTTCCATTGTACACTTGGTCATGGTTTCATATATTAGAAGTTCTGCTTTTGTCTATTGCAGTTCTGAGTAATTTGATTTAGAGATATAGATATATTTCAGTATATTTTCCAGAATTTGCGTGTAATTGTCAGCGCTTAGCCTTAGCTAAGTCACTTTCAGTCCAGGTGTATACAAGTTTTAGTATATTTTCCAGTGTACACTTGGTCATGGTTTTATATATTAGAAGTTCTGCTTTTGTTTATTGCAGTTCTGAGTAATTTGTTTAGAGTCCTGGCGGGGGACGTAAGTTGCGCCTGGCCCGCCCCAGATTTCCTGTACTCTTTTCCCTACGGGGTTTTTTGGGACAGGTTTTTTCTGGCCACCCTGGCACACTTACATGTAGCTTTTAGTTTTATTTCATTTGCTGTAGTGTTTTATCTTTTGGTGTAATCAAAGTGGGTTATGGCGTTACACCCAGGTCATATCCAATATTCTCCATGATTTGTTGCTTATGTTGTTCTTTGTTTTTCTATTAACTTCTGGAAAGTGCAGAAGGCACTTGTCTTCCCCTTTTGTAGGCAGTGTATTGTTCGATATCTTGTATCTTGTCGTTGTTTACAAAAAAATAGTATAAAAACAACAACAACAAAAAAAGACATCCAGACAAAGAGACAAAAAATTTCAAAATCAAAACGTCCACTGCAGTTAAGTACCAAGGAAAGCAAACACGTTTCGAGTGGGATCATGCACTGAAACGCGAGTACAGTCTAAAAATAGCACTGCATATGTAACAGTGATATACAGCCGTTTTTGGTTTTTAAACGGGAAGTATAGAAAAAAATATTTAGTCATCCTTTTTCTTTCACAGGAAGACTTTTAGTCTATTCATGGCCATATGTTTATACGAACATTCATACACTGAAAGTGCAATCGACTGGACATGAGGGCCACCCTCGCTTCTCGCTCGCTTGCTGTTTCCGGTTTCTTTTTTCCAGTATTGAGCAGTTGAGAACTGTCAGTTGTTAAGGCAAATCCTATTTTATATAATGTTATCTATCTTTCTTTTGTTTTTCTTTATTTTTTTTCAAAAACAAAAACAAAAAACCCCGGGACGCACGCCCCAAGAACTCTTTTTCATTAAAGCCATCTCCAGGCAAAATCGTATATATGAGACGTCACTTGATTACACTACACCATTGTAAGATCCTGATTGGTCAGTACGTCCTCTTAACAAGGGTTCTTGTTCTGCTGAGCCTGAAGTGGTATTCTCATTTTCTTCCTCCGGTGCAGCCACCTGAAGACAAATCACGACACTTTAACCAGTCTTTATTTTTAAGCAGTAAATCAAGAAGAAGAAGCGGTATTTACATTAAATTTTTAGAAGTTTCAGTTTCTACCTTTTTTCTTTAAGTTTTTTTATGTAGCTGACGGTAACGTCTAAGTTGGGTAGAGATTGAGGAGGTAATGGTTAAGTTGTTTTTTTGTGGTCCAATTCTACACTGGGTTTAAATTTCATTTTCCTAACGTCGATTTGGGATATGAAAATGTATGATAACGATCGAGTTCGGAACAGAGGAAGATAAAAATCTAAACCAAGGGCAAAATCGAACCAAACACACAAACTCGATGTTCTTTCACGCGTTAAGTCACTCTTCCGCAGTTAAAATATATGAAATTTCGTATACTACCCTTCATATCTTCATCCTGATCCTCGGATATAATACTTAACACCTTGCTCGATTCGGCGTACTCGGGAAAGATCTTTGTTTTTGGATACAGTTTCGAACCCAGCCCTATTACCCATGCGCTTGGTAGAGCGGGCTCAGTGACGACCGTCGGTTTATCAATAAACCGATGCTCACACTCGGAACTGACCAGTTTGACGAGAGAAAACAAGAATGACCAGTCCAGAAGTTCGGGCTTCGGCGACTGCAAGGGCTCCATGCGATTTACGCAGAGCTTTGTTTTTTTTTTCTTCTCCCCACCAAGGATTCAAAAGGAGGCTCTTATCGCAGGGTGCGTATATTACGAACTCTAAAAGCAAACATCTCCCATTTAGCTTGATAGATCAGTGGTAAGAGCGGCACTCACTGGTATCGCAGAGGTTTTGAGTTCGAATCCCGTTCAAGCCTGAATTTTTCGCAGGCTTGATGATGCACGTGCAGAGCTGTTGGTTGGACTATTTCAGATGCTCCGTTGCTCATCATGGAAAGTTTTCTTTGGAACGAACCATTATTACTCGTGTTTCATATACATTGGCCACCCGGAATTTCCGAAATCTGTTGGCAAATGTCGTCAAACCAACAATTTGCCGTTCTTGCTACCGTCGTTGTCGTGGGCGCTTAAGATCTCTATTATCTGAACAAACAGTGAATATTCACAAAATGTACCTGTTGTGGCGGGTCGGGTTTAGGCATCAAAGGTGGGATTATCAACAGCTGATTGTAGAGAGCAGTGCCAAGTAAAAGGAAAAGAAACCCATCAACTGCAGAAAAACACAAATCCGTTTAATAACCCCAACATCAATTTTCCCTTAACAGTATCAATTTATCATCAACAGCAAAGGTTATGAGAATTACCATAATGATCACCAAAGGTAGCCTGCGAAAACATCCGTTTCTCCTCGCTCTTCGCCGCGCGCTGGGGACGTCTCGCGCGGCAGCGGCGAAGAGCGAGGAGAAACGGATGTTTTCGCGGGCTACACCAAAGGGAGATCAGTCTGGAGTTATTGGAAGTGGATATAGGGGCTTAAGGCGTTAAAGCAATGTGGCAACAATACACAGCTCCTGTATTTACAGTCACAAATAAAAAGTACTAGATTAAAGGTATTTAGAAAATGAAACTAAGGCAAAGGAACGCCCCTGCGTTGGAGGTGGTAATCTCAGGAACAATAAATGATTTCCTTGCTTTCCCTTCATGAATCTTTTTTAACCTGTTTGAAAGAAACACCTTTTACATGAAACTGTGAAAGGTTTGGACCCATGAGTCATTTCATAAGTATGGTGACTATGATTGTCTGGCGAACGAAGTCCTGAATAGGACTGTTGTTGTCGGCAGTGACTGGCGTTTGGACATCCTCATCTTCAGAGTCAAAGCTAGTTGTATCACGTCGGTTGATGGTATTAAATTCTAGTTATTATTTTTGCATAGCCCAACAGTTCTAGGAAATCTTCCCTACCTTGAAAAATGCCATATCTTTTGTCCCAAGCTTCTCCGAAACCCTAAAACGGAATAAAAAAGATCTATGCCTATTAAACTACAAGTGATTAATCGCGTCAAACTACTTCGCACCGCAACGAATGATCAACACCCTGGAAGAACATCACTGTAAGACGAATATCTCTCAACAAATGGGCAACCTGAATTGATTTCTATCGTTTTAAAGAGAATTCAGTAGCCATATGTTTGGCTCGATAATGTGGACACCTTTCAAAGATAGGCTTAAGTAACGAAGACGGCGGAGGCGACAAGGACGTCAAAACAGTATAACAGGCATAAGGAAGGAAAACAACAACTCCGGTCCGCACGTGACACTTTTTATGCACTTCTCTGTCTTCCCCTGTACGACTGAAACGTGAATTTCTAAACTGCAACATCTGATCTATATTAGACTTGCTACAAGTCGACCTCTTGGCGAGCGGAGCGAGCATTTTTTGGCCGCGAAGCGGTCTATTTCCCCGCTAAGCGGCTGAAGGACTTTTTGGAAAGTCTAGATCTATATCAGAGGAACACACACGCCAACGAATTTATTTTCCTTTTTTAACAAGGAGAATTTAACTCCAAGGAAACATTTGAGTTATTGAGAGGATTAGAATAATCGTCAATATGTTTCAAACAATGCGTATTAGTATTAATTAGTATTATTAGTAACCAACGGCTCCGCTACTTTCACAATCGTAGCTGCTGAAGCTCTCTTGTTTTTCAAAGTTAATATACCTCGTGAAAGACATAGTGGATGAATAAATCAACAAGCCACACAACAATGGTTCTAAGGGCGTCTATTAATGTTCGATGCACCGCTGAAACAAGAAATATAGTTTTTCTAATCAGAAGTTAATGTTAACACGATTAAAAGAGTTAAAAGAGTTTTTAGTGAAGAAGAGAATTAACGTCGCCTTTGCTAGGGTCGACTAAGCTGTGGTCACACTATAACGGATGGCTCTTGCGTCGCCACGAAATCATACCGTACAGGGTTCTGTTCACACTCAAGAAATGTTGTGGTAGCGAGATTTCGGTGACAAACCGAAGCTACACCGCGCCGATCTCGAAGTTGGAGCGTCACTTATCGCCGGATAGGTACTGTTCCAGACTATGGTCTAGTGTAAACAGGTACTCGGGCAGTAGAGGAAGTGAATAAGGAGGATAGCTTTACGATCGTATCGACACGAAAAGCAATCCCGTCGGTATATTGGGAACATAGCCTAACGCTATCGCTAGTTTTTTTACAAAGTTTTTGGATTTAATGAACTGATGAGTGTTTGGGACTATTTTGACAATTTTCATAGCACTTAATTAACTCGTGAAGAAATCAGTCTGAGACAAAATATCAATTCTCCTCCACGTGTGTGGATTAAATCACCGTTGGGCCATAGTAATAATTCTAAAATAATTCTATAATGATTATACTTTTGTGAACATTGTTTTTGTCGTTGCAATACACCAACTAGTGAAACAAACAAACTCTTCATTTGAAGAATAATGAGCCTTGGCCTTTGCTAAATTTGTGGCAAAGCCCAAGAAGAATACGACAACAAGAATAACAACAAAAAACAAAATAATTTGTGGGCAAGAAGAGAGGAGGATGCAAAGAATTGGGGAAGCCAGCGGACATACGCACAAGGCATCTGAGGACACAAGTGTGTGAAAGGAGCGCAAAAGAGTACGATTAAACCCTTTGCGTACGAGAATATTAAACAGTTTTTCCCGCCTTTACCTGTTAATGATTTGGTGACTGCTAATCCAAAGAAATTGTAAAAGGAAATAGAACAGACGTGTAAAACTGCAAAAAAAGAAAAAAAAAACATTCAAGAAAAAAGTATTTTTGCCATAATACTGTAACCTTCTTTGAAATATACTTTGTAATAGTTGAAAAGAACACCTAAAGAATTGACGATAATGCATTGGATATTGAGTGCAGTATACATGTTCACTACCCATCTTACCTACATTGAGAAGGTAAGATATTGTTTCCATCCAACAAACGTTTGACGTACTTTTCCGACCATTTGTAAGATGTGCTGCACGAATGTATGCACGAAAAACGATCTTTCAACTGAAGTAAAAGATGTCAATATATACGTGTATGATTTCTCCGCCATTTCCCATTTCTGTGCATTTCTAATTGGGCTACATGTCCTTTTGCAGCGGTATCTATCTACACAACGTACACATTATATTAGGCCATTTCCGAGTTGCAGCAAGCCTTTGTTTCAAAGCGAGGCTACGAGTAAAGCTATTGATATGAACAAATGATTTAGTTATTCTCATGTAAATATAATTCATTATCACAAGAAAGGTTTTGCACTTAGCCTAAGCCTGAGGGTTTTTTGGAACTCGAAAATGGTCCATTCGATCGTCAGATTAAAGGGACAATATTGTCAACATTATCCCATGTACAAAGTTGGCTAATTTCTTACGTGTCATTATGAGCAAATTGGTGTCGTTCTTGATCATTACCAAGGCATCCAGACTGTTCTCGTAACTATGGTGATTCTGATCTCCAGGGATGTAATACAAAACAGGAAGGACTATCTATAACAAAACAATCACGTAACCGAAGATTATACTGAAAATTCAAAGAGAACATCACTGCAGTAAAAAGGAGTTGCACAGACAAGACACTAGACAGGTACAACGGCACCATGCAGGTACTTACTGCACACATAAAAGTTATTCCAAAGAGGCCTTCCATTCCAACGACCTGCGGAGACATTATCAGTCGATATTGGTACAATAAAACAAAGAAATAATTAAAACTCAAAATAAACAAATGAATAAACAAATAAATGAAACGACTAAGTAAATAAACAAATAAATTAAAGTAAGAAAGTAATAAATAGGTAAAGGTAATAATTTAGTAGCTCGTCCAAAAGTGTGGTTCTAATTGGACTTCCACTCTGGATAGAATACAGTAAACTCCTGCTTATAATCCATGAACTTACGCATCTTTGGAAGGGGTTTTAAGAGGGCTTTTAAACGGAGGGGCTTACACCAGAAGGGCTTAATAGCCAGTATAGAAAAAGTGCTTCAAAACAAGCTGTAGCAGTACTTATCAAAATACTGCTTGCTTTCGCTAGTTGTTAATTTAACTTCAGAACGTCAGAATAAAAAGAATTCATTTCAGCGCCCTCAATACTACGTCACCCGTGCGTGTCTCGGTCCCTTACCACAAACCATGCTCTTTCTGTCACTCTGTTGAAAGCGTCCTATACAGTCGAACCTCCACAAACGGCTACCTCTCTACAAGAGCCACTATTTTAGCGGACTGTCTATACGTTGACTCTTGCTTAAAACTCTCTACAAAGGCCACTTTCTTCTGTCCCCAAGGTGGCCTTTGTGGAGAGGTTCAACTGTACTTCTTTTCTTTCATTGGCCTGCTATACCTAGGATATTCTGTATTCACCTTACATGGCATGTACAAAGAAAAGGAAAATGCTGCCCATTGCTCTACAGCAAATACTAGGCATCACGATAAGGTTTGGATGAAAACCAAGTAACAAACTGTAATACACCTAGAGTAAACCAGAGAGAGCCCGCCCCCCCCCCCAAAAAAAAAAAAACAAAAACAAACAAACAAAAAAAAAAACAAAAAAACAAAAAACAAAAAACGAAAACAGAAAAACAAAAATGACATGAAAATCATCAATGAAATACACGATTTTAATCTTTTTATCAAGCAATGAACTTACTTGTAAAGGATGGAAGTTCTTTTTCTTCAAGAATGATTCTTCTACTATCATCTGTATCGCACTGACACACTGACCAGCCAAAATAAGAACAATACCTGCAAAATGATCATTCGAAATGATTACCTTAAACAGAAGGCAATACGAGAGCAGTAGCAGACAGTAATACAGTGTATTTTGATGGTTGCTATCGTCGAAACAATAAGCTAACACTTCACTCAGAAAGTCAAAAGACCGTAGTCGGAAGGCATTGAGACCGCGCAAGTAGTAATGGTACCCGCGATATTTTACGGCGAAACGTATAAACAGGCACTATATGATGAACTAAAGAGCAAAACAATTATGACGAAGTGGAACGCGAATCGAATGGAAATACCTGTACCTAGACTATGTATGGATAAGGTATAAAACTAGACAAGATGAACTCCATGGACACATGTATATAATACAACTACTGCACACTGCTTATTTAAAGAAGCTCACTGCACTTGTGCAGGCGGTAAAATTTCCAAGTGGTACCTAAAATAACGTGCCCTTTCGTGGCTCCTCGGTGGTTATCCCTGAGAACACTTGACAATCCAACAAGAACTAAACCAATCTAAAAAGTCAAATTATTTACAACAATGTTCAGTTGGAAAGACAACAGACTAAACTACCACTTCTAACTCATTCGCTCGTGAACCTCCCGTAATCGCCTGTGCAGATCCACGTCCCTTCTACCACTTTTGACATCATCAGTTTTAAAGGCGGTCAAGGACAACTTTATCATCTGACCCAGGCAGGGTGAAAAAGGAGGCCAGAGAAGCAGGAGGAAAACCATGTAAAGTTTTGCTGGAAGCCCTAGGGAATTTTTTTGGGTTTTGATTTTTGCCCCCATTCGATCATCCCCGTCACTTGAAATCTGGAGTACCATACCCCCCAACGGGTATAAGTGAGGTGGTGGGGGAGCTTATTATAAGCGGCAGTTTACGGTATTTTAACATTATTTTTCCCAGGTTGACTTAATTGATTCATGTCATTGTTAACCTTAGGGATACTTTTGTAACGAGGCATGCATTCGTAGAGCCATAACTTACGGCCACCAAATATGATACAAGATATACAAAGTCCTTACCATGGTAACAAACATTCCAATCCAATGAATTGGCCACAGCTTTCTCTTCAAAAAGATTTTCTTGAGTACAGCAAAGACAAATTAAATTTCACTCAACTTTGCTACCGAAGGGAAGCTGAATGAGGACAGTTAAATCTTCTTAAACCAACCACTTTAACAGGGAAGTCATTATGGGGAGGGGTACAGGTTTATGACACCATTTTCTTGAGTCTTTTTTGTGGAAAGGGTAGGACGTTTTTGTTTTCAAATTATCACTAATTAAAGACCAGATGGGTTACCGTCAACACATGTACTTCAGGCTACCTGCAACCCCCCCCCCCCCCCACCCTCTCCAAAAGGGAAAGAAAGGGTCATAATTACATTAAGTATTCCGTGAATCTACAGATCAATAATTTGTATTAAGAAATCTTGCACACAGCTCTGCACGTCTCAGGATAGCAAACATAGCAGAGTTGTGAGGAAAATTGGGAGCAAGGCAAATTTCACCACCTGCAAGAATCCTTCACAGCTCCGCCGCCAAGAAAGTACCCCACATACAACAATCCTGTCACTAGCTAAGCACAGTGCATAGGTATGCAGACTAAAGTCTAAACACACATCTTGTACTTACTGACAGCACTCCAGTGAATATAATGATTGAACCTCTTAACATCTGCCAAACAGATGCATTGACATAAAGAAGGCCAATTCCTGTTAAAAATCAACAATAATTATTATTGTACACGTTTTTATTAATAAGACTTTTTATACTAATAGTGCAACAACAGATAGACAGAAGTCTTTGAATGTTAAGAAATTAGTCACAACATGTGTGGCTTTACAATCAATAACGAACTACATGTAAGGTAAGATAAAAAAATCTATCATACACAAACGTAAGTGTATTACCAAAATTAAAAAAAAAAGAGTCACTGACTAATTTGCAACCTTTGTGTGACTTGTCGTTTCTGTAAAAAGTGAGAAATTTGCTAATAAATGCTAATTTCAATTTGTTCATCTGAGTTTCAGTTCTATAAAAAGTTACTCTCTGCAGCACTATTGCAAGAAACAAATAAATTAGTTAATTAATGGCAATAACTTTGCTTCTTGCCTGCCAATGTAGTCCCAAACAAATCACATACTGTAGGGAAGGCAAAAATCCACTGAAATACTCTGGCAATGAGAGGATAAAAAAAAGTACATGTATATTCTTAATGCATCACAGGAACAATTTTACAGACTACAATGTGTTTGCTTATTATGTTTGTTTGTTTGTTTCCTTTTCTGACCAGCAAAACCTGCCCATTGCAAAAACTTAACCATGCATGACTTGTAGATATAAAAATTGAAATGTCCGACTTTCCTGTGCATAATTGCATTTCTTGTGCATGATTGCACTCAGGAACAAAACAGTACGTAGCCAATACTTTTCTTCCATTGTTTAACAATACAAATAACCATCTCTGAAAAAGACAATATTGTTGAGATCAAGAAATATTATTACCATGGTAACATGCATGGCGTCAAACTTCTCCTTGGCAGAGGGTGTGGGTATATTATCATATAAACTGTAGGCAGCCTCCCTTTTGCTTGAAAGCACTTTTAAGCAAGCAAATATGCGAGTGTGTCATCACAGTTTCACCATTCTGACACCCACATGTCACACTTGCTCACAGATTTTTGAGGAAAAAGACAGACTACTCGCTGGTCTATTAATAACATTAGAACACTACATTTAATGAATACCTAGGTTGCTGACTTATAAGTTGTTGTTCAGGGCCTGCATCCCCTTCATCATTGATACTCTCCATAAAGCTCTATAGAAAATAGATATAAATCGTCAATATTTTTATGAGTGTACAAAATGATCAAGCGATGCTCAACAAAAAATGTAACATTGCTTAACTTAGATCAAAACTATAACTCCGGGTGGTAATCTATTGCGGTAGTAAAGAATAACCTACGCAGACTCCATTTTTTAGTGGACAAAGCCAACATAACCATCAATGAATTCTCTACTTTAAAGCAGAGTGTCTGTGCACGTGGCAGAGCCCCATACCTAATAGAGAATGGACCAGACCTATCGATGCCAGAAAAAACATCAGCGTAACAGTAGGGTAGCGAAGAGAGTCCCAGACACATGTACGTTGCATTTTTCGTTTTTGGTGCAAGATTAACCATTTTAGGTGCAACCAATGGAGTTGCAGAAGTAGAAATCTAGATTAAGGTTTCCTTGTTTTTGACTTAAGACAAAATTTTCGGAAATAAATTTCTGAAGCTTTGCTTTTTAATTGCTTTATCACTCCTTTGGATACCCTCCAGGGGCAATTTGGTCTCCTGGTGGTTTCCAGTAAAAAGTAAGGATAACAAGAGAAAGTCTCGCTTTTTGAGGCTCTTTCTTGATTCGCTTTTGTTGAAGCTTAAATTCGTTTTAAATTTTTCGTTTCTTCACTTTTAGCCTTAGCTAAATCTATATTACTATATTATTTTGCAGTTTTTAAGTTGTAATTATAAAGAAAAGCCATATTTAGTGGACTCTTTTAAGTGACATAAGTAGAGTGAAAAACATTTATTTTTTCTCAACTCTAAATAATATTTATTATCCATATGACATAACAAGAAAAAGTTATGAATATTCTCTTGTAGGCCTCCAGAGATCTAATCTGAACACTTCATTACATTTTCAGAGTCATGATAATAAAGATCAATTGTTTCTAAATATATATAAATGAAAATAACAATAAATCCAAAAAAATTGTAATAATAGAGATGTGTGATCCAAGTTTATTCATGAAAATAACTTTTCAAACCTGCTGTAACTTCTTTCTCTCTCTTCTTCTTTGAAAAAACAAGCCAATCAAACACATTGTTTCACCTAAAAACAAAAAAAGAAGAGGTAGAAGTATTAGCTATAACAATAAATTATCAATATAATTCTATATAAAATTAATATATAGAGAGGATATTACACAGTGGCGCGAAGATATGAATTTTATTTTCAAGTGGCAGAACAATATTTTACGAACGAGAGCAGCAAGTGAGTAAAATATTGTTTTTGCCACGAGAAAATAAAATTCATATCTTCAAGTCGCCGTGTAATGTTCTTTTTATTATATAGACAACGAGACATCGACAAAATAATAAAGGGAAATTACTGAAATTACGTCATCGATAAACTCACGTGTGAGATTATGGAAAATAAACCACTCGGGTCCCGGACGTAGTTTTTATGAATTTTACGAGTGGTATATTTTCCAATAAAACACTCATGTCTATATAATAAAATTATATAATCATTATTATCACCTAAAATGAAAGCAAATGAAAACAAATAATATTACAGGTTATAAATAATAGTCAGGAAAATATAGATAAAAATAATGATAATGATGATCTAGATTAAAGTAATAATATTAATCTAAGGCTTATCAAAGGGTGTAACCTTTAAAATGTCATGTGAACTATTAATCCATTACATTAAGCGTGTCTCTTGGGTTCGTAAGAATACTGACGGAGGAAACTTGGACACCTAGACGTGGGGTTTAATATGAAACAGCTTGCACTTCTTGGAACAGCTGCACAAGTCAGAAGTTCTAACCCTATCAAGTCCATTCTTACCAATGAACATCAATCCAGTTTGAAACCAAGGATGATCAAATTTGTGAACCTCATTTCCATGCTCATCCTTTAGTCCCTTTGATCTAAAGATATAATTTAAAATTAAATTAAAATAATTAATTATTACTGATACAATAATCAACTAGAGCCTTTCCACCTGAGGTCCACAAAGAGATATTATATTCTATATACAGTCGTAAAAAATAGACCTCTAGAAACCCAAGCAGCAGAACCAAATGAACATGTTTATAATCAGGCAATCACTAAAAAAAAGTTTAAAAATGTGCTATAGAGTTAAGCAATCAAAGCCAGTGCAAAGTTCCATTTTTATTTCTCCTTTCTTTTTTCCTTTTTTTTGTTATCTACATACTCCCAAGGATGGTGGATAATGAACCTTTTGCAAAGGGTGCCAGCAAGAAATTGAGTGTTCATATTCCAGCCTTTTTCTTTCTTTTTGGTGGCAGAGGGGGGAGACAGGGAAATATAAAAATGAGACATCGTTGTGAGCTACCCTGCAGTCCCAGGGGGGTACTCTGATTTCAAATGACAGGGTTGATTAAATGGAGACAAAATCAAAACCCTGCAACTTTTCGTGAACCAAAAATTAACAACCAAAAAAACCCATGCCAAATTTCCAAGCCCTAAAAATCTCCAGCAAGAAAAAAAAGTTTTGTTGCACTTAATTTGGTTGTGCTTCATAACCTCCCCCCCCCCACTACCAAGCCTCCAGTCTGCAGGTGTTTTCTTTGGGTGGGCAAATGTTTTTGCTTGTGTACGTTAGAGCTATATATGTTGAAATTAGGAGTTACTATTACTACTATCTATTTTTTGGAACCCCCATATTCCTCTGTCAAAAAATCTACAGCAATATGACGATATAAACAAGCATCCAAACAAGCAGCTTTCACCCGCCCTAACAAACACCTCATTCACTGCAGTCCTAAAAGACTGCTGCCTAAGAAAATTTTTTGGGAGCCCTTCAGGCTCCTATTAAAATAAAAAGTTTGGAGCCTGAGCGACATTTCTAGGAGCCTATTGATAGATAGACTTAAATAAGTAAGTAGACACTGAAAACTCGATTTGTTTGAGTTCCAAATTTGTTTGTTTATCTTCAGCAGAGGAAATTTTTTGCCTACGGTCGACAAACATACATTGTACGTTTTCATCTCAAAAGCGCAAAGTGAGCAAGGAATTCTGTCGTTCCTTCATTGGAAGTAGGCATAAAGACTATTGCCATAAGAATCATAAGTTTTAGGCACCCGTGTGGGCTCCTTGTTTAAAGTTCTAGTTGCTCGCCAGGACATCGTAGGAGCCTGTGGTGACCGGGCACCCATTAGGCAGCAACCTTGGCCTACTAGTACTGTGAGCAAGCATAAATGGACCAGTGGGATATGACGGGACCAGACTTGCCAAGTCTTAAAACTCTGTCACGAGTATCACAATTTCATGACCTATCTCACACTCTCACGAGTTGGGAACTGATTTCTCACCCTTTCTCGGAAAATCTAACTCCAAAAAATTTTGGAGTCGTAGGGTTCGTTTCCAAGTTAGATATCAAAAGATAGCCAGCTCAATCCAAAGAAAACGCTTCGTGGTCGCGTTAGATTACAGTCTTCTAGCCTACTGTGACTTGCCGCTGCCACCAAATCTGCCAAATAATTAATGTGAAGCTGTTTCTCTCAGACAGCCGCCATTGGGAACAAAACATAGAAATCACAATTAAACCTAACTCGTAAAATTTATCGTAATGTGTACTGCTGCAGCTTTAACGTGATGTGACTTCCAATACCCATAATCCCCACTGAAAGTCCCTTCCAATAGGAAATTAGGGTACTTTTCCTACTAGCTCTTATAGGTTAAGCAGTCTCACCTTTTGGAGGTTGGCAAGCCTGCGGGACCGGCTGCGGTATGGTAAGCACCCATTTTTTCGAAGGATTAATTTACAGTGCTTTTATTTACTTGACTGTATATGTGTGTGGCGCACAATTTCCAATTGACTTTCAATAGTCACGTGAAGGTTTCTCTTTTAATTTTGACAGCAGATCTGACAAAGATTCTACCTAAACAGCAAGATCAGCATGAATAGTGAAAATTTAAAGCATTTAAAACCCTCGCAATACTTACGAGCAATCATTTTGTGCTTTCTTCGACAGGGTATTTATAGATCCTGAAATAAGCATTCCGATTGCCAGAAGAATCTGCGTGCACGTCAAGGCTGCCATCTTAACATCGGTCAACTTCGCCCCAGTGTCCTCTCACCATTCAAATTTACCACAGGACCACAGGACGGGGGTGGGAAATTTTAAACCAAAAATGAAACGACGTCAAGCTATGTGGATTGTTAAAAAAATATCCAGGTTACCTTTACGTCTTTGCACTGCTAAATATAACAGAAAAGAAGAAAATAAAGCGAACCTCATAACTGACAAATGTGACTAGATATGTTAGTTACAAGTAAGTACTCACTTTTTCCCGTTGTTATGTCATGGAAGCCCGGTTAGCTCAGTCGGTAGAGCATCAGACTTTTAATCTGAGGGCCATGGGTTCAAGTCCCATATCGGGCGACCGACTTTCTTTTTCTAATTTTACTCTTTTTAAAACATAAAAGGTTTCCTCAATGTTTGATAATATCATTGAAGTAAAGGTCTAGACTATAAAATAGAGGGATTGTTTTTTTTTTTCTTTTTTAAATACAGGGGACTGTATTTTAAAACCAAGTAAATTTTAAATCTTTGAGGAGAACCTAATTTCATTTTCAAATTAAACCTAATGCTGAGTGAAAGTCCTTGTCAAATTCGATTGTTTTCTGTTATCGGTAATTGCCTGGCTCTTTCAATTTACTGAATAGTTTGAGAATTATTTAGTTAATTTCCCAGTTGCCGGAAATCTTGCGAACAAAGCTTCATGAACAGCTGAAAGCCCAAGTGAGCAATGAAAGTTGCCGAACGTGATTGGTTAGATTTGTGAGCATTAACCAATCAGAAGTGGGAACGATTGTTATAGTCTCAGGTCCGCGGCCATATTTGCATTCAGTTGTTCTTTGGTGAAGAAAAATAACATGGCGAATTTGGCTTCAAGCCCCGTTCGAGAGGCTAATGATGAATGCTATATGCGAAAGTTAGAGACCATCAGAGACATCAGGTAGAGAAGTATTCGAAGAGTTATATACTGCAAAATCCAACGCGCATTTTTATGTTTCTTATCAAGCTTTTGACGAGCTTCTATGAAATGCATGCTTAACAAAAAGGCTTTTCAAACATTGTGTATAATTTAGGTTTTCAACGCCCTAAATTGTTATTCCCTCAGTTCCTACCTACAGTGAAATTCAATGAGAGCAAATTCTCTGAGAAGTTTTCCTTTGAACAAAACCATTTCCTACTGCTTGAAAAATGGACTGTTTTAACACCTTTAATCTAATTTAAGCTTTAGCTGTAAAAAGGCGATGAATATGTATGCATGGTTGTACTTTTTATGCAAAAGGTTTACGTGGAAAATGCATCTTTCAGCAGGATCAATTGCAATTCAAAACCATTTTTACTCAACAAAGCACGCTCTTGCTATGATATGAGCTTGTTGTTTTTTGTTATTTCCGAGCAAGCTTAAAAAGCTAGTTTATTGGCCGCATCATAGGCCTTTCTGTCCCTTAGACTGTTTTTGTGTACAGTGTGAAGTAGTTTTATTCTTGTGTTACGACCTTTTAAATTAAAAGGTAAGACAAATCTTCTTTTCCCTTGCAACTATTAGTGGCCAAGCCCAAATTCAATTCAAGAAACGTTGGGAATTATTATATTTTGTTTCACAAAATACCAAAAAAATAATAATGCTCATTTAGCCTACTGGTAAACATTTTGTGCAAGTACTGCTGAAGAGGTTTCCTTTCAATAGATTGTGCGCCCGCCCAAAAGCTAGCAGTTCAAAGTTCAAAATTATACAGTCATAGCAAAAGGTTCATTTGATTGCTAAAAGTCTTCTTTTTTTTATAAAACACACAGGCTAATCTTATTCATTTAGTTCATACCATGATTTAGCTTTAACATTGACCGAGTTAATGTCTAAATATGATTAAGTTTTGTTACCTTAAATAAGAAGATTTCTTGGTTTTCACCTAGTTTAGCAATATATATAAGTTATTTCATAGCCATATTAAACAAAATAAAATGTGAAGCAATATATGTCTTTAAAGAAAAGCAATTACCAATGGTTAGGAAGTGCAGGCAAACGTGTGCTGGAGAACGCCTTTCATAATAAGTGAATAGTGATTGCATCATCACGTGAATAAGAAGACCCCTTTAGTTTTAGGAAGAAATCCTAATGGAATCATGAATGTGGAAACAATTTAAGCAAGGTTCATATTGAATTTGTTTTATTCACGTGGCCTACAGATACAATTAGCCTGTGAAGGGCAAGAAGCGAGGATCAGAGGGAGAGACAATATTGTGTTTAAGATACACTGAAGCCATTAATTTCTGACAACACTTAACGTGACATGTACAGTCATGACTACAAAGTCCTATTATTCAATCTGTTCAGTTGTCCTAAATTTCAAGAATTATTTTCCTCAATAAGGTCATTTGAGGAGTTCATTCAACCTTAATCTCTTGGTGGGGTGGGATAGTGATGTTTAATAGCTTGATCAAATTTCATTTCATTTGAATGCCTACATGAATACACTAAAAACTTTCCCTTGAAAGTACATGTGGACTAGAGATATCCATTAACATTTGATTGACATTTTATCATTTCTTAGCTAATAATAAACTCCCACAGGTCAGGTAGACAGACTATTCGAAATACTCAGGATTAAAGGGCATGTGAGATTTCAGTTTGACTTGCTCCCAATCTTCTAATGGCTTCACCACCAAAAAATGACTTGACAGCTCTGCATGCACCCATTTATCCCGCCATTCGCTGCCAAATTCTCATCTGTCATTTGGTTTTGTACAGTTTGTAGAAATGGAACTTTGTGTTAGTTCATTTTCCCTTTTTTAAAATTATTTTTACTTTGCCCTTTTTTTGTTTCAGGGTTAAGACATCCCAGTTAGAGAAACTTAAATCTCAGCTCATTCAAAAGTTGGACAGTGCTGACAAGGAGAGTAAACTGTTGAAGGATTACAAAGCAGAAATGGAAGCTTTGCTGCATGAGAAAATGGCACATGTTGAGGAGCTAAGGCTTATACATGCTGATATCAATCTTGTAAGTCAACCTGAAAGTCTTTCTTTTTTCTTTGAAATCTACACTTTTGTAACTTTAACCCATTCACCCCCTGAAAAGTTTGCCGAAAAACTCGTTTTGAAGGTAGTCGAGCGGTTTTCTGGTCACTGTCGTGCTATAAAATAATAAAGAGCTAAAACTTACTATAAAGCCATTTACAGGTCATTCACCTTGCGGCCTTCTGATCCAGATGCAAAATATTAGCGTGCAAATTTCAGGCATGTGCAGAAAGCAAAATTCAGAGATAGTTTTTGGGTATAAAAGTGACTCAGCAGTCTTGACTTTTACTTTTCACTTTCTCTCCTCCCCTCTTTTTTCTCTTTTATTGCCTCCTTTTTTTTTCTTTTGCTGGGCATTTAGGCTTCATTTTGGTGGGAAACGTTTTCAGGAAATCTTTTAGGATCTTAGGATTAGATAAAAGGAAAGGTAGGTGGGTATACTGGAACAACATTTTCATGGAAATTTTCAGTTCAATGTTACATGGTTGTTTTACATTATTTTTTCTCCGGTGTCCTTGACTGAATTATGCGTATTCTGGTATGGTTTGAAAGATAGCTTCACTCTGCACAAGTTAGTGGGGCGAATTGGTTAAAGTGACTTCAATCTATAAAAATGTAGTATTAGATGTTCCTGTTGCACTTGCTTTCTCCCATAAAATGCCTTCTTCTGTTATTTTGATCAATATCTTTGGTAAACCTGACTGTGTAATTTTACAGGGAAGGGCCATGGCAAATTAACCTGAAACACTAGGAGTGCAGGAGGGGGATACTATGGGTCAATTTTTTTGTGGATACATGTGTCGCTGGCCTCTCAAAAACCCTACCCCAGTCCTTTCTGTTTTGAATTATACATTCAGACCCCATCTTAGGCACTTTTTGGGCATTCAAATTCAATTTTCACAACTCCAACTTAGTTACTTTCTGTCACTTTTTAAACTGTGTATCTTCCCATTTTTAAATCCCTCCTAATTAGAATTTTCTTATTCCTCCCCCTCCTGCCTACTCCCCAAAATCCTGAAAATGTGCATACCCAATTTTCATTTTTTTCACGTGTTGTGAAAATGCATCCCCTCCTGCAGCACATCCTTATTAATTAGCCTATCACGACGAAGTAACCCCCCCATTGCTTGGAGCCAGTTGCAAAAAACCTAACATCAGAGTTTCATTTTTATGTAAATACTGATATTGGGCATTTAAATAAGGGTCTGACTAATGATTACATTCATAATGTAAGGCCTTGCTCAAACGTCAATCTTTTCATGTTCCGAATACCTATTTTGGTCGACCCAAGTGATACAAGTTCAACAGTTGATTCAGATGTCGCTCCTAAATAGTTGGGCTCAATTCATTTTCACGACGTTCAGTGATCTAAACTGCTTTATACAAATAAAAATAAATTTTTAATAGTAATTTATGCATTAGGTTTGGCACATGAGAAGTTCAATGTATCAACCAAAGTTGCTTCATAGTCGTAATTCCCATGTGGGCCACTCAATCTTAATTCATGGGTAAACCCAAATTAAACTTAAATCAATTATTTACTGAAATGTCGATCTTTTCACATACTTAATTAAAAGGAGTTGGCTCGGCACATGAAAAGTTTCACGCCTGAACTGGGCCTATCTGGCCCTGAAGCTGACAGTGGCACCAAGGCCAGCAGAAGGTTTCATCTGGTATCACAGTCAGGACAGGTGTATGGCTGTGTAAAAAATGTCAAATTTTTTTAACTCTGAACATTTCATACTGAATTTTCCTTTCAGATGGAAAACACTATCAAACAGTCTGAAGCAGAGAGGGAGAGAGGATTGGAAACATTGAGAAGGCTGCATGATGAGTACAAACCTCTGAAGAGAGACATTGATAAAATGAGAGAGTCTCTAGGCCTTGATAAAACCGCTAGTCTTGATGAGGAAAGCAGCCTCACAGAGTAAGCTATTCACAACTACAAACAAGCAAATTCCGTTAATTTATTTTTTCTTTTTGTTCTTGTCTTTCAAAATCCTTCTGCATGTTTGCACACCCCTCTGATATGTTGTTGCAGTTGTCAACTTGTCTACTAGCAGGTTGAGAAGAGGGGGACGGCTGTACACTTCCTACTTTTTTACCAATTTTGTTTGTCATTCACCCTTTAGTTAGAGAAGTAATGTACTTTCCATTATGTCACCGGCAAATTTGATAGAATTATATACCTACTGTGGCCTATTCTGCTATTGTTTTAGTTCCTCTAAAGGTTACCCCCAACTACCCATTCCAAAGCAAGGCAAATTGCTGGTAGTAAATTAATTAAGAGAGATATGGGAGTTTTCATATCCCATTCAGTGTGGACTGATACTTTTTTCAAGTGCAGCTCTACTGTTAGCTTGTCCATAAAGAACTTCAATTCTGTGCATTCCTTCAAACAAGCATTTACATGTATCACCATTTCTTTCCTCAGGTTTCTTGAACGTGTTCCTCCTGCATGGAAAGCAGAGCCACAGGAGCCACCTCCTCCTCCAGTCGCCTCGCAGTTGGCTGCAGCAGCAGCGGCAGCTCAGCAGCTTGTCAACAAGCGGGGACCTCCAGGAGAGAGGCACTTCCGGCAACAACAGCCACCACCCATGAAGGCATGCCTGTCCTGTCACCAGCAGATTCACAGGAACGCCCCCATTTGCCCACTGTGCAAAGCAAAGAGTCGCTCACGGCACCCAAAGAAGACGAAGAGAAAGCATGAAGACTAAAACTCTTGATTGGAGGTCATGCATGGACTGAATACATGGGGGCTCTCTCATCTAATGAGATTGTAATAAGTAAATTAATATTACTTACTTAATCAATGTCTGGAATTCCTTTCATGGGTTTCTTAGTTCCAGATATCACATTAGCTGACCACTTAATCAAGAAAAATGGCTACTGAGAGAAAATGCATACCACACATTGATATTAAGTGAGTAGTCTTTATTTGTTTATTATAATTTCATCGGATCGTGGGGTGTGAGAGCTCTCTGTGCTGAAGTGTCATTAACGTCTGCAATTTAACTTCGTCTTTGCGCTGTTCCAGACTCTAGTAAATCTATACTGTATAGGCCAAAAAAACAAAAAACTATTTCCCAATAACTATTTATGCTAGGTGAAAGGTACAACTGTGAATCCTACGAAATATAGTGTTTTATTTAAAAAGAAAAGAATAATGGCTCGTGTATCTCCCTGTTAGTGCTGCTTTAGACATTCATTTTGTGTAACAGAACCGTAAAAATATAAAATACCGGTAATATGTATTCCTGTACTACATTCGAAAGAGGTTATAATAACTGTATAATTGAAAATATAACAACTTCAATAATTAGAAATCTCTAATCATTTTTCTCTATGTTAATGCCATATTTATTACTAGAATTTTGGTAAATTTCTGTGAGTTAAATTCTAGTGACTAGTGTTGCTTAGTGTTATCTTGGTTTGAATAACTAGAGCTGGTCGCTTACGGGAGTGGTCGCATGTATTTGTCTACTACCGGTCTGTAGGAATACGAGAGCAGTTGTTCCACTTACTTGATTTCCCGGGGGGGGGGGTACTCCTGGGAATTCTTGGTGGGGGTGTGCCGCCTGGTTCTCCAAATCCTGACACGGATTTCAGACCAAAAAATGCAATTTTTCACACCCGTTTTCAGACCAGGCCTCTAAAATCCATACCCGTTTTCAGACCTTGCTATTGGGCAGAAATTATGTTATCATTACTTAGATTAGAGCGCAAACAAGAAAATTCTTCAAATCCATTTCGAATTCGCATATTTTCCTTTCTTTTTTACTCATTTGGAATTGAAACGATAAACACGTTTATACACTCCCGTAGTTCCCTCAAAAACTATACCCGATTTCAGACCAAAATGGGCAAAGTGCAAACCCGTTTTCAGACCAAACCGCGCAAAAACCCTACCCGATGGGGCGGCACATACCTATATAGCTTATGTAAGGGAGTACCCCCCGGCTTGATTTCAATAGGTACATTGACTACATTACTGCGGGAATGCGTGAGTGTAGACTCAAAGCGCACTATTCACTAAATCATTGCGGGACCATGAGAGCAGTTGATATCTCTTCGAAGTGGCTGGGTATTATGAAGTTGGTCTACCGGCCCCCTACACTCAAACAAAATTCCGTGGAAACCAGAACACGAATAACGGCGACGCGACAAAGTTGTTCCCTTTCCCTAATTTCTTTGTGAAAAGTGGGCGGCTGTACTGACACAGGCTAAAATTCACGTGGCTACACGCCAGATGTCGTGTAATCATATCAGCGTCTTCAAAGTTTGACAATTTCATTCGTAAGTGAATCAACAACACCTGAATAAATTATTCGTTAGGTTAAAAAAAAAAAATGAACATGCGATAAAAAAGCCATTTGCACGATGACGTCATTTTACTACTAGGATCAGAATCCTTCATGGTTTTGTTTTCTTGTGCAAACAGTTCAAGGTAAGGCTATTGTTATTTAAACCTTCCTGAGATTACCAACGTTAATGTGAAAGGAAAAACAAAAAGGATTGTGGTCTTAATAATAAAATAACGCCATCGTGCAAATGGCCTACTGTATTAACGGAGTACTTGAAGTCTTAAAAATCAAGACCATGTTAAAGTTAGACGGGGAAGAAATTACTTGTAAATTACAAAAAGCATCTTCCTGTTTAACGAACTATATCTCCTAAGCATTGTATCGACCGTTATAAAACAACAACAACAACGACAAAAAACAAAGCCAGTAAGCTTTGAAAAAACTGTTATGCTGATCATAGTTAGTAGAGGAGACTGGTTATGAGAGCCGGCAAACCAACAGTGCCGTCAGTAGTTTATGTTGAAAGCTTCCTGACCATGCACAATGCTTTGTTTTTTCTTCACAAATTGTGACTGAATAAATTAATGCGACGTTTCTATTGGTCGAGTATGTTCAAAATGTTACTGAGGAACGCTATTGAACATTGTGCGCAGTCAGGTCCAAACAAGCTAACAAGACAAAGAAGTCTAACGAGTTTCATAACCATTCCACTTTGATAACTATGGGCTGACAGGTTTTGACATTTCACAACTGCATCCGCGACTTTTATTTTGTATTTGCCTTACTTCGTTTTAGTTTTTTATGTTTCACGTATAACAGTATAACGCCGTCCTCGGTATAACGAACTATTTTCTTTACCCCAGTAACAGTAAAAAATGTGAAAAAGATCGAACCTCTACTTAACAAAACCGAAGTTATAGTGAACAAATAGTCCACTTTCGAGTTCGCTATGACCGCTGAATTAAAGAGGTGAAGACGCATTTTTACAGGCTTAGCCTCCACCTGAAGTAATATATTCAGGAATTCCAACGAGAAAAAGACCTGTTTATTACTCTCTCTTTTGTGTATATTCAAATTTCAAACACTTACTTGCCGGAATTTCTGAATATTTTACTTTACGTCGAGGTTAACCCTGTATGAATGTGTCGTTAATGTTTGTATTCAACGGTAATTTTTAATTCGAAACGGGACTATTTTGCCAGTCTGTTGGCCCTTCATTATATCGAGGTTCCACTGTAATTTGATGGCAATTCCTACAAGTACTGTTTTCTTAATTACAAGATAGACGACGGGACACTGATCGTCAGCAGGGCGGATAAACATTTATCCGCCCTGATCGTCAGTGTCCTGTAACTACAGTATTTCCTCGAATAATATCCGGGCGAGATTCTGATCTTTTTTATCGCATCAATAGGGGCGATTATTTCAAACATTGCCCACTGGAAGTCGTTCCCTAAATATTTTGTTTTATTATCTCATTAAATAAAAAAATTACCATACATCATGGACTTTCCAAGTGTTCCAGATTTGGATTCTTGATTAATTTTCAGAGCTTGAATCGTTACTGATCAGTTTTAATGGATCATGTTCCACTTCAGCTTGACAGGGGAGGGGGATAAAAGAAAGAGAAGATGGCGAGAGGGATGGGGGGGTAGGCGATTATTCAGGAGAAGCGATTAATCGGGGGACGGTTATTGTATTCGAGGAAATACGGTAATCAGCATGCTAAGTAGAATGGACTGATGGACCAAGAAAACATTGCAACCATTCAGGTTGACGACGAAAAAGGAAAAAAAAGGAACAAAAAGCAAATAAAACAAACAAAAACACAAAGTAAAATGATATGGTTGACTGTATGGAAATCTTTCCAAGAAGTCTCAGATACTTAGAAATGCTTATAATCTTTGAGAAACAATGATAATTCATTAATTATAGCGGGGCTCCCGCGCGCGCGAAGCGCGCGTGGGACAGAGCCCCATACCCATGGAATATGGTCAACCTCTTTTCGTTTGGTTGTCACGTGATTGACCGAGCGTACGTACGTACGTACGTACGTACGCGTCTACAGATTGTACGGGTAGGGTAGGGGAGACTATGAAAAGGAAGGGAGGGGTGTCTCAGGCGTGTCTTGGCAAGTCCACATCTTTAATATAGGATTTTAGTGTAGGACATTCACAATATGGTCAATTGACAGCTGTCAAAACAGGATAGCCACTGACCAGTATCCCATGACCATATCACGGGCTCATATGTCAACTCATCGAGGTGACGTGATTTATTTGGAAGCTGTCCGCTGACCAGTTAATTGTTTTACTAGATCGCGAAAAATGTTCAATCTCATACTTTTACTAGTTAAACTGATAATGCACACATATTGGACATCAATGTTTTGATCAATTGACAGCTGTCAAAACAGGGTACCCGCTGACCAGTATCACTTGACCGTATCGCGGGCTCAGGTGTCGACCCATCGAGGTCAAGTATTTTTTTGAAGTTATCCGCTGACAAGTTACTAGTTTTCAATTGATCGCAGGCTCAAGTTCAATTTTTTTCTAAATTCATATGAAATATGTTGTGTTTATGTGCTACACAATTAAAATTTTGATTGCAAACTGACCTGGAAGGCGAAAATTCAGCCAGCTGTTACAGGCAGGGAAGACAGTTGCTTATGACTTTTCTCACCATGGTCACGCGTTGGTCACGCTCTACGTCCAATTTTTATGCTCTGATTGGTCAAAATTTGACAGGTGAGTTCATGCGGAAAATTTTTGCAGCATCTTGAATCTTGTTTACTTTGACAGCTGAAGCTGACAGAGTTTTGTGTCAACTTGTGATGTTTTTAACTGTCTTTTTCCACTGGATGTGCAAAATGAAATTCAGCTGCTATCAGGAGTCTTTTGTTATTCATGGCTAGTTTGTTTATTGGGTTTTTGGTTGAGGAATACGTCGCTTTTCAAAGTCGGAAATCTGATTTCGGATGGCATCGTTTTCGTTTTCACCTAGCTTGATGCGTAAGAGGATTGCAAAGTCTGAAGCGATACTGGCTTTTCTTGATACCTTTCAGGAGCTGCATCTCGAATGGTAAGCCAGAGAAATTATTGTATTTGATGTTTGTTTTTTTGTATCTAATTTAATGAATTCAGGCAGAGTTTTATGCGGGCATTTAGTTTATGCACGTTTGTAAGATTTGAGACAATGATCTGACCGAGTATCAGGTTTGATATATGCACTTATCAATTGAAACCCCGACCCCCCCCCACCCCGGGCCAAGGTGGGGATTTGACTTGACATCATTACAAATCTTAGCAAACTCCCACCCTACTGGGGCATATTGACTGGTAAAACCCCCACCCAGGTGGGGAAACCTTTTTAATTCCCTGACTAACTTTATTAATATTTCGTTCGAATTTTCAACTTCTTAATATTGACAAATTTACTACAGCAAAAAGGCAAATATGATAACAGACCAAGATATAAATACAACAAATATTTGACAATAAGTAAACATAATGACCCCTACCCACTTATAAAAAAGTCAGGGTACAAAATGGATGATGGAGTAGCACATTGCTATAAAGTTATATTAAAAGGAAATCCGTACCATCTCCATTGAAAGTAATATCTGCAATGATAAGTTTAATTGAAAATGGCAGCCAACATACCTTAACCTTCACAAGCTGATGTTATAAATAGACTGCATAAAATAGTTCCTAGGAGCTATATTTTATATTTTGGCTTAAAGAATGAGGAAATATAGAACTTCAGAAACCACATGGGTTTAACACTAGACGTTAAACGAGCTGTGTCATGAAATTTACCAAAATGTAGGCTGTGGGAACTGCCACCAAATTGAGTGAAACATAAAAATAACCGGTTAAGACATTAAAAGATGGTATAAATGACTCAGCAAATACAAAAGAAGGTACAGATGGGAAAACATGAAGAAGATTAAAACGGATTGAAATTTTGGTTTTTGAAAACTTGTTAACCTAACAGTTTTTCAAAGTTCATTGTTTTCGTCCGTAACGCTTGATATGCTTGGGAGAAACATCTGTTTAAAACGAAGCTTTGATTTCTTCATTTCTTTGCCAACGTAACGCTCAAAAGCGAATAGGGACCACGTAACTGGCAATATTAACAAAATGAACCAGATAGCCGTGACACAGCACCTTTTATAATAAGTAGAGGAGTTTGTATCTGCATTGTTTGAGAAGTTTTGAATAACAATAACAATTTCCAGTCAACGAACCATGAATGCTCAAGGCAAAATCGCAAAGGATTAGTCTCAGTGAAGAAATGAAAGGAAAACAATTAGGAAACTTACGGCCGAGCAATACATCAAAATACCAGTGATCACGTGAAGAAATTACCGTGAGGAAACTAGGCACGAGTCAAATCCCCACCTCGCTCCCCGACTTCCATGGACTTCCATGAATATGCTAAGCAAATCCTGAGAAATCCCCACCCCCACGGGCTAACCATGCCTTCAAATACCATAAAAATCCCCCACATTGCCCCACATAGGCCCGGGGTGGGGGGTCGGGGTTTCAATTGATAAGTGCATATAAGCTTACAGAACTTTAAAAAGCCTTTAGACAGTTTCTCACCGCAAATAGAAAGAAAATGTTCCAAAGAATATTTAGTTATAATTCTGGCCGGAAAAGAAAGCTTTGAGCGATTTTCTTGCCTCGAGTTCGTCTTTGAAAAAAGCAACCACCGGGAAGCCGGCTTAAAACATAAACTTAAGCTTGAAGCTTGAAGACTCAGGATTTTTAGGGACACTTTAATACTTGTATTCATGAATGAAAATTGTTGTCTCTGTATATGTTTCACCGAATTATATTTCATTTATTGATTGTTAGTAGTCTCTCTTGTAATTTTATTCGCTCTGCCGATTGCTTTCAGTCGTTCAGTGAACATCGTTTGCAGGAGTACTCAAAATGCCGCGCGTTAAACCATTAAATAAAAAATAAACATAATAAATTCTTTATAATGTTGGAGCGTAACTCTGTTAATGTTCATTCAAACACTCGCCACAGCTCGCACTACAAAAGTGAGAACCGGATGGCCGTATAGGTGATTTTGGAAATTTTTTTAACAGTTTATGAATATTGAATGAGTGCAATTTGTACCGTGAAATACTGCTTTCTGTCCGAGGTCTGCCGGTATGATAAAAACAGTTGGTTTACACGCACCCAGATTTGTTGACAAAATTTTGCAAAGTAAACTTGTCGAACGCAAAATAGTGGGCCTGATTTGATCAAGAACCATTACATGTATGGCTCTTAAATGTGATCGAAGATGATTACCAGTTTTTGAGTGTACATATGAGGCTATCAACTCGATGTAAGATTTGGTTCACTCTTGGGCTGTTTGCAAATTATTTTTCTCTAAAATCTGGTAGCCTTTCCCTCAAAAGTGACATAAATGTGCTCTAAAGTTAACTGAATTGTGGAATTCGAATACAAGTTTATTGTTTAATTTAAATTATAAATTTATTAATGGGAGCCTCGCTTTTAGCCCTGGCTAAATCTATATATTAAGGTCATTAAGATTCCTGAAACAAATCGACACTAAAGCAATAGGCTTAGGGAAATTCAGTTGTTACTTACTTACTTATATTTTAATCCTTGTAGTCTTACAACTATACAGGATGCTAAAAGAATGTCGATTAAAATACATTTTACAGGATATCGTACTGTACACTTACAAATTACAACTGGCTAATGTACACACATATTAATGATACAATCCAAAAGATACTAGAAAAAACAAAAGTAAATATAATGTAATATTAAAAATAAGGTTTTATGGATCAATTAGGGTGGCAGAAGGTTCTAATCATAGGCAGGGTATATACTTGGAAGGCTTCAGGACTCCATAAAGGGATTGCGCGAGGGAAGAAGGAGTGGTTGTAGGCATTGGTGTTGGTGGCGATGTGTCGGAACTTTGGGATGTTTTGAGCGTGTGCAAGGATCAGCGGGTCAGACGGAGCCGAATTGTAGCTATAAACTCCCAGTTCGAATTGTAGCTGTGAGCTCCCATCCTAAATTAAAACAAGTAATTACGCGATTGGTAAAACATATTACAAGGAAGTGAAAGAGAAAGAGAGGGAGAGAGAGAGAATAATAGATCAGTAATAAACTAACAATGAATTTCTATACTAACTTATTATGCAGGCTACGAACGGTAAACATTTGTTTCCAGCGAGCAATTTTAATCTTCTATGAGTGTAGTAATTCCAGACACTCGCGCATCAGATGTGGTGTAATTAAAAAAAGTTATTTTAAGAAACTAGGTGAATTAATCTTGGGGTCTTCGAATTTGAAAATGACGTCATGACCACACTGAAACGTCTTTCACTTTCAATTTTTTGCCTTTCTTAAAATCTTCAAATCTTAGCGTTTTTTCCCCTGAAATTGATTAATCATTTCCTAACAATTCATTGCAAAGTCGTCTTCAGCCTTGGGGAACCTGTAAATCAGAGAGCAACTTTCATTCCCTGGATACTGAAAGATCCATTTTTGAGTTATTTATTACTTTATTCACGCCACTTGGTTTAAATAAGTTCATCGATGCATGTTAATGAGCTATTCAAAGAATCTCTTAAGAGTCGTACTGATTGCCATGTCAACAGCGATGAATACAAACCACTTGAATGGATGATTTTCTATTTGTTGACACCTTTGTGAAGAACAATAGATATTTGATGTGTTGTTCTATGCATAAAAAAGACAAATGTCTGCATTCAGTTTTTAAAAACAATCGGATATATATAACAAGGAAAATCAAGGAAGAGATTTGACTTAGCAAGTACAGTAAGGGCTCCATGAGATGATGATATTTTTTAGCTCGAAGAATCCTGGGTGTTTTAATTGCCCTTAGGACGGAAAACGAACGATTGACTCCAAATCAATTATTATCCAGAGAAAACAAAAGATGAGATTCTATTCTTAAACAAAGGACTGTATATCTATTGAGTTTGTCAAGCTGAATAATTATATCTGAATTCATTATCTAAGTGAGCTTCGTTCGACCTACTCAGTCATTGAAGAGGATTTGTGCAGCATAGATGAAATTCGATACGCCAATTATACGGTGCTCGGTAAATTAATCGGTCATTGGAAATTTTATGGCACATCGTTTCTTGCAACTACGGGACTAGAGACGAGTGATACTCATTATTTTATTAATGAACGCTTGTTCTCTAGCTAACTCTTGAAGGATGACATATACAAATCAGTCGACCATGTTTCCCTGTTTGTTTCCTCGTATAACGTCGGTCAATGTCTATTGATGGCTTGGCGGCAAACTGTGTTTTAAATGTCTTAAAGTGGTATAACTATGGGAAACGGCAACACAACACCAGGAGTAGGAACTATTCGGCGAGTGATACAAGCAAATCAGAAGTTTAGAGCGAAACTTGAATTGTGGGAGAATGACCGCAACCAACGGGAACCGTGGAAATCGATTCTCCAGAACGGTCCTTCCGTTGTTTACGAGAAACGGAAACAAGTGCTACAAGCAAAAGACGAGGAATCGATAAACTATTTTAACTCTCTTCTAGAAGGAAAAGTTCTCTCAGATTCAGCATGGACTCTGCCGACGAAGGAAATTGCTGTGTTTTTGAGCTCGACGTTCACGGATATGTCAGTGGAGAGAGATTTACTGATGGAGGATGTTTATCCGTATCTACGCGAATTTTGTCGAAGCCTGGGTTATAATTTTAGTGTGGCTGACATGAGGTGGGGAGTGCGAGACGAAATGACGGACGAACATCAAGCAGTGGACATTTGCGTGACGGAAGTACAGCGATGCAAGTTAGTATATCATTCGATCATTAACATTAAGTAGCGATCCTGTCACGATAGATGTCCAGTGTCAAAGCTACCGAGCTCTAGGAGGGGCTCGGAGTTTTACAGAGAGGGCATTAAGAGACAAGTAATTCATGTTAGGCTCCATATAGTCGGACTTGCCTACAGAAGGTATATGGAAGGGCTACCTTTTCTCTCAAAAATGGCATATATTGGGTAAAAGGTTGGACCTCGGGGTTGTTCATCCCCGGACTTCCGAGCTTTCAACAAAAGCATTGGTCTATTCCCGGGGGGCACTTGGGTATTTTTTTGGTGGGTATGTGCCGCCCGGGACTCCAAATTGGCACCCCTTTCTAGAAAAATTTTCCCCTAAAATTGATACCCCGTTGTAGAAATGGGCCAATTTTTTATACCCCGTTCTAGAATTCGCCCTAAAACTGATACCCCGTTCTAGAAATGGGCCAATTTTTTATACTCTGTTCTAGGATGCAACAAGAGTACAACGGTTTGCTTGTTAACGCATTGAACCGTATTTTTAAAAGCAATCTGTCCTTGAACACTTTCAAATGGTTGCTTACAAAAGTGGAGCTTTCGCGCGTTCGAAATATTATACCCCGTTCTAGAAAACGCCTCTGAAATGGATACCCCGTTCTAAATCAGGAGCTTCAAAATCACGACCCCGTTGGACGGCACATACCCGTATAGGTAATGTATGGGAGTACCCCCCCCCCCCGGGGGTCTATTTATAACGACGAAATTTTTTTATAGAAATTTTTGGCATTTTGCAGATGCAACCTTAAATTGATCTAACTGTAGACCAACCGATTTCAATTTGCAATGAGATCGCCCCATGTAAGGACTCCAAGACAGTCATGTATTCTGGATTCCACGCCGTGGATTCCGGATTACAAGTACTAGATTCCAGTCTTTGTCAGTGGGATACTGGGATACTGGTCGATACTGGCTTCTAATCGTTAGTGGGATTCCAGATTCCAAAGCCTAGGATCCCGGATTCCACCGGCAAAATTTCCCGGATTGAGGAATCCCGATTCCATAACATGGGGCAAAAGAGATGTTTAGCCACGAGCTGTGGCATACACACTGGTTATGACCTCCTGAACGTGACTTAGGAATAAAATCTTTGAATTGATCGATCCCAGAGCGGTAAAACTATAAGAAGGAACCGTCTTTTAGGCTGTACCAAAAATAATAGTATTGCTCTAAATGCTCCCTGTCTCCAACCTTGTCCACCAAAAAAATAAAATAAATAAATAGATAAATAAGTAAATACACTAGTCTGAAAAACGACACCACCACTGCTTGGCGGTGGCGTCGCGAAATGTCGGCCAGTTTCTTAAGCTAAAACATTACGAAAACGAACAAAAAAAGCAAATCCCAGAACTTCTGATCCTGCCCTCTTAACAAGACACAAACAGTGCCACTCGGAGGCCGAGGGAAGAGATAACACAATGTTTAGTCTTGTACAGGATATAGAGGTTTAAATTCAAAATTGAGATTATCAGAAAAAGTGTGTCTCAAATAGTTTTCAGATGATGAGCCCCATTTTATGTAGCCTGCGGTACTCTCCATTTAGAGTGTCATGCGAGGCGATCCTCGGGAGAAAGCGTATCCTCCCGCGTGCTGCTCGCGCTTGACTCTCTTAGTGACGAGGGTCCAAATGGAGAGCTTGCTCGCAGGCTATATTTAATTTTGTCCGAGTACTGTTAATATCCACATAATTATTTGTCAGAAATGAGTCCGTTGGGCCGTACATGGTTTGCATTATTGGCGACAAGTACGGCTTCAGACCAGTCCCTGTTACAATAGATAAAAACATCTTTGAAATGCTGTTGGGAAGCGTCAAGAGTAATCCCGGGGGCAAACGCGCTGCCGAGCTTCTTGTTCAATGGTACAAACTAGATGAAAACAGTATACCGGCAGCTTATGTCCTACAACCAGTGTCAACGTTTTATCCGCATGCGTATAAACACCACGCAAACGATGCTGATGAAAAGAAAGGAAAAGAGGAAAGGCAGCAATGGTGGCAAACACTGGAAACAATGACAGAAGCTTTAAGGAAGGCTGCAAGTCAGATCGATTTTACAGCTTTTCCTTCAAGTGAGATGACCGAGGAAGACTTCAAGATTTCTGTGACCGAGACGGAGATAACAACTGGAATGAAGGGAGAGGGTGTAGACCCGAAATACATGATTTTGTTTATTCGGTCCCTTAAAGAATTACATGAAATGGACCTCAATAACAATAAATTTACAAAGCGTTTTGTAGACAAGGGAAATGCAAGTGAAGCAGTTAGTACAAAAACTTTGTTGCAGAGTCTCAAAAGTAAATGCCAAGAGGTAATACCTGAAGACAATATATGCAGGTTAGTGATCATCGTAAAATTAACTATGATTTTGCGATTTTTTTTGAGCCACAATACTTTTTAACTTGTAAAGAATGGTTCAAATTGCCCGCTGCTACAATCATGGACAAAAGTCCTTGGGACAGTCAGAACGTAACTTCAATTCTATACGTTTAACAAGTTATGTCGCAAAAGCAGTGCTGTCTTTTTACAAATCCATGTCCCTTCCCCCCTCCCCACCCAATACAATGTTGAAAGATCAAAGGAACTGAGCCTTGACGGTTTCAACACTGTCTGTGGGTTGGGGGTAGGGGGTAGGAACGTACAGTGTTAGCAGCGCGCGGATACAATTTCGCGTGTGTTAAAAAGCTTTCGAACTGTACAACTGTCCCAAGACTTTTATCCATGATTGTAGTATATAGAGGTCTCTCATGAGGGGCGAGAGGTACCGAAAAATGAGAGTGACTGTTTCTTATGGTTTACAATTAGAAAAAAAAGTTTCCGGAAAACCTGGTTGGAAAGTAAATGGAACACAGCTTTTTGGGTCAATCCAGCGGAAAATTTCCTGGAGAAACGGAACATCTGAAAAAGTAGTTCTGTTTTTCAGGATGGAATGTTTCAAACGGAAATTCGTGTTCCATTTCTTCAAAGCCATGTTACCAGTTTTATGCCTTCGCCGGCTGCAATGGTAATTAAGCAATACTCTTTTCTCTCGCCTTGGGTGACCTATTCTATTATAGCATGGATCGGGTTCAAAAGTCCGACCTCACATGTCAAATACCTAATGCACACCTGTTGGTCACGTTGTTTTCGCTCATTAAGCCCCTGTGCAAACGGACGCAATATTGTTGGATATTAAGTGTTGTGTCCGTTTAATTTGCTCACCCTGTTTCATGTTGTTGGGAGTTGTTGCACAAAGTTTGAAACCGGTCACACTTTTACCTACGTGCAAACGGACGATAAAACTCTCAACATTGTTGGGAGTTGTTGAGTCCGTTTGTACGTGGGGTTTAGGATGCGTTAAACTGAGTCGAAGCATGACTATGACTTGATAATAGCACTATGACCTTGCCGGCAAACATTCATTACTGTTTGCATGAAAAACTCAATGAATGCATGATTTTAATGAAAAAGACTAAAACTGGAATGGGTATTAATAGTCATTTTAATATCGGATCGAACCTCATACTATACATTTTGTGAACTCAGATATAGCCTCGAGTTTCAGCTTACTCAGGATGGTCATATTAACCCGTTCAAGAACAAAGAGGAAATAAAGAATTTTTGCGATCAATTCTGCCAGAAAATGATTGATGGCATTCAAGAAGGTAAAGTATTGTCTAATTTCTTAGTTTATCTACCTATAATAACCAGGAAAAAATGGTGGTGGTTTTTGTTTTACAAAAGTTGCCAGCTAGAGTCAGTCTTATCACGCTGGTAATTAAAAAGCTGGATGGGCGCGAAAACGTTTATTTTTCTTTACAATTTGCTTACATTAAGGAAGAGAAACCCTTCAATCCCAAACACCATATAATTTTCCAAAAAAAAAGAGCAGTGGGCTCTAAAAGAGATAGAACAAAATCAAAAGCAAACTGTCAGGGCACAGCTAAATTAAAAGTCAAAATTTAAGTTTTAAACTCCTTCCAAAATCAAGTTTTATCTTGTGGCAATAATTTTTCTAGTTTGAAAGAAATGGTTAGTTGTAAAGTTGTGAAAGTTTGGATAAAATATTGTCTTTTATCAACAAATAGCTCAAAAGGCCGCTGCGCAAACGCTAATTCTAATGGGTCAGCCATAGTAATCCAATACCTGGAATGTTTTTAACAGTCTGTGTCATGATTTTCTGTTTCATTTTGTTAATAATGCCAATCACACGTCCTTAATCGCTAATCGCCATCTTACTTGTCGATTTTGATCATCAACTCGGAGGCAACGCTTGGTTCTAGTCCCCCTCGATCACCTCCTTTCGCTTTCCTAACAGTTACGGGCTGTTATCCTCACTTTGTGCCTTTGCCAAATCTAAATTACTAAATTCGAGAGCAGGACGAATGGAGGACCGATATCGAAGCCACCATTCACTACACATGACCGAATAGAAAATGTACTTTTCCATCGGAATCTATTCGTGTCCAATGGATCATACCCCCATGGCCACCCCTGAGAAATGATATAAAGTCTGAGGAATGAGACCATGCTCACAAAGCCGTCATGCTAGCCTGCGAGCAAGCTCTCCTATTTCGGCAAGCTAAGAGAGTCTCGCAAGAACGCACGAGCTAGCGGCGAAGCCGCGAGGGGCAGAGGAAAGGCCCCCCCCCTCGCTCGCGCGTTATCGCGAGACTCGCTTCGCTCGCCCAAATAGAAGAGCTTGCTCGCAGGTTACGTCATACCAGTGGTGGCGTCGCTAAATGACGGCTGTTTACTCACGCTAACCCTATGCACTTTCCTCACGGTTGTTAGCTTTTGTTCAAAGCTATCTTGCTATGGAATCCAAAGGTTTGAATAGAGATTTGGTCTCTCACATGCGTATGTTTCATTTAAAGCTGTTGCCAATCATCAGATAATTGATGACCCTTTATACGTCGAAGTTCTTCATCATACAATGGTCACGAAGAAGAGAACAGAAGCATTTGTAGGTAGAAAGCAACTATTACAAAAGGTAATACGGGCATTTCAAATAAGACCAACATTAAGTAATTTAAGTGGGAAACGATTTTTGCTTTGTAGGAAGTTTTCAGATCACCAAGAACCAGAGTACACAGCTGTAAACATGAATATTAAGTTAAAATTTTAGGTAACTAGGGGAAGGATTTCTGGGAACGAATATGGACCTCAAAAAATTTGGATTCAAACCTGGGGTTGAAGTTACTAATAGAGAACTCAAGAAGAGCAACGGAAACGTCGAAGTTTGTTATTTCGCAGCTTGATGCCGGAACGTTTTGTCTTACACAAGGACTTTTAACCACGAAAGGTGGAGAGAGGGTACTACCTGTAATGACCAATAGGGGAAGGGACGGACGGGGGTGTGGGTTCCATTTTCAATCTTCAGGAGTAATACAAGGGTAGGGATCTCACTAGATGAAGTATGTGAAAGGGTAAGGAAATCTGTCATTTCAGTGTGTAAAAGGACCTAAAGGGCTACCAGACGCATTTTATTCATATGTATAGGACAATACAATACACGTTTAAGTTCTAAACTAGGCATTTGAAAGGAGTACCATTTTTTCGCGATGGGAGCTATACAAAAGGGGAACCTTTTCTGTCCAAAAAAATTGTTGGATAAACGGGTAAGGAGTTGGACCTGGGACGAAACCTCCTTGAGAGTGAAACTTTTGTTACCTTTCCTCCCCCTCTCCCGAAATGAAAAAAAAAAAATCAGTGCTTAAAAAGCTGCTCCTTGGGTAAATATACATAAACTGCGACAAAATATGCAAGAATAATGAATAAAACATGAATTTTGGTCTAAGAGTTATGTTAAAAAAGAGTATTTATATTGTATTTCACGAACTATCTATAACTTCTTCTTACGAATACACTTTTTAGATTGAGGACTACCTCAGACTGGATAATGGTGGAAAGGTAACCAGTTCTTTGTGTCTGTGTTCAATCCAACAAATAATACCAAACGAACGTTCACATCAAACGAAAAGTATTTATTAAACGCAAAATCGAAACAAACGTTGAAATGCTAAACAATCATGCTCTTTTGTTTTGTGCTCCTATTCCTTAAGCTTCTAAAGTAGACAGTGACTGAAATGTTTTCAGGCTAGTTTAATTTTGGCCCAAAATTGTTTTGGGAGCTTAGACTACACCTCAGTATTTATAAAAAGTCACCGTCTTAATTAGCTAGTAAGAAATCGATTTCGCTTGGTAGACAGAGTGGTCGTGTTAAAATCAATGCTAACGTCTCTTCATTTTAATTTCTCAATATTCTAAACTGTGGAAACGTTCAGTGTAAACGTACGATTTAATACGGAGTCAGGAGTCCCATTATTATGATAATTAATATCTGATTTTTTCACCAGCCTTTTATCGTGTATGGCATATCAGGCTGTGGTAAAACTTCTATCCTGGCCAAAGCTTTTACTGCGTCTCTTGAAACCTGGAATGGAGTCTATACTGGAAGGTAAGTAAGCTTAGCAACCGTCAATATAAAATCTTTAACGATGAAACTGTGAAAGATAAGTCCGAAATTATTGCTTAAAATTTCTATTTGAAAACTATGATAGCGAAGGGAGAGGCGACCTGTTACGGACTTTCTGACATGCGTACTTTGGTCTTTATTCGCCATATGCTTTGTGCAGTCACCTTAGTATCGCAACCCTCCCTTTTCCCTCTCTATAGTAGCATGTTACTGTTCTGCTTTCAGTAAATTTGTCTATATTGCATCAGTTTGGCTACTGTTATTGAATGAAAGGAGCCATAGGCGCTGCCCCTACCTGTTTACCCTAATCTTGCCTGTCTCCTTCAAGTAGAGGGCTCAGATAGGAAAGAGGGACACCTTTGCCGGCCTCCCATGCGTTTTCCATCTCCCTTGCACTGGGTTCTCGTCAACAACCGGTAACGTTTTAGTCACGTGCACGACCGGTTTGCGCGATATAGCAACTGTGAGTTCAGAAATTTCCAGCTTGCAGTCTCCACAGGGCATACGTATTTCGCATTACTTAACTGAGCCGGTTTTTAAACATTAGTTAGTTTCGACCACAAATGTGGTTAGCGGCTACATGATTGAACGCGGGGGAGGCCGGCAGAGGTCTCTCTCTTTTCTCTCCTTCAACAGGAAAACTTGCCTGTTGTAGTTTTATTTTACTGCCACTCCTGGGGAGTTGATGTGAAGATAAATCGATCTGTTGATTATTTTTATCGAGGTTGTAGTTTATTGAACCATTTTTTGCAAAACCGATTCACATCAAACGTCTGCATGGCAAAAAGCGAAACATAGATCTACTATCTAGTATCGCGCCTAAAACACACTAATATCTTTTACTGATTCAGTGCCGGATCCATACCTTGACTAATTAGAACTGCTAGCCCAGTTAGGACCACTATTTTTTTAATAATTAACCTGTTATTTGAATCTTTAGGCCAATCCATCTTATTAGATTTATTGGAACATCACCCTCTTCGTCAAATGTGAGATCTCTGCTGCTTAGCCTTTGTCAGCAGGTAGGTTTGTGCCGCGACTAGATAGTATTTTTTCAATGGCTTGGAAGTGAAGCAGCTATACATATTCAGCGGTCTCACAAGGGAAAGGGCAACACCATCTGATTTGTACTGGTTCAATTAATATTTCTCAGCCAGCATCCAAATTAAGTGTACACCCCATAATTCTCCTCTTTACCCATAAGTATTTCATTTATATTAAGAATTTGCCTTGTGCCACTCTCCAATAAACGCGCAATCAAAACTGTCGCAGAAATTCACTCAAACATTTCTTATCTTTGAATGGAAAATTCGCGTAGGCGGTCGGTTTTTTTTTTCTGTATGTACGGAGCTGTTGGGTTATTATAAGGGTATAGCTAGGGTAAACAGCACATTTGCTTGACACTCACTTCGTTTGGCAACCAACAACAAGCAGACAAACAAACAAAATATGAGGCATGTATAGGCAAGGCAAACTATCGCAGAAGTCTAATTAAATGCAACTTACCTCATATCTAATTCCTATTTCTTCAACTATTTTCTCTTTATATTTTATATCTTTGTAGCTGTGTCTCGTGTTTAAAGATACATCGTCATTGATCAGTGACAACTATGATCGTCTGGTTGCCAAATTCCGTTCACTTCTCCTCAGGGCGACACCAGAAAGACCACTTGGTAAGTTTATTTCAATAGGGAAGAGGAGGGGGGTGTTAGTAAAGACTCACAGAAAAATAACAATAAAAGTAATCTTGTGATCGCAGAGAAGCTAGCTAATCTCTGTCAAGAACTCACCGAGTATTTTCTTTTTAGTTTTGTTCCTCGACTCACTGGATCAACTTTCTGATCAAGATGACGGTCGTGCACTCAGGTGGCTACCGACCAGCTTACCAAAAAACGTGCACATTGTAGTCAGTACGTTGCCAATCACAGGAGGCTGCCTTGCTGTTTTGAAAACCAAACTAAAACCAGAGAACAATGCCGACTTTTATCTTGAGGTATGCTTTTAATGGCGAACGCAGAGAAGTGTCTTACTCTGCTTCCGCATCAAGTAAAAGTTCTTTCATGATCTACACTTACTTTTAAGTATATGTTACAAAAATAATTGTCAGTCTACGTACCTTAACAAATAAACGATCCTGAGTACAGGCGTAGACCTTCCATTACTTTCCGAACCAAGTTCAACGACTTTTGTTTCTTAGCCACGCCCTTGTCTACAATTACTAAAAAAATTCTTGTGTCTAAATAGGTTTCATCTCTGGAATCAAATGATGCTGAGAGCATTCTGGACATGAGGCTAGAAAACGCCAACAGGTACCGAGAAATCCTAGCCCGTTGCTTACTATGATTTAGTACTTTTGGGATTAAAGCCTAGGAAATATGCTGATATGCAACTGTTCGCTCATGACGCTCGCTTTTTTATAGTATACATTTTTTTTGTTCAGGTTCATAAAACAAAATGTCATGTTAAATCATTTCTTTTACTCTGACTAGAATATTTTTTGTCTGGAGGCACTGCATGAAATGTTAGCCACTAACAAAGTTCTTACAGCTTGTAGAAGAACAAATTTTTTTTATTTGTACCGCAGTTTACATTGTCAGAATTATCAGTAAAACAACTTACAATATTACCTGATTATATATCTTAATTTGAAATTACGTGTTTAACTCCAGTCTACATTTTTCTTTATAATTAAAACCAATCAACCAAGTACATGCAATGCCGTTTGTGATATGCACTCCTTTTCTCTTTTTTAAATTTTAATATCTGACCGTAGGAGGCTAACACTGGAGCAAAGGAAACATGTTTTGGAAACGAGCACCAAGCCTACGGCGCTCTACATGAAACTAGCTTGTGACACAGCTTTACGATGGAATTCGTTCACAGAGGACACACACACAAAATTAAGGGCCACAGTCTCAGAATTGATCATACAGTTGTTTGAACGGTAAGTGATTTCTAAAGAAAAAATAATGATCAGGTAAATAGAGGTCACTTCCTAGTTTTTCAAATAATTGAACTTTAGAAATAAAGCGGGATTTACAGAGTATCTGATGTCTCGGGTTCGTCGATCAATTACAGTTTTCTATCTGTAAGGGGCTAGCAAGTTGCATAACCTAGTGTCCCTAACAGGGTCGTTTACTTTACATTGCTAAATTATGTGAACTAGCAGGACACCCCAGCGTATTAGAGTATAGTACTTCTTGGTCTTATTTTAAATATTTGCTCTCAGTGGAAGGGGTATGTATGAATATGATAAGTACATTGAAAGCCGCACAAATGGCGTTATATCCTACAACCAAACAAGCCTGTTGAAGCACGAATACTGCAAGCTGATATGTGCACATTTGATTGGAAAGTTGCACTTTGACTAACCTCATTGTATTGTCTTTTCTTCCTGCCAGCTTAATCACAAAGCATGGAGAACAGTTTGTTCGTCGAGCTCTTGGCTACATCACAGCCTCCAAAACAGGACTGACGAAATCTGAGCTAGAGGACGTGTTATCATGCGATGATATCGTACTTGCTGATGAGGTGTTTAAATATCACGTGCCTCCCATCAGAAGGCTTCCTCCATTGCTATGGACGCGACTCAGGAATGATTTAGGTGAGGACCGAAATTATTGACCACTGTAAATAAGACGAAAGATGGCAAAACAATCCAACTAACTAACAAGCTAAGCAAAATAAAAGAGACAAAAAAATAACATCAAACAAACAAAAAACAGCAACAACCAATCAACGGTTCATCTACGTAATGTGCTAAATTTGCGTCATAGGTGCTGAAAGCAGATTTTTGTAGCCAAATGGCGCCAATTTTTCTCTCCTACATTTGGATTACTAGTAGTGTGTTTATCGAGGGTAAGTACCAAAAATGCTTACCTCAAAGTAGATGTTCATGGATAAGAGGAAAACATAGGGTGGTTGTTGAACAAATGATAGTAAAATCTAGGGACTGATTTTGCAGGTCGGTAGGTCTAATTTATCCGGTGTTTTTCGCACTACAATGTAGGCCTCATTAAAGACTTCCTTCAACTTTAAGTGGTACAAATCTTTTGTGTCACTACACTCGCCGGATGAGTGGTGCCTTGTAAAGCCTCCGCCCCTTTTTCTTGTTGAGGGGGGTCAAATACACCTATCGTGACCATCTTATACCGTATACATTTGCAGGTGGATACTTGGTCAAGGTAGCGGCCGATGGTCACGTGGTCTACAAGTGGTATCACCGATTGTTTCTAGAGGCAGCAAAGAATTACTTTTTGAGTGACAAGCCTTTTACCGACTCGCTTCACACGGATTTAGCAAATTACTTTAATGGAAGGTGAATTAATAAAGCTTAAGCAGAAATTCCCAGAAATCACTTGAAAAAAACAAAACAAAACAAAACAAAACAAAAAGAAAAAAGAGAAACGAGAAACTAAGAAATTGTGCTAGGATAAAATTGTGTTTGGAGTCCATGACGTCTCCTCGTGTCTTTTGAAAAGTGACTTGCCCCTTTTTTTTAAATAAAATAATCAGTATATTACTTTGTCTATTATTTCAAGACGTTGTGAGACAATTTGAACGTCTGTATGCCAGCGTGGGTCCGAAGACAATAAACCCGCATTTGAGTCTAACAGATTATAGCTTCAATCACAATTCCACACTCTTAATTCATCTTAAAATCGCTGAAGAAGTGGATCTGTCAAACTAGGTATACATACATTGTTGTTAGAGAGACAAACTGAAAAAAGGTTTGAAGAAGTAAGCCTTTCAGGGCACTTGAGTCGGACCGCGTTGTCGATTATTAAACAAAACTAACGCGCATGCACCGAAATCTATGACATATATAACTTCAAGAAGGCGGAGCACAGGTGCCGCTTAGACGGCCTGAAACAGGCAGCAAAAACGAATAATAAAACCAATTAAAGGAGGTTTATAGAGTTAAGATTTTTTCGTAACGCTGCAATCTTTTATTCCTTTTAGATGGGCGAGAGAAGCCAAACCATACACAGACAAAAACGGAAATATATGTAGTGCGTTCCGAATGGTAGCGGATCAACCTCTGATTCTGAGTACAGACGTCAGGCAAGGGGCGGATACGGAAGATGGAGAGAGTGGAGCAAGATACAATTTGCGCAAATTAAGCGAGCTACCGTACCACTTAATACGATCTGAGATGTGGAACGAATTTGTTGAGGTAAGGATCGATTGATTTAGATTGATGTGTTCTCTGTAAACGTTAAAGAGTGTTATGCACCGGATATAACAGTATTATGCAAATAAGCTTTATTGAATACAGCTCAATTATCAAGATAGAGATTTTTTTCTGTGGAATTCACGTAACATATTTTGATCAATTATGAGAAGTAAAAAATATGTATAATAATAAGAAAATAGAGCTGAAAAATTCTAGAGAGCCATGTTTTGGGGAGTGTAATTCAGCGAGAAAAATTATTGAACAACTCTCCAGTCGGCGAAAATTGTCCAGAGGTTTTTCATGGGGGTGATGTTTACAAGCAAAGCTTTTGTGCAACGTTGGACACCACTGTTTTTTTCGTGGATAAATTTCGAGATCAAAGGCGGTAATTTAAAAGCTTTTTTTTCTAGCATAGTTTTCTATATTATTTACAAAAGACCTACATAATTATAATACATTTATGAATGATTCCTGGTTTAACGGGAAAAAAGGGAAAGGATCATCTCAAAAAGAAAGACAAGAGAAACTGAATTAAACAATACGCGAAAACGTTTTTTTCCTTATTTCAAGAAACCGTTCTCAACAGCCCAGGAATTTCTACTGTTGATGTCTGATAAGAGGCAATTTATTTATCATTTTGGGTTGGTTATTCACGACAAACAAATTGAAAACGGAGTTTAACAATACTGCGTTTTTAGCCCTTTTAAATTGGGTTAACCCTTAGCATCGCTTTTTGTTTACAGCTTCAAAAATGCTTACAGCCCAGACTAGAAACGAGTCATTAAAATATATACCTTACAAAGGAGGCTGTCTGAGTTCCTTAAACTTCTGAAGAATTTGTTTAAATAACCGGCTCTTTAATAGTTTATTCATTTATACCACCCACATTGTTAACAATTTAGAGAATTTGAAAGTAAATCTAAATAACCTCGAAACTCTTCTTAAACTATGAGCTTAAGAAAGTTCTCGATGTCTCCTTATTATAAAGCTTTAGTGTACGATTTTGGGAATGGACAACTGTCAGACTCACGTTTCCGGATTTAAGTATCGCAAATATTAAACACATGGATTCGTTTCTCTGTACTCCCGAATTAACTCCTTAATCTTTCTTTTAAAAATATTCATCTGGTTTCCTCTTGCCAGATGAACCTCGTAACAATGCTACATTTCATTTAGATTAAATTTGATTTTGTTGTTTGTCGGCATTAATAGTGCCTGAATACTAGCTACAGAATCTAAAATATGTTTGAAAAACATGATATAGTAATCAACGATTTCAGTTTGAAAATGATTAAAATGACCATTTTACATATGCGCACACTCAATAATTGACCAACAATAAGGCGCCTTTCCATACTTTATTGTTTCTCTTTCCCACCATCCACCACACACTCTTCTCTAAAATTGGCAACTTGGTTGGCTTATTCACGGACTTTTAGTGTACAATAAGCCTCTAACTGCCAGAAGGCAGATGCAAGATATCTTTTGACTGTTCTTGAAAAAACTCCTTTTCTTTGGACGTAGACATGTTCTTCCAGAAAAAAAAAATGGATGGCTTAGACCGTTGATGAGTCACTGGTTGGGTATTCCTATACCACGACACACGTACTTTTGCTGAGGGATTTAAACTGCTCAAAACGCTCCAATGTATTGCTATATATTGATCGACAGCTCATGCCGTCTCTTTACAAAGAGTAGCTATCGCCCCGTGTAAGGGACTTCGAATTCCGAAATCCGGGAAATTTTTGCTTGTGGAAACTGTAATCAAAGAAAATTTTGCGTGTAGAATCCGGAATCATGGGCTTTGGAATTCGGAATACAGCGAAAGGAATCCGGAATCCCACAAAAAATGTGGAATCCGGGATGCAATTTCCTCTGACATAGACTGAAATCTAGTATCTGGAATCCGCAATTCACGGCGTGGAATCCAGAATCCAAGACTGTCTCGACTTTCTTTACATGAGGCGAATATATAAACGTTTTAGTAAAGCTCTATATAATTATCTTTGTTTTGGCCCGTACACGTTGATACGGAATTTTTATCTTGTCAATCCATTGTACATAGGCAGCACCATTTCTTTAAATGCATGCCGGTAATTCCTTTGCCTGTAAAAATATACGCAAGGATTGAACGCAGAATTGGAAAGAGCAAGTAGACCAGACCAGAAGTGCCACATGCTGTAGTGCTTTGGGAATGTGACAGGAATGGTGATAATAGGTACCCAACAAAGACAGAAAAGCCCTACAATAAGCGCAACTGTCTTAGCGACCTGCTTCTCTCGTTCGCGTAATTCACCGGATATTTTCATATGGCTTTGGTTGTCATGTAACTGGCGAATTTTAGAAGACTTAAACCTGACTGTTGTGAAAGTTACAATCCCACTGATGACGATAGCGAGAAGGCAGGTTACGGCTCCAAATGTTCTAATATAAAGGGAAAACAATCGCTCAAAGCGAGAATATAATTCCAGAGCGGAAAAAACCAGAGATGTCATCCATATGAGGCCCAAGAAGGCTTTCAGCTTTGAAGTACTCATTTTCAGTTTGTGGGTAATGGGGTTGCATATCGCCCAACAGCGGTCCATGCTCATTGCAGCCAAGATTAGAACCGAAGCAGTAATAGAACAACGTAAAATGACCATAGAAGTAACTCCTACGGTACTCCCTGAACAGACTGGCGCCACATCTTGGGAGAGCATCGAGATCATCAATGGAATTGATATTGCAGTTACTAGGAGATCAGCCAGAGCCAGGTTTGCGATAAGAACTCCGCAAATCGTTTGCAAGTTCGGAGCTCTTTTGATAACTAGAATCGTGATTGCGTTGCCTAAAGATCCCACAAATGCTATGAGACTGCAGAGAACTATCGCGACAGTTATATCGATTGTTTTCGGTGAAAAATCCTGGCAATACAAAACGGCAGATGTTTTGTTGGGAATTTTCATTTCAAACTTTTAAGAATCACTTGTGTTTTAGGAATACGCACTGCATTTAGCACGTCTTTTTTGTTTTTCAAAAAATAAAAAATGATAAAAGATGTTATGTTAAGGTTTTTTTAAACTTGGGGCTTATACACCTTGCAGTGTTGAGTCCTTGACAAGCACTGCGCTGGTAATTTGTCAGTCTTCCTGTTTTCGCTTTAAAACGGCGGCATTTTTTTAAAACCAGCGGGAGAATAATTAAACACTTTTGGCTGGCCTCAAAACAAGTCACTGGGATTTAAGAGTCAAGGTTAAATAAGTTGTTGCTTAAAATTTATTGTTCTGTTTATCGGTCTGTGAAGCGTTTTCACTCGCGTGGCTAGCATCTATGCAACTTCTAATTCAGTTTACTGGAGCAAAAGAGGGGGCTTACATAAGAGAAGAGTTCAAATCCCACAGGATTTGCTTGGAACACCAAGACGGCCACCGTCTCATTGTCTTGGTAGACCAATATGGCCGTTGGGACATGAAAACGCGAGTGTATGATATATCCATTCCTTAATTAAATAAAGATATGAAAAAAAATTTAAGCAGTTTGAGAAGATTTCGCTAGAGTAGAAAATTATCTAACAAGAATCTGAGCTTAAAAGAAAGTAGAAAAGAAAACGGAAAGGAAGAAAGAAAGAAAAAACAACAGAAAAACAAAACATGCATACACGTCTACACTAATGAAAGCCGATTTTCTTCACCCGACGAGTTTCTCGCTCATAAGCAAAATATATTAAGGGCAGACCAAGTTGATAGCTGATGACTTAGATCTTTTTCTTATAGATTGTGTGCCAGATTCCATTCCTTATCGCCAAGTGTAAAACTGGGAAAGCATTTGAACTAACTTTGGAACTATCTGAGGTAAGTAATCAGGGCTCCAAATCAAACCACTATTGGAGACGAGCTAGGTTGCGCGTGGGCTTACGGTGAATGTCTTTCTTGAACTCAGGCGATATAACTGTGATCAGGTGTCCTCTTGTGGGAGGGGGTGGGGGAGAAAAGAAACGGGAAGAAAGAGAAGAGGAACCGATCCCAGTGTATGCATGGTAGAGTCTGCAAATGGAATGTGTTCAAACAAGCATTGGCACATTAAAATAATTTTTTTTTGTCGCAGAACTGTAATAAAGTCTTGACCAATAACGATTTCTTAAAACATAAGCAAGCGTGTCATGATGATACCGAAACGTCGGCTTTTAACGTTAATATTCGCTTGCTTATGTTTTAAGAACTGTAATAAGAGGACAAAAGATAAAATAAGCATTCAAGCCAACACAAGCAAGAGTAAAATTTCAGTTTTCTATTTTCCCCTCTGACTTCATTCATTATCTTTTCTTTGTATTTCTGATTAGGTAATTTACAGAAATCTTGGGTTGATCATTTTTCTGTCTGTCAAATAAAATTTGAATCAAAATAGCTCCTAAAAAATTAAATGGGCAAAATAATCTATAATTCCTGAAAGGATTTAGAACTAATTTTAAGACCTTGAGCGCATACCATTCGTATCGAAAACCCAGGAAATTCCAGGGAGAATTCAAATGGAACTGTTCATCCCGGTGGAAATTTTCCGGAAAGAAAGTAATACCTTTCGAGGTATTACCTTTTTCCCGCTTTTACTGAGACGACATAAATTGTCTGTACCATTTGTTTGGATTACCAGTGCTAAAGCCTCAAGTCGAGAGAAAGCGAAAAATTAACTAGTATTTTGTAAAGGTACAACTCAATCCCGTTCCCATTTTCGGTGTCCAAAAAAATACCAGTACCTCCTGAAGAAAATTTTTCACCGACATTTCCGTACAAATGGTAAGCGCTCCATTTATACGTCATAGAAACCAGTTAATTATATTACAACATAAGTGAAAGCCCCAAGCAAGTGGATGGCACAGGAAGCATCGGAGCTTTACAGTTACATGACTAAAATCATATTTTATTGTTGTTCAAAACAATAAGGCCTCGTTAAAGTGCAGTAAAGACAAAGCAGACATCATTGAGGATGTGTACAGCTGTATTCGAGCCAACGCCCACCAGTTAACTCAGTTTCCAGAGTTAGTGCCTCAGCTTTGTCTGAATGAACCGGATAAATCATACTGTGACACTTTAGCGCAAGTAAGTCAGTTAGAAAAACATGGCTGTTAAAGGAAAAAAAAATACTTAGAATACACGCTGTGCGCGAAGTGCGAACAGCGGAGGCCCATTGCTGTAGAAATTGAAAACCCATCGTTGCGAGAAAATTTGGTTATGACATCAGCGTACGCTCGCCTGCCCGTCCGTACAGACACTGATTTAACCAGTTCAGATGCAACCAACAGATTTACTCCCCTGCCCGTCTACGTTTGAAAATGACACTGGAGGAAAGTCAGGATAGGCATTTTTCTCTTTGCAACCAGATGCAAAAATATTGACACGCTCCGATGAAAACTTGGCTTATTCTACTTATAATAAACACGCTGCCAGTTACACATTTGTGAAATACATGTGTGACACCCACCCCTTCCTCCATTGAAGGTTGTTATTCTGAGTTTTGAGCATCGTCGTGTAGAAGGGGAGGTGAGGGATAACAAGCACAATACCACTGAGAGGCCATTTAAGCCCAATAGAGGTACATTGCCTCAAGTATATTTGCAACTGGTGGTAACTGTTAAGTGACAATGAGGTCATTTTCTCTCGTTTTTTTTTTTTCAAAAAGGAATATCTGAAGAATATCAGCAATTCAGGAGGTAAGAAAAGCTACTTATTAACCGAGAGTGAGGTCATGACAGGGAAATCTCAGCCTGAGACCATGATTAATTGACCTCGCTATCGCTCGGTCAATACATCAAGACCGAGGTCAAAGATTTCCCTGTAATGACCCAAAGGACGAGGTTAATAAGTTATTCATTTTATGTATCCGAGGATGGGCCCTATCTGGTATAGTGGAGACGTTGTGGTTTATTCCATTTTTCTCTGTTTTAAAGTCGATCGTTATCACACATTACCACAATTAAGGAAAAAGAACTTTTGATTGATCATAATTAAGCACATAATTAGTTCTGGTTATTTGTTTTCTAGGTAAAAAGATCGCTCTTTGGCAAGACTTGACAAAGCTCAACGCCCAGAAGACCAACTTAGCTGCATTTAAACATCCAGCACCTGTAAGAAAATGCGTTTTCTCCAAAGGATGCAAGTACCTGGCTACATATGATGCAGATGGCGTGCTGCGCGTCTTTATGGTAAGAGTAAAAATGACTCATGAAGTTACCAATCTTAGTATTGTAACTATGTTGTAGATACATTTTTGGATTCTTTAACAAGTCTTGAAGCGTATCAAAAAGCTGATACAATATTTTGTAAACCTGCCCATTCAATTTCAAATGAAGAAATTAAAAATGAACTTAATTCAAGGATCACTGAAGTATGGGCTTGGCGGCATGGACAATGTAATAAGTAAACAACGGAAATAAATTAATAGAACTCAAAGAAAAGATAAAAGGAAAAGAAAAAACCTGAAGACGTGAAAAAATAAACTAGTAAAAAAAAATAAAAGTAATTAGAAAAGGAAAATCAACTATGAGTTGATACTTTTATATTTTCTCCCGAAACGATTTTGTCTTGCGACGTCAAGAAAATTCAAGCTTAGGTGCTTACCATAATTAGCATATATTCGTGCTCCCTAACACCGCAAACCACCCGGGTGGAATCTTGTGCATAAACATAAAACTAATATATAGATTTAGCCAGGGCTAAAAGCGAAGCTCTGGTTAATAATACGTGTAAACAAAAAAAATTAAATCGTGTAACGCTAAACGGGGGACGACAATGAAAATGGCTTCAAGAGTAATAGATCTAATTAGCAAAAAAACAAATTGCACGTGCAGCACACTTTTTCTTCTAATTAGCAAAAAGCAAATTTGCACGTGCAGCACGCTTTTCTCTTTTCCTTGCCGTTGTTTTGCACGACTAAAACACTGTTTTGTACGAGTAAAACGTCAAACTTCCTAGTTACACACTATTTTTATGGAGAAATTGTCGTATGTGCCTACCCAATATTTTGTTTCCAGTGTTCATGTTCGCTTTTATTTTTCACTGCCGCTCATTTCAATAACTCGCTCTAGCTTTTTCTCTGTTATCCACGTTAGTGTACACATAAAAAAATAACGTCGAAAAAGACACGACTTTTTTCTTTGTAAAAGTCCGTTCGGCCATGTGATTTCCTTACAAATAAAACCTTGAGTTGCATTTGGGTTCCCATACCTGTTGATTGAGTTATTTTACATTGGTATCCCTGTGGTGCGGACGGACGGTCGTACGGTCACGTGATTACCAAATTTTCTGGGATGGGTAGTTTACCACCGTTTGATTTTCTATAACCGGAGAATTTCCAAGGGGTGGGCCGATAAGGTGAAAATTGATTCGCCTCAAATCACATTCCATATTTTCAAAAGCTTCCCTAACACGAATAGCGCGAACCGTTTGATTTTCTATAACCGGAATTTCCTGTATTCCCGTCCCTTCCTTACCCTATGATCGTTTGCAAGACCATTTCGAACGATAAATGTTCTTTTTTATTTGTTTTGTTTGTTTTGGTTTTGTGTGTATGTTTTTTTAATTTACGTTTTGTTTTGTGTTTTTTTCTTAGGTCGCCAGTGGTTACACCGTTATGTCAAAGCCGTGTGAATGTAAAGTGATAGCGTTTCCCGCTACTATTGACCAATGTCACTGGATTGCAGTAGCCGGCACAAACTCTATCGTTCGTTATGGCCTGGGTTCTGGTGGAAAGTACGAAGGTGGGGTATATTATTCCATGTGGTTATAATCCCATTCGAAATCGGTCAGTGTCACGGACCAAAACTCCATTGCATGTTGTATGACACACAACCCCTTTAGGGTTTAAAACGGAAAAAACAAAAGTACCATTTTAAAACGATTTAAAATATTCATTCTCTAAAACGACTTCCTTGCTGGCTGTCCTACAAGTAGCCAATATACTGGCTATCCATCGAGACATGCTTTCGGATTATATGACCGACCAACTCCCAAAAAGACCTTGATGGGATAAAATGTAGTTAAAGAATACAGTTTTATAAAATTTATCATGCGTAAAGTTGTACTGATTACTTAAATTTCGTAGTTGAAGAACTCTTTGTTGATTGTATTTCTTTGAGCGTTCCCCACGGTTAATTAATCCCATAATTTGCATGGCATTTTACAGGAACTATCTTGCAAGAAATAAAAGTTGACTGCGATATCGACGACAGAGCAAGCATTGTCATCATCAAGAAAGGAAAAGCTTGGGAGGTAACTAGAACCACTGGAAATGGAAACAGTCTACGATTCTCTTCTGTCCCTTTAATATGATCCACAGTCCGAGCTTCCCTATCCCCCAAGTAAATACGCCGTGGCATAATTTTAAACAATTACTATACTTTTTCTTTGTCTCGTGGCATTCATAAAGACAGTTGTTAACTAAAGTTAGTTTTACGTGGCCTAACAGAGTTGTTTTTTAAGGAGCTAGGCATTAGATATAATTAAATAAGAAACCTTTGGCAACGACAGCGGCGAAGACAAGGAGACCGTCACTAGAAAAAAAAAAACAACAACAAAACAAAAAACAACAACAACAACAACAATAACAACAAAACAGCCACAGCAAGTCAGAACAAACAAACAAAAATCATGATAAGGGACAAAATGAACAGAAATTTATCGAACAAGGAACAGTTTTGAGCGTGCATCACACTTCTTTAATTTGGTTTATTTCTTTGCCACCACTGTATGACCAGGAAAATTGAACATAACTAGATGTTACCATTTCGGTACGTTGAAACAATCATTACTAAGTTTAAAAGAGCGGTTTTCACTTGACTGTCGTAAAACCAAAACCAAAGTAAATACACCAGCCAACCAAAGGGCGTAGTAAAACCAAAACCAAAACCAAAACCAATCCCTTTCGACAGTCAAGTGAAAACCGCTCTAACTGGAACTAACACGTTTTCATTTTTAAGTGACATTAGGGAACTTAAGAACCACGACGAAGTTCACGACGACGACGTCTGTTAACTAGGAAAGGACTGGAACGAGAACGTCAGTTTCGGCGGGAAAAAGGAAACTTAAGATGCAGTCGATCGGTGGGTCGACGACGACGACACTGAATGTAAACAAACATGTAGAAGTAGTACAACTGTGATGTTCGTTCGCAGCAAAGTTTTTTCGCCAATGCGTCTTTTAAGACGATGCAAGATCTTATTTTATAAGCTGTACGTCTACTTTCATTGACGATGAAGAATTTTTAGTGTTGTCTGACCTTTTCGAATGGAAAAATCTCTGCTTTCCGTACGAAGGTTATTCAACTTTCAACCTGAATAACATGACCGAGTCCGAGTGTCTGTCAGAGTTTAGATTTGGAAAAAGAGACATTCCGATGCGATAGCTGTTTTCCATATAAAGTTCAATTCCTCTATATTAAAGATGTACGATTTGCCTGACCTAAATACGTACAAATAAATTTGTCACTTACGAGTTCGCTCGCTCGGCCTGCACAGCTCAGTGTTGTCTTCGAAGTAAACACAATTCATCAGTCAAATTTTCAATCAACATCGCTCGTCAGCAGAAAAAAGAAAGGATACCTGGATTTACGAGGTAAAAAAATATAAAGCCCTTAAAAAATCGCTTAAAAACAGGGAGTTATACCTGCCCAAGCTTGTGGACTGCAGGACGACGTGACTCTACTGTGTTTGGCGTCGTCGACGACACTACGACGACGACGAAATTTGTTAACCGCGCTTGCGCAGTGCACGGTATCTCACTTCCGGTCGTCGTCGATAAAGTCGTCGTCCTGGTTCTTAAGTTCCCTATTATTTGCTGTCGCCGCCCTTCGCAGCTGTCATTGTTCGTTGACATATTTACCTATCATGCTAAAATCTTTGCAGATTTTCCTGGCGACGTCACATGGTAAATTACGTTCTTACAGTACCTCACCCTCCTCTCGAGGCCAACCTGTCTACAAAGAAGAACTTCCAGTAAGCAAGTTAACCTATTAATTAAACCATGATTTGGGAAGGAAATGATTTAGGGTAGGAACGGTTTACACATAAACCAGTCATGTAGTCCGCTAATGGGCTCAGGTGCAGTTTGTTGTGGCGGTAGACTTTCTGGTATTTGTCTACTAATTATTGAGTTGATAATTCTAATTTTTAACAACATCCAAATCCAACACTTTCCAATTTAATTTTCCAAAATTTAAAACATCCTCTCCATAATTTTTATTCATTAAATACATTCGTAATAATAATTCTCCAAAAATGATTCAACCATGTAAGGACTGCAACTTAGTTGAGTCATTTTTTGATTGAATGAAATTTTGGCTGCATATTTTAGTAAATTAGGGCGGGCACAAACGATAAACAATGCTTTCAACCACGTGAGACTACCCCCTAAACATAATGGTGTGAATCTGCCGGCAAATTCGTTTTGATTCCTTTCCTCCCTTTGCCGCTGACGGAACAAGGCAAGCAAACAAATTCTTCACTAAAATTTACAGATCATTATGGTATGATCCTTATTTACTTTGTATATGAACGCTAAAACTGTTCTTCCTTTAAATATGTGTTTTTTTTTTTTTTATAGAGAAGACCCAAGGTTCTAACTTTTTCTCCAGATGGGAATTTACTCGCTTTCGGTTCAGACAAGCTGTACTTGTGGAACGTTAAAACTCAAAAGGTTTGTAAAGACTTTTTCACCTTATTGATTTATCCCGTGTTCAGTATTATGACTCTCTGGAACAGATTTGATGACATATTTCTTATACTGAAAAGGCTGGCTTTCACAAGGGTGTCTCCACTGAGACGCGTTTATTTATTTATCTATTTATTTATTTTTTATAGCTTCAGACGATAAGTTTAGTTCATTAACTTCAAGGCCCGTTTCAAACGTCGTGCTACTGCCGTGCCGAACTAAATTGATCGAATTAAATTCGACTTTAGCACGGCAGCAGCGCGACGTTTGAAACCAAGTCAAGCTTTTGCCGTGTAGCACGGCAAGCTTTGCCGTGCTGCACGGCAGTAGCTCGACTTGGTTTCAAACGTCTCGCTGCTGCCGTGCCGAACTCAATTCATACATTATAAATACATTAGAATGCATTTAAAAGTTTGCTAAACCGTTTCTATATTTTTGTGTTTTGTTTTCGGCAACAGCCGTTCTTTTCGACTGAATTAAAATTGACGTTTGAAACCAAGTCGTGCTAGTGTCGTGCTGCACTCGAGCTACAGTCGAGCAAGCTTAGCACTGCAGTAGCACGACGTTTGAAACAGGCTAAGTAATGAATAGTAATAATATGATAGCATAGCCCTCTCAAAATAAAGGAAAAAATGGACAAAATTTGTAATGCGATCTCTTCGTGTATTAAAGTCAATTTGCTGTGATCACCCTATTGTGCCATATTTAACAGTTATTCTGCGAGTGCGCGTTGGATATGAGATAGTAGATAGCCAACGAGGTGCGTAGCGCCGAGTTTACTATGATCATCTCATATCCAACAAGCTAGCACGAGTGGAATAATTGTTTTATTAAAGACGCCCACAAAATATCGAAAATTCGTCCCGACATTACTTGTAAAAACAACCGATTTTCAGCTTGTTTTTAATTTGTAGCAGACGCATACAGTTACATATGTAGTGAGCATGGTATAATGGCTCATATACCATGATAGCTAAGCTAATCATAGCTCAATCAATCGCATTATCCAATGATTCATAATGGTAGCTGAAGTGAGTGGACTGCAATTTGGTCTGAAATCATACGCGTGATTTCCAAATCGCGCGAGTTCGATTTGAAATTACAAGTATGATTTCACACCAAAATTGCACGACACGAAGTTCAATTACCACTTTATTACATCCATTTTGAAATAGCAGAATTTAGTCAGTACTAATATTTTATTGATCGAGTATCCGGTTTGTTTAAAAGCCGAAAGAAAAAAGCGTTTACATCTCATTTTGTATTCGAAACAGAAGTGATGCGATGTAGAACAAAAATGGTGCGATTCAAAACAGAAATGATGCGATTTAGAACATGAATGACGCGATTTGGAACAGATGCGATTTAGAGCAAAAAAAATGGTGCGATTTAGGAATAAATCACACTGCTGAGAGCCAATCAGATTGCACTGATAGCCAATGATTTCAAAGTGGATGTAATAAAGATTTTAATATTCCTGATATTGTTAGTGGTAAATGGTTTTACGGACTTTAGTAACCCCTCCTCTTTTTGTCTTAAGGATGTCAAAGTGCTAGAAACCGACAAGAAGGTAGCTCCAAAAATGGATGGTGCGACATTGAGCTTTTCAAGAACTGGGGCTAAATTAGGAGCTGTTCTGTCAAGTGGAACTTACATTTGGAATTCACAGTCAGGTACTTCTTTTACTTCAGGGCCAAGATGTTCAAAGCTGGGTTTAGATAACGCCTCGTTTAATTCAGATTTGAAAGCGTTTAAGTTTATTCATCTTTCTTATTAAATTTGGAAGCATTACAAAAACAGATGATGTCTGACAAAATGAACACAAGAAAAAAAAAAAGAAACCCGGATTAATTTATTGTTCGTTTCAACAACTATTTTCTTTTGCTAGGCCAAAGCCTCGTTCAACTCACGTTGTTTATTCATGACTATTATCATTGTTGACATTGATGACGATGTTTATTCATTTTATTGATTATATTATTTTGATTGATTTGATATGTGATCTTCAACGTTTTCTTTATAGGAAAACTCCTAAAGACACTTGCAATGACTACGCTAGGTGTGGAGTTTGTTGTGTTTTCCCCAGAACTTGATTACATAGCGTCACCTGACCTCAAAGACAAAGAGGATGTCAAGGTATCATCGCGATGCGTCCTTATTTTATTCTTTCAGGCTGAGAATATAAAACCACTGTTTTCATATGATCAAATTTGTAGAACTAGAATATTAATACATCAGTTTGAGGGCACTGGCTTGTGAAGAGACATTCCTTGGCGGAAGCAAATCTATTTGGCATTGCACATAATTTATCATCGACGCACCTACAAATTCTCCAAAATACCGTACTGAGTACGGTATTTTGCGAAACGAGTTCAATAATTGTTTTATCATTCATTCGTTACCCTAGGTGCTTTATGTTGAAGTTAATATTACCGGGAAAATACGAAACCTTCACTGTACCCGAAAGGCAGAAAGGCAGACTTGGTTTACAGCAAAAGAACTCTTGTCTCGATTGCGCAGAAACACCATTGCACGATGAAGACAGTTTTCTGCAGTGATTTTATGATCTAAATGAAAAATGAACTAACTGTTAACAAATGGTGTGATATTATCCAAAACATTTTCGAATTTGAACATTTGCCCATTTTCTTTGTACCTTTGGCTTCTTTGTAAGAAGGAAACTTTCAAATTTGGAGCTTTGGACCGTAAAAATGTCCCAGCTGTGTCGCGGCATTCTGGGTGATGAAACAGACCTGATTTCAAGAAGATTTTTTATAAAGCTCCTCAAAGATATGAAATGGAGCAAAAAGTAGAAAGAACAGAACAGAACAAAATGCATTGTCAGACACGGTTTTTTAGTTAAATTAACCCTCGGACGTATAAGGGGGGTGGATGCCCTAGACGATTAAACATTAGCCCTGTTCATCGCCAAGTTTAGTGATGATCAGTGTCTATGATTATGAGATATGACGTCATAAGTAGCAGGTGGTCGAGCCATTTTTGAGTAAAAATGCATCTTTTCCAACTTCTTTCAACGATAAAAGTAAAATTTGTGGCTAAAATGAAGCAAGGTACTTATTAACGTGTTATTTTACATGTCTAGGGCAGGAAATTCCCAATTCTATCATTTTTTTTTCGTGATTTCTTATTTGTAGTAAAATCCAGCGTGGCGGCCGAGATGGTGACCATGTTTGGTGACGTCACAGGTCTCCAGCAGCGCCACCACCCATAAAATATACCTCATCTTTTAGAGAAGATCAAAGGCTTTCCACTGAAGGTTAAATCTTGTCGAAATATTACAACATATAAAAAACTCTAGGGAAGGGTTCCTTCAACGCCCCCCCCGCCCCTCTGCTACCACGGTGGGGATATGACTCTGCGTGTACGTCCGAGGTTAATATGAGGTTTGTTTGAAATTGATATACTATTGAATCCTTTTTCAAGGTATTCTGCATGGCACCAAAGCCGTATGATAAACACCCTGAATGGGAAACCCTAACAGCTCATTCAGCTGCAGTTCGACATTGTTGTATTGGTAGCAGGGAAAGTGGTCATCCTTTGATTGCCACTGCATCCGATGACAACTCTGTTCAACTATGGGATACCAGAAACATGCCATCACCCAAAGTCGTCAAATTGCCGGTAAGTAAGTTCAATAACGAAAGTGTAAGGAGTGTCTTTTTGAAACAGCCATATCCCTTCAAGATCGTCGTCCTTCGATTTAAAAACTGTGCATGTATGGCTTACGGCCCTTTTCCTTGCAGAAGATTTTTGTTGCTTCCTTATGTACACATCCCAGTTCCTCACCGAACAACTTAGTGCTACACTAGGTAATTATTTATATTTCCTGTGCGGTAGCTGTCTATTTTGAGCAGTATTATTGCTTTTACGAATAATACACATGCATGAAGAAAGGATTTCTTTTTCAATTTGATTATCCCAGTATCAATTATATAATCAAATATAACGTTCCAGTACGTCTAATGCATTGCAAATTGATTAAGACACCAGCTTAAAATGTTTTAACTCGATCATATCAAGGGATAATTGTTTAAGGGTATCTCCCCGTCATCACAGATATGGGTATAACAAAGGTACAGTAAAAGAAGTAAAGAGTAGCATTTCTGGGGCAGTTTTTTCCAGTTAGTGGTGCAAATCCATTTTTCGAATTCATCTTAACAAATGTCTGGTCCGTACCCCCATTTCAGGTTATTCCTTCACTTAGGATCACGATTATGTTACACTGCTTCTCTACTTTCTTGTGGGGTCGCAGCCTTGCTTTTACCCTAATTACTCCTTCAGACATGAGTGTCAGTTTGCTTTTAATTGCCCAGGATCACGACGGTACAGTTCTAGCTTGTTCATTCTCTAGCGATGATAAGTTAGCTGTGAGTTGCTCTGCGACTGAGTCATGGGTTTGGCAAGCCTTTTCACCTGTGCACAGACTACACCAACTCCATCCAGCCTCGGGTGCCGGAGGTAGGACAACTTAGACCCTGTAGAAAATGACCAAATGTTGTTTCACGGCTGGTAACTATTAACTTATCAGTTCAATTTGTCCATTGCCCCTGTGTGAGTAAAATAAAACCCCAAAAAAGTAGCCACTCTGGTCGATCTTGTATGGGAAAACCGACAAAAGATGGACATCTAACATTAGATATATTAATCCTGCTATATCACAATCTAGAGTGAGATTCGAACAGACCTACACGGAGGAAAGCATTGATTGATTTTTACTTCTGATTAAAAAAAATAAAAATTTGGTGCAAGGTTTTAAAATCAGAAAATACATTCTTATTGCAATTATGACTTTCCCTGTTTTCGATAAAGAAAGTTGTATTTATTAATAATTTGAAAATGGAGTAAACGCAAGCCTTCTCTAAATTAACTTCAGACATGATTATCATGATTATCAGGAGAAAGCCCTCAAGCATGCAGCAGGCTCCATGTCAAGGTTCCGTCCTTTGTCTGACAGAATATAATTGTTGTCTCACAAGGGATACTTTTTTCAAAACCTATACGAATAAATTATTTGTTTCGTTCCTCAGAAAGCGGCTCTTATCCGTGTTTCTCTGAAGACAGTGACTTTGTAGCAGTGTTTGTGAAGACCGGTGTGGACGTTTGGCATCTTAAGTCTGGAGTGGATCGTCATGGATCTGATGCAACCCTAATTATGGGAGCTCACAGGTAAATAATGTGATCCAATAATATTCAATAAAGGACTTTGTGACTTTAAATTATTGTTATGATTATCGTCATCATCACTATCTTCATCATCGTCATTATTATAATAATATTTATTATTAATATCATTGTCATAAATTATCATCTTTGATTGTAATTAACATATTCATTATCATTGTTCTCACAACGTGTTCATACGAAGGTAATAGAGATCATAGAGTGCATTCGTTTCTTTCGTATATGTCACAAAACACCTTGCTTGCCACTTAAACTATTAAGCAATGTCTTGAGCAATGTAGAAACAAAATCAAAGGGTGAACAAGCTGTATTATGGGAAGTTCTCAAGTGGAGAATTATTGATTAATTGAGTTGTAACTAGTTGTACTAAAAATTTAATTTCTTGGCAGAACTCTTACCTTCCTTTCCGTTCGCCACCTCTTCACCAAATTCACATCTGATGGTCTCTATTGCTGTTTGCTGACCGAAAGTGAACCTGGTACAGTCCGTTTGTACCTGGCAGTGAATAAGTTCGCTCTAGATCAGTGGGCGAAACACGAGCTAAAGGCCCCTCCACCAAGCGATTTGAATGATCGTGAAGCTTTTGAACAGAGATTTTCAGTGGACGAAGGAAGAAAGGTATAGTATAGTCATTTCTTTAATTTGTTACTTTAAAGAAAAGAAACCACGCACTACTCACCACGCAGATAGATACCCAACCAACAGCAGTGTGCACTACACCTGAAAGAACAGCTCTTACTGTAAATCTGAAAACTTGTCGATAATCACCCAACCCTTAGCTTTCCTTCCTACTCTGTAGTACCTAGGTGATGAACTGCGCGTAGTACACCAATCAGCTCTTGTTTTATAGCATAAAAGGCTTCTATACCAATCCTATTAAAGAGTATAAAGGCAAGAAGGAAAAAGAGGGCCATATGGCCAAAGTTCTCGGAACGAGGTCACTTCTCAGTTCATAATCCATTATTATCTGACTGGTAGGGCGTGGCGAAGAGTAGAAATATAAAATACTTATTTATTATCTTTAAGACGTGAGTAGGAACAAAAATCCAAACATAAGGGCCCCCAAGAAGCTCGCGGAAACACTAATTATTAGGGCTAAAAAGATTTTTATTTATTCAGGTTTTTCGAGGTCAGTTAAAGTTAGGATTCCTGGAAGCTTCGTGTAGTTTTTTTAAACAGAATCCTAATACAAGGCGCTGTTGAAAATTCAGCATAGCTAGCTATCGAAATAAAAGATTTTATGACCGAAATGAGTTTTTTTCTTCTTCAGGTTACCGAGGCAGCCATATCAAAAACATGCGGCAGACTGGCGGTCATAAGTGTACCACAGCAAAGCATTGCTCAGGAAACTCTGAAAGGACCAGTGGAGATACATGTATGGGACATGCACTCCAACACAAACTGGAAAGTGTTGTTATCCTCACAACCGTCCATCAGTAGACAACTCATAGTTGGCTGCGATTACCTTGTTTCATTTGTCCAAACACGAAAAAACGTTTCTGACACTGACAACCTGACAAGCGCTTTGCAGAGACGCAGCGCAAGAGACCGTTATTCGCAGCCTGACGAAGCTGTGTTTCAAATTATTGATAAACGTGGATCGACGCTTAAATCTTTTCAAACCCCTGGAAAGTTTTGCGGTGTGAGTGTTAATGTTGCTGAATCCACGCTGAAACGAATCTCTGAAGAACTTGTTGCATATGAACTCCACGATGGAGTGGTCACAGCCCAGAACGTCAAAAATAACGGAGGGTTAGGCGCGTTTACTGTTAATAATACCGACATTACAGCAGTGAATTTCTCATCGAATGGAAAATCAGCTGTTGTTGGGTGTGCTAACGGAAATCTACATATCATTCAGATGATTTGATCAGTTAGTACTACTACGACAGCGCCGTGTAAGACGATAAGCAGACTTTTGACTAGAGGTAGCTGGTTTATTTACTGACTAGATAATCAATAGACCTCTTTAGGTTGTACAGTATGATTTGGTTTCCCAATAGAGGTCCCAGGAGAACTTTAATCTAAATGACTTTGTCTTTTCATAAATTATGCCTGCATATGCACGTAAAAGAAACAGTTCTCTAGAGTATTATCACATAACCTGTATTGGAAAACAAAAGATACAAGCTACAGAGGTCTATTGAATAAGTATATTTATTATATAGATACTGATAAAATGCCAGGATTTTTTGTTTTACTAAAAAGTCTATCTTCGTCGCGCGCAGTGAAGATACTATTTTCATCTTTCACGTGTGAGGATATTGGTGTCGCCATGGTTACTAACATGATTAGCCAATTACAAGAGAGCTTCCCGCTCAGGCGCCCGGCAGGTTCTTTTGAAATTTCTTTCACAAAATGGTTTCGAGGTGCGAAGACGATACAGTTACCGGTGACTTTGTCGATGAGCTGCCAAATTTTCACATCGATACTTTTTCCGAGCTTGAAGAACATTCAGGAAGATTTGCCGAAGACTGATTTGCTGTTTCAAAAATGAAAAAAAAAAGTTGTGTTTTATGTAGGAATTTCGTGCTGAAAGTATCTCTCACTATACTTTCAGCACACGACGATAAAATTCGTATCCCCGCGCGGCCATGTAATATCTTCTATATATATATCTTTTTTCATCAATGACTTCAATCATTTTTTTATTTAGTTTGGTCGATCTGTCAGTTATATAGATATTCATCTTGCCTGCTATTTATGTATGTATTTATTTATCAATTTACTTATTTATTATTTGCGTATAAATTATCAACGTACCGCTTCACGTATTATCAAAACGTATTATAAAATACTACATGTATTATCGAAGTCGCAATGTTTAGTTGATGATAATCGGGGTTTGTAGAAGACAAATAAATTATGTGTACCTTTTTGAGATCAATCTGTTTATTGTGATCTACCACGTGCATACGACAGTCTTTCCAAACCTTCCACTACCTACTGAATCTAGAATGCCGGCACAAATTGGTCTCTCAACCAGAGAGGACGTCTCTAACAGTGATAATGTACCCTGCGAGCAGTGGTTTCTCCAGGCCGGACGGTACGGTACTTTGAAAGGAGATAAACCACTGTGAGCAAACGTTTGCCTCTCTGATCGAGCCACCGTCCTTTGCCATAAACGAATGAATTAACTTTGAACCGGTGAAAAATGTTTTAAAAAAAAGTCAAGACTCGCGCATTGGTTTACGCTTGTAAATGCTGCGTTAGCGCGAGCCTGCTCTGAATTTGCGCTTTTTCAGTCTTTATCGCGATTTTTCCTACCTACTTCCTTTGTCAAAGATAGGTGAACCCAACTGGAGTTGGATTCCTAGGGACCATATCCAATTTCAGAAAGAAAAATAAAATTTCGTCGTTGCTTATTTATGTCCTCCACAAAAAAAAGGCATTTTCGCTTTGTGGTCGTGCAAAAACGGCAGAGAAATGTACAAAAAGTGTAATGTACACTCAAGGTTGTTGTTTTGCTTATTAAAGCTATTGTTTTGTTGTCGTTCTCGTTGCAGTCGCGTAGTGGAAATTTAAAGTCCTTTAATGTTTCTTTGCAAAACAAGAGAAATGACGTCATTTGGCGTTGGCGTCACGTGGACGCGCATGCTCAATGGAGAAGCAAACGGTCGCTCGCAGTGGGTTTTCTCCCTTCGTGTAACGTAGCTTCCGGCCTGGAGAAACCACTGCTCGCAGTATGGTGATCATATGGACTCTGACACGTGAAGAAATGGTAGAAATGGTCTTAGTGCTTTTGTTCTAATGATGTTGATGTTCATGTGAAGCTTGATTTGCAATAATGTAAGCTGACATTGCTAGCATTTTTCGTACAATTTGGGATACCCACTGATTCCACTAGCGATTCAGTTCTACACACAGTAAAATTGTAACGACAGCGTTTTCTCAGAAACAGATCACCAGAACTCATAGTTTGCGACCATGAAATTAAACATATCATGGATCATGCAAAACTAATATCTCGACTCTCGAACCGTTTTGGGGTGAAGGGAACTGCATTGGCCTGGTTTAAGTCCTACTTAGCCTCCCGCTAACAGTTTGTTAATGTAGAAGAGGGCATGTCATCAAGGCGACCGTTGTTGCGTGGGGTGCCTCAGGGGTCTGTACCGGGCCCACTGCTGTACCTTGTCTACACTGCGCCGATTGCTGATATCATCAAAAAGCATGACTTACTATTACCATCTGTACGCTGATGACACGCAACTATATATTTCCTTCAATACCGATTGCTGTGCTGATCTTGATGAGGCAAAGTTGCGTGTTGAGCGCTGTGTTAAAGAAATTGACCTTTGGATGTGCAAAAACCTATTGAAACTTAATCAAGACAAAACTGAACTTGTCGTCATTAGCTCCAAATTTCGAAATAGACCAAATCTTGAATATGTTCGGGTTGGAGATGAGTTCATTGCTCCTAATTTGTCTGTAAGTAACCTAGGAGTCAACATGGACAATTACTTTTGCATGGAACAACATGTAAAAAAGACATGTAGTGAGGCAAATTATCATCTCAGGAAGATACCAAAGGTTCGCAAATATCTCACCCAGGACTCTGCTCAAATTCTCATCCATGCTTTTATTACTCTAAGCTTGACTTCTGTAACTCACTTCTATATGGTATTCAAAAGTACTTAGTTTGTAGATTACAGCGTGTTCAGAATACGGCGGCTCGCATTGTCACGTTAACAAGGAAGTATGATTCGATTACCCCAATAATGTTCAAGCTACACTGGCTCCACGTACATTCACGTATTATTTTTAAGCTCCTGTTATTAGTCCATAAAGCACTCAATGGCAAAGCGCCCTCTTACATTTCTAGTCTCCTGAGCCATCGTAAGTGCTCTCGGTCTCTACTATATACGCTCCAGTGGGCGAGAACTGCTCACTGTGCCACTGGCTAAACTGAAGACTTATGGAGATCGGGCGTTCAGCATTGCTGCGTCAAGGCAATAGAATAACTTGCCTCTTAGCATTCGTAAATCTCCATCAATTATCAAGCCTATGGTTTTTAATACGCGTTTTTTTTCCTTTTATTATCTGTATTATTTTTTCTTTTCTTTATTTTTATCTGACTGTGATTTTATCTTAGTATTTTTAGACCTTAGATTTTTAACTTTCATTTTTTGTATAATGTATATATATTTTTTAAGCTTTGCAACTAATTTATCTCAGTATTTTATTACATTTTTTAGCTTTTAGGTTCTACGTTAACCTGATCATTGTAAAGCGCTATGAAAGAGTGGCTGAATAGCGCTATATAAATTATTTATTATTATTATTATTATTGGATCTCGGTCTCGAATGTAGTATCATAAATATAAAACGGGTCTTGAAGACCGACGAGAGGCTTCTTCTCAAAATCATAACGCAGAATCTCCTTTTCAGAACCAAACGTTGACAATCCTAAACGTGACTCTGTGAAAAAACGGCTGCGTGGGAGACTAGCTCGTTGTAAAACCATTTTTATCCTCCCGGGATCAGATACTGTGACGTCATCGTCTCCAAAAGTCCATACGACTACAGGGCCCGGTTCCTGAATGGCCAATTAACGTTAATCCAGGATTAATTTTTTTCCGTTTTTGTATTTTACCTTCCTATGCACTGCTTAGGGTCATATTTTGTGTTCTCATTACTGTATCTCGTAGTAAAGGCTCAACAGTATTTTGTAACCTCGAGTTGCATGTTCTTAGACCAGAAAACCGTGCTCTTATCCATCTTTCGAGGAACTTTCTTCCCATGAGAAGAGCGCTTTCAAAACTTCCTACTCTGTAGATCGAGAGCGTTTTCAGAAAGATGCGTTTTCAGTGACACTCTTTAGACATACTTGTGCATAGACGGCTAATCCGCCAAAACAATGAAAAAACAAAGAAATAAACAAAAACAAGAGAAAACATATATCTAGCTGACAACAAAAACAAAGTCAATTTTTGTTCTCTAAAATTTTGGGTTTTATTTATAACTCGTGTGTGCTTTTACACCTTTACCATGAAATATTCAATTAACTTTTAAAAGCATGAACGTGAAAGTACTTATTAATAAGAAATATATTTACTGATTATTTCTATCGATTTCTAATCACTAAATATTTCAACTAACCACGAAACATGTTGAATGTTGATGAACGCAATAGAGCCAGGCCAGTCAGCTAGATTTCGTTAAACAACAAACAGCATGGTAAGCGGTCAAAAAAACTGAATAAATAAAAATCTAATCCAGTAACAGTCTCTTACGAAAAATTAAACGAAATTTGGTACTTGTATAGTCTAATGACAAAATTATGAGAATAACCAATTTGGTCACTAAAAGCTCTGGTTTAGTCGAACAGTAAATACCTAAACTATCGGTCTCATCGGAGTTAATTGATCATCATTATTATTTTTCTTTCCTTTTTTTCTTTTCCATTCTGCTTTTTTCTTGTTTCTTGTTTACTCTTCTAGTAGACTTCTTGTGAATGTTGTTTTTGGAATAACTGTAACGCATTTCCTCGTTCCGAGGCGTTTGGCTTTCTTGCAGTTGCATAATGCGCATGATCTTGTGCGACAGTTGAACCGCAGCTGGCGGATCCTGCTTTCCCGCGCTTTGCAAGCGCCCCGGAACGAGGCATTCTAATGAAGTTGTAAGGCTGCTTGGAATTGGTAAAATCTTTAAAATCCTTCTTTGTCGTAAATTGCTGATAAGTTGAATTTGATCCTGTTAAAATTTAAAACAAAAATATTGAGATTGTTGTGCTTGCTGTAAGTGAAATGAAAAGAATCGTATTTGCTGTTATATAGAGAGCCAGGTATCTTTTGATGCTTACTGACGCATGTAAACGATTTTTAAGTTTTTGAAAGGGTTTACTTACACTGCTGTGATTGTCTTTCCAGAAACAAGTAAGCAATCTCAGCAAACGTATGGTTCCCACATTTGATTTATACAATGGCATCGTTTATTACTACTAGGCCCTTTTGGATATCCGGTCCAAAACACGTTTATGGTATATTTAATATTGAAAATTAGAAGGCAAGCTTACCTGTAACGTGTGTGGTATTGAGGCCCGAAGCAAAAAGTGCACAAAGCAGAGTCAAAACATCATGAAATGGCAACCTGGTGGTAATCTCTGTGAGAAAAATAGTTAAGAAATTTGAAAGTTCATATAAAAAGTTGATAAAAACTAGAATACAATATGAAAATTCATTATACAGGTCAAAAGAGATACGTATTTTGCAGAGGTCGTTTTTTGGCTCCTCTTGGTCTCTGAGTTGCATCGTACTTCCAAGTGATCATACATTATTTTCTGCTTACCTTTTGAAACAAAGTTCCACGTATTACTCAGTTTGCGAGAATTGTTAGAGGGCTGGACGATTTTCTGACCACTTTCCTACAAAACGAAGATGAAAAAGTTCAGCGGTTATCGAGGGCTTGGTTTAATATACTCTTGAATTGATAGTTTTCTTCGATGGAGAGCAACAGAAGTAAGTATAAGATTTATCATCGCAATTATGGCAAGTCAGGCGAAATTGTTGCAATTATAGTAATTATTTCTGTCAACACTCACTCGTTCAAAATACGCCACAACTTCTGCTTGTGCACTGTCTCCTTCGTGAGAAGCTTCTATTCCACAGAAGTATGAATGCTTGGCACTATTCACGTGACTTATTTCGAAATAGCAACGTGGAAAGTCTACAGAGTCTCCTGACAAATTCCATGCATGAGTTGATTTGATAGTCTAAAAAGGAAAGTGAAATGGAAGTTATTTGAAAACAAGATCTTCTACTGCTACTACTACTTCTACCACTACCACTACCACTCTACTGGTACTGATACTGGTACTGGTACTGGTGCTGCTACTGCTACTGCTAATACTACTGCACTAGTACTGGTACTGGTACTAATACTGCTGCTACTACTACTACTACTACTACTACTACTACTACTACTACTACTACTACTACTACTACTACTACTACTACTACTACTACTACTACTACTACTACTACTACTACTACTACTACTACTACTATGTACTACTACGTCTATGTAGCCTGCGAACTGCAGACCTTTGCATAAAAGGGTAAGGGGCTGGACCTGCGGAGTCACCCTGTATAAAACCTTCTTGAGTACCCACCCCGGCTTGGGACGCTGCTTGGTTTATCGGATTCTACCTGACGCAAGATCGCCTTTTTTGTATGTGGACTTCCCAACGTCAAGAATGCCTAGCCATGGAAAGGGCAGAGCCCTCTTTTGAACAAAAGCAGTTCTGTCCTGGAAATTAGGCCAGTCATCTCCGGTATAGAGACTAGAAATCTACCAACTAATCCAAACATGGCGCGGATAACACACGTGGGATCTTAATCAGTATCGTGAAGGGAACAGTTGACAAACAAATTCCCCTTTCGTACCTTTACATTGCTTCCTTTGATTTTCCATCCAGGCTCCAGTTTACTGAGTTCAATTTTGATGTCTTTATTACTGTTGGACACAAATATTCCAGCAAGTGGTGTCAGTAGTCTGTTTCCTTTTTCGTCTTCATCCTGAAACATTTTCTGTTTTATACGAGGAAAAGAATTAAAACGTAGAAATCAGTTTTCGTATCAGTGTATGTTAATAACTTAAATTAATAAATTGTGCTGTTGGCATTATCGTTTTGCATTACATTGGTTAGCGGTAGTAAAGCTCTCTAGCGCCTTTGCTGTCTTCAGAAGAGGGTAATGTCTAGAGCGGAGGGGCAGGGGGTGATCAATCGCGGGCTGGCTCGCTAAGGCAATAAAATCATGATCATAGAGTAACGAAATGCGGTAACATTTTAAACAAACAAACAAATTAAATAAACATAATAGCACCCTATACCTCACAGGCTGGACTTGTATCATCTACAAGATAAACCCAAATCTTCCAGTCTCTTCCTTGTTTTGGTCGTTTTGCAAAGATCGCCATTTGCATTCTTTTCTTGTCCTCTTTTCCTGGTCTGCCAAACGCAGCGATCTCGATGTCCTCCTGCAGAGATGGCAAAGTGACTTCAATGTCATTGTGTTTTAATTTCACTTCAGCTTCGGGGTAAACCACCATCAAGCTTCTCCAGTTGTTTCTCTGATTGGACACACCTTGGGCTCCTTGTAATATGGGGCGACATTTAACCTCCATATTCCACTCATTTCCGGGTGTCATTAAACAGGAGTGTTCAATCAGAACAGGATGAGATGGTGAGGTACCACTGAGGATTTTATAGCAGCCGCTGATCTGGACTTCTGTTTTATAATCTTCATCTTTCTCTAGTCCTGTTTACAACAATAAATAATCACAAATAGCTCAGAATCGAAGAAAATAATCAATTAATCGAGGGAAATTGTTGCCCAAAGTTTCAAATATTCATATCTTCTCGAACGAGAAACTGTTTCTCCTTTTTATCTAACGAGCTTCTTTTCTCTTTGTTTAAATCTATTTATTTTCTACGTTTACATTTTGGCGCCTGCGTACGTGACTACGTACGAGTCCGGTTAAGATAACAAAAGTATAGGATAATATAATCTTACCGAGAAATAATTATGTAGATAAAATGAAATACAAAATATATGCAAATAAACGCGCTTAGATTAATTACTCCGTCAAAACCCTTTTCTTGAGTCATCTGCAAACCTTTTGCCTCAGTCTTCGAGCGTAATTTTTCCAGCAACCTGGAATACTTGCAGAGATTTTATTTCAAATTTATACTTACCCATTTAGTTCGTTTTTTAACTCCTTGGAGTGACAGCACCTTGTAGCGGCAATGTTTATTGGTACTGCGTAGAACTCTGTTGCAGCTTCTGCTTTTATAATGGCTATTTCATGCTCTGCTGGCATTCTTAATCTCTACCGAAATAGCATCTATTCATCAATGACTTCCGGTTTAAACAGGTTTCGTACCTTAGGGACTTTTCATTATTAACAAACCTGTTTTGTATGAGAGGAAGTCGTGACACGGAACAACAGGTCTCTTAAGGGTTTTTTCCCAGCTTTGAAAATATGAAAGCTTTCACTTTTCAGTCTTTTGTAATGAACTTCGTGTTTTCAATTTTCTGAAAAGCAGTGGTCTGAATACAAATTTGCTTGCCTGACAGGCGCTTTATGAGCCAATCGGTTCGTAAAGTAGAAGTTCATTGCGCACATTGGATGCCATATATACTTTTTGTCTTATTTCCTTCGTGTACAAGGGCAAGCTCGCCTAGCAAAAATTGCTCGATTGCCTAGAGGTCCCTGGAAATTTATCAAGCCGTGAGTAGGGATTTATTTCACCATAGATATTTTGAGAACGTACCCCCGGAGCCAGGGTAAATTTTACTCTGTCAAATACAGGAAGATAACTAGCATAACATAAGTCAAATCTCTGGGGAAGACGTTTTTATCAAAGTTCAATCGTGGCGCATGTTTTGGGATTTAGCTTTAGTAATGTGTGTTTCTCTAAATCGATTATGAGTCTCGTGTAGGTACATTGTGTCAAAAGGATTTCACTAACAATATTCTACCGAAGAAAAAGAAATGTATAAATAATATAAATTGAATTCCAATTTTTTTCCTACCTTCAAACTCTTTTCTTTATTACTTTTTGCACACTATCATTAATTGTTGTTCATTTTACTTTATATGCAGTAATAATTCTTTATATGTTGTAATAGTTTGTACTTATTAATTTTTATTCTCATTGTAACTTAGCAGCACATTGTAACTCTCTGACCTACGCCATATAAGCCTCTGGCTTTGGCATCTTATCACTATTATCGTTAACTTGTGCTTTGTGTACTTATTTATCAATAAAGATCATATAATTTTCAGCTATAACTGAAAAAGTGGTCAACGGGTTATTTACCCATTGAAAATGAAAAGCCTCTATTAACACAAAAGGGAAAAAAAAGAAAGAAAGAAAGAAAGGGGGAAAAATCGAATCAAACAAGCTAAAATATAATCCACGTCATCCCTCGGGGAACCCCCGGCACTTTTATGGCTCCATGTATTTCTTAGTGCAGTCACTGTCCTTAATGAGTTTTGTCTGGATTCTCTCGGCAATTATCAGACGAACTCGACTCATTGAGCAAACTTGTATCATCGAAAAGTTATCGCTTTCACATCAAGAGACAACAGATAGCGAAACATTGGTAAAGAAAGGAATAATATTTACGTAAGTCTATATTACTGTTCAAACGTTGACCCAACTTTTAGGGGCAACAAAACATTTCCATAACATTTGACATACACTGTATATAGCAGCTTGTTAATATTTACGTACAGGAAGACAGTATATTAAAGCTCTTTTTCCTTTTTCACCGCTGTAATCGATGAAGTGTAATCGATGTCGACGTAATCGTGGTTGCGTGCAAAAGTTCCTTTTCACCAAATTTTCTGCGTCACGCCATCAAATTCACACTCACGCGAAGCCATTATCAGGCTTTTATCAGACAAAAATACGTGTTAATTCAATTAACAGATAAAATATAACAATAAATTGAACGTTTTTTCAAAGGGATTTATTCCCTCATGGAAGAATAGCAAGCTTTCATTCAAAAGCACTAAAATTTAACCTGTTTACTGAAAGGTTCTTAACACACTCCTTGGGGAATCCCCTAGTCTGATATCATGCAGGGGAAATGACCCGTGTTGGCCATGGGAAAGAATACATGGAGTAAATCATGTCTGCGGTATGAGCGACGGGAAATTTAAAGCTTTCGGTTTCATTCTTGGTTGGAGTTTCCACCGACTGACAAACTATTGTCATTTCTATTTCTTTCTTTTCGTTGCTTTTAAAAATTATACCTTGAAGACATTACAATCTTTACCTCCAAACATTGTACACAATATTAATCTTAAATAAAATTTTAGATATCGATTTGACATAAACACTGTGTTTGTCTGGTTAATGCACCACACCAGATAGCTTCTTTGTTTTAATGGTGGAGCCTGCAACAGCCTATAGAAAGTTATATATTTCATAAACGACATTACTTCTTCCGGTTAAAAACTCAAGATTTCTTCAGTGAGTCAGTGCATCCAAACGATTGCGTAACAGCGGATGAACTAGTATACAATCAAAAAAGGGATAATATGTGCCCAGCTCTATAAATTAAAGCAATAAGATTCGTTCGCCTCTATACGTGAGGAGGCCAAAGCTTGAAATCAGAGAACGGTACCAAACCCGTCTTGAAACAGACACATGATAGGATCGAAGAATGTTCACACATACACTTCATCTGCTCCCGTAATAGGTAACCTTTGGAATGTCTTGGACCTGACTCCGGCTTAATCAACAATTAGATTACTCGGTTCGAGTTCACACGCTGCTTGAGTATGCTTATGCATGAGCTTTTCCTTACTAGAGGCACCTTCGTAACTGTTGAGATTTGCTTTAAAAATCATTTCCATTACGTAAGTTACATACCAAAAGACCATTTTCTAGGGATTGCTTTGCAATTTTTTTTTTAAGATAATCCAGTTCCGCCTGAACTTGAAAATCGCTTACATTGCAAATCTGAAATTTGCTTTAAAAATCGTTTCCATTACGTAAGTTACATACCAAAAGACCATTTTCTAGGGATTGCTTTGCCATTTTTATTAAGACGTATCAATGAGCTACGATTACACACTCTGACAGCTGTAGGAAAACGTCATATTGTTCAAAGTTTATTTTTGAACACCCTTATTAGCTCAATAATTATATATTTCAAATAGCTAACGTGTTCGTCATGAAAATCGTCTACCTGTTGCCAAAGTATTACATTTTTCACATATCTTTTTCTTTCATTCATTAATGTATCCATTTATGTTTCTCTGAGGCTTTTTATCAGTAGTACGTCGTAATTTCTGTAAGGCCTGGGTACGAGATGAAAGTAGTTTTAAGACTCTCCCTGTCAATTACCTACCATTTTTACCAGCGATTAATATTACTTAACGACGACATTATCCAGGATCTATAAACTAAGGTAGACTTAGTATAAGAAGTTATTTGTCTTTCAAGCTATGATGCCAGTGATGATATTGTTAAACAGTTGTTCTGTTTTGCAGTTTTATCTGTGGTTCAACAGAAAACAACGATAAAATCATGATCATGCTGGCTCTGCTTATAACCTTGTCGCCGCTTCAGCGGATGGCGTCCTTGGAAGGCAAAGCTAAAGCCATGCATTGGTCTTTTTTATCCTGATATTGTAAGCTCAGAAACCTTTTTGTAGCGGGTGTTTTAATTTAAAGAGCAAGGGAATGTAGTCTTTGCTAAGGTTTAAGCCACGAATCCTTTCAGCATTTCTATGGCTTGTGGGGTGAGCAGCAAGTACATCGGAAACCTCAGTGTTAATACGTATCAATGACAAAGAAAGATCTTAAAAATTTAGCGTCTATGCCAAGTTAAAAATGGAAGCCCCTCTTTGTCTTGTAAATCGTTTCAGGTTTCTCTTACGTTAAATGCCAACTTTCTGCTGATATATAGAGTAATAGTAATTTTTTTTCCTCTAGCGTTCACCGCAACCATGTCAGACAATGTCTCGTTGGCTGAACAAACAACATGCGTAGATTCTGAGTCTGAAGATGACTGGTATACCATCGATATCTTTAGCCACGTTCAATCGGAGCTTGATGAGAACAATGTATCCCACAAACAGCTTTTTCTATACGTAACGAGAGCTGGTGTGAGGAGAAGAACCTTTCTGCAGGTACATAACTTACTCAGGGAACTAGGATGGTATAAGAATGTAGCCGAGTTCGCACCCTAGCTATTGTCCACATCATGTGTGGGTTGTTGTTTATTATTGGTTATCGTCGTCATAATGTTAAATGCAGATGGAGGAATGAAAATCATATCAGTATCAATCGTCATCAGCTTAAAAAAACTGGCTATTGTCATTGTCATCAACGTTATTCCACACTGAGCTTCGTAGTTATATCGACCCCTTTATCACAAGTCACCTTTTTACATTGAAATAATTCACTCAAGCTTAAGGTCTGTCCCATTTAACCAAGGTTCCTCACCATTTGACTGCTAAGCGTTGATTTAAAGCTTGCTTTCTTAGGAGGAAAAGATCAGGATCCCACTGATCACTGTTTATTCAAACAATTTCTCCTGGAGAAAAACGCAGGGACCAGGGACTCTTGTGGCGAAATTGGAGATGGGATCTTTTCAAGCAGTGAAAAAGGTAATACTTCTATACGCAGATAAATGTTGGCAGCCTTTGAATTTGGGCAAACTTATAGTAAAGGTACTACAAAACAAAAATGAAAGCCAAGCATCAGTGGATCCAATAACCCAGACTTTACTGAACTTCTCCAGCGTTATGTGGAGACAACCGGAGTGTGAACCTTTTTTATATGATTACTTAAGAATCAAATTGAGCTGCAAATGAAATTGAAATATCTTCTTATTATTACGAAAAGCAATTAATTAAAAAATGGGAAAATCAAAGCACATTTGATCCAAACTATGCATGGCCAGTATGCAAGTTCAAACTTATTCCAAGCAGCACAAGTAGTTAGTTATTAGATATGGTTACACATCTGGATGAAGAAAGACAAACAGAAAAAGGTTATGTATCCTTTAGACAAGTGGACCATTAACATATAGTCCCTCGGGCCCGCAGCAGTCATCACCCTATTAGAAAGATAACTGGGACGTTTCCCTCCACCTCTCTTTTAGGGTATGGCTGCATGAATTGCGGAGAAATCAGTGGGGTGAGATCAGACGTTTACATGTGCAGCTGCCCAGCACCTCAAATTATTATCGCGCCTCACCCATCCGCATTGAAAAGGGGCACAAGTCACCTTTTCCATGACAATCACGTTGGGGTCTGCTTTTCCTCTTCATTTCGAACAATGTTTTGGATTCTTTTATGTCCCCTTCTAAATGAAAAAAGTTTAAAGTAGCCAAGGAAAACATAAAATTGTCAATGATTTGGTCATTTGAACAGAAGAAAGATCTTATTCATTTGGATTATGACTGCACTGGTCTTTTGGAACGTATTTGGGTTGGTTAGCTAATGGCGCTTCACGCTCCCAATCAATAGAAAGGCACTCTAAAATGGGAGGGCGATGGTTGCATATGTGCGCGAATTAATAGTAATAGGCATTCCGTAATTACACAAGTATTGGGATTACTTAGTGACCTTAACGTATACTGATATTATTCATGGTAGGTCGATAGACGGAAGATTGAGGAAATGCGATTCCCTGAGAAAATGACATTTAGTTTGCCACCAAGTGATGCGTCGTTCATGAACGTAAAGGCCGAGCTAATCGATGAAAGTGCAAATGAGATAATTTTGGAAACAGAGCAGTTGAAAGTCCCACTATCCCTGGTACGTATAACGATTTTTTTTCTTTTGTACCCAGGGCCGTTATTCGCGTCTACGTTTTCTATGGGAAAATGGCACTATCGCCTTGATGGTTGGAGAATAGGACCTAGAAAACCATGGGTCTTTGAAAATTTGGATCCGATTTCAGAAAATCGATTGAGCGTGCCTAAAATAATAATTGACATTTTTTCCCATGAGTTGTAACAAGGAGTTGGACGTCTGAAAGCCATTTGCTAATGATGATCACATTGTGGAGTGTTTCATGGTATCTCTCCTTCGCAGGAAGTATTTTCAGAACAAAGGGGAATCTGCAGAGAAGAGGAAGAAGTGTTTCTTTTCATAATGAACCTTTCTTTCTTTCTTTTTCTTATCTTTTTAGCTTCCACAGAGCGACACAAAGCCTCCAGTTGAAAACGAACTTGTTATTCTTGAACCAGCCGAGTCGAGTGTAGTAACTGAGGAACTTACGATCACGTGACAAAAAGAAAATGGTTTTCAACGACTTTCTAAATGTTGTGGTGTAATTTTATCCTTGGTTTAAATCAAGGTAAATGTGAATAAGGACACGGTGTTACCCTGCTTTATAATTAAACGAATTTTCCCGCTGTTTAAGTCAGCTGAGTAGAAATTGTTTTTTTTTTTTTTCCGTAATATCATGGATGACAAATTGCTCCTTAATTTTGGCGCGAAATTTCAGCGTCAATTTATAATTACCTACCGTACGTGTTAGTGCCAAGACGGCGGCAAAGTTTAGTAAAATATCGTGAATGAAGATATCAGGTTTAGAAGACCTAAACACACTAAAGAGCTTATCAAGAAGGATTCTATAAGAAGGTATTTTGTCGATAAATTGTGAAAATTTAATACGAACTTAATCTAAAATTTAAGCTATAAAGTGTTCATTGCGTTGAGTTCTCGCTAAATGATCAATTCGATGAACAATGATTGTGAGAGTAATTTGCCACCCATGATATAATTAGGTAATCAAATGGTCACTCGTCACCATTTACACGTACTTATTTGACGCGAAGTATAAATTTCAGTACGCTTATAAATGATTATCCTTGTCAGTAACACGTATGGATCCTACCGATTATAACCAAAAAGAGGGTGGTTTTACAAAAGAAAGAAAAGAAGAAACCCGGGAACCTTAATAAAGTGGAGGAAAAAAAAAGGAAGATAGAAAAGATTTAACAAAAGAAAAGATTAAGGAAAGGAAAGGAATAGAAATGAAAAATGTCACGGTGAATGTTGGGGTCAGTCTTTCTTCTTTCAGGTAAGAAAACATTGGAGTCTGTATTGTTGGTTTTCAGAAGACGTCACTAAAATTCAAACTAAAAAACTATTGATCCTACCGAGATTTTACTTTCACGGTGCATTAGAGCAGCTGAAAACTAATTTTCACACAAAGTTTCGCTTCAAAAAGGTTTCTTGGTTTTGTGATAGAGTAGGCTTGAATTTCTACGTTTTTGAGTGACGCGGCATTTACATGACGGCCGAGAGAGCTTTCATGTAGGTTAAAAAAAATGACTTATTTCAGAAAATTTTGCTATCTAAACAGTTCATGTATTAGAAAAAGAATTACTTTAATGTTTATGAGTTTCTCGAAGAATAAATTCACGCTTTTGTAGCAAAACTCGGTAACAGATGTTTCTGTTGGTTTCGGTCCGCCATGTTGGAGCTCATCCAGGTGAGCACCAGCATGGCGTCTCCATACAAATCTCCATAAGGGTAAAACATTCCTTCGGATATCTCGTATAGGAAATATTCCTCTGACCTGAAAGTTGGCGAGGGTCTTTGTATATATACCTCCTTTCATTTCCCAGATTCTGGACTTTATCTATTGAACGGTTTTGATTTTTATTTTGATCTATTGTGAATGGCGTGACACTGAAAACCAGCAATAGAGGGCCATCTTCTATTTGGTATCTAATACTAAATCTAATCTAAAATCTAAATCTAAATATTGTTATGTCGGCAAAATCGTTTGGGACATCACGCCAACTCTAAAATAATAATAAATAAAACTATACTACAATATACAAAACTATTAAAAACTATTAAAAAACTACTGATAAAAAGAAAACTAAATTAGTTTGCTTTTAAAAATACAGAGGGATTGGCTGGAAAAAGTTTCTTCTGGAAGTTTGTTCCATTCAGTTATTGTCCTGGGAAAAAAAGAAAATCTAAAAATATCTTTATGTCCTTTCGGTACAATAAATTTAAAATCATGGCTTCCCCGGGTTCTCCTTTCTTTGTTATCAAATAATCCCCCCAGTCCCCATCTAGGAGGCCGTGGCACATCTTGTATATAGTGGATAGCCTTGCTTGTCTTCTCATTGTTTCAAGTGTGTCCTACTGTAGGTCTTGCAGCATTTCCGTCACGCTCGTTGTTCGATCGTAATTTCCAGTGACAAAGCGGGCTGCTTTCCGCTGTACCCTTTCTAGAGCGGCTTTATCTTTCTGGTAATGTGGGTCCCATGCGCTACAGGCATACTGGAGTTTTGGCCTCACAAGTGTCATATACACGGTTTCTTTCACTGACTTTGGACAATTCCACAGATTTCGCTTGATAAGTCCCAAGACCTTATTTGCCCTAGATGTGATTGTTTCAATGTGTGGTGACCACCTCATTTTGTTATCGAGCACTACCCCCAGATAAGGGTAAGATTCCACTTCTTCTAGGATTTGTCCACAAAATACGTACTCCCGCTTTGGTGGATCTCTCCTGGTTGTAAAACACATGATCTTGCACTTTGAAGGATTAAATTCGATTAAGTTAAGCGAATTAAAAAGAAAAACGAACCAAAATTTTATGCTAATCAATCAGTATTTAGCATTATTAAAAGATGGTTATTAAGTCTTTCTTGGTTTGCTGTGTTAAAGCGATGGAGCAGTTCAATAATTGATTTGTTACTGGAAATTCCCTTCGGCTGCGTGGTATTAGAAGATAATTGACTTCTGTTTGATTTATATTATTAGCTGTTAATTATAACATGAAATTTCACCTATTGAGGTATTTCGATAAGAGATTGTAGAGTGGGTGTGTGGCGTCTAAGTTATTATCAGTTGTTACCGCTAAACTCTATGTATGTTTAAAAGCTTAACTTTATGTTGTAATTATTATCCTTTCATGACATCGCAGAAGGGGTCGTGGTGTTTTGGGCTTGGTTCGGACCCAGGTTTCCTATATTTTTTTCCCGCCTTTTTGAGGGTTTTTTGTTGGGTTTTTCCTAGCCTACGTGTAGCGGCACCCTCCCCCCGACAAAGGAAAAATGGAGAGAGGGGGAGAGGTACGACTACACGTAGGCTAGGTTTTTCCTGGCCTCCTAGTGTTCTTTGATAGACACGTATCCAAAACTACCATAATTTATTCATGATGTATTGTTTAATGTTTTGGGCCCATTATGGTTTTCCAATAAAGCTTATCGGCGTTACACCGCACGATTATCCAGAATGTTAGTTGTCTATTTTCATTTGTGTGGAAGCCTGTAAAGAAAGAGATACCACAGGCGGCCCAAACACACGTTACGAGGAAAGGGTGTAATGTAATTTACATACCATAGGTGACGCGCCGGTGTCGCGTTACAGGCGACCGTTGAAAATATAAGAGACTTTGTATGAGAAATATATTACTGAGATCTGCGAACGCTAAATAACGCTAAACCTTACTTTTCTTAAATGAAATGAATAAAAAAGACTTACCTGTAATGTATTCCACTGCGTTTTGGTGTCTGTTTGTCGTTGTACTTTATCTTGGCATTGATAGTGTTTCTCGTCGTCTGTTGCAATGGATTACAAGGATTGAAAATGGATTGAAACTTAGGCCAAGACAAGATAAGTACGTGACTGATCCAGATAATGAAAGTGACGAAGAAGGTGTCTTTAAAGTAGTTTACGGCAGGACATGCATGACCAGTTCGGGAAGATCAGTACGAGATCATCACTGGTGCCTCTGGATCTATGAGGCTGGTGTCATATTGATAGTTATACGACTTGGATCTAATTTGTACTTAAAAGATAGGGGTCTTAATTGCTATCGCGCTTACCCATTCTTGCAACTTCTCGGTTACATAATTATGTTCTTTTCCATATTTTCAGTTACTTATAAATTGTAGTAGTGGCGGAGTTTATGTGAATTTTAGTGATTGACGTGCTGAAGGAAAGAAAACTCGGGTTATGACAAAATAATATTTGCTGTAGGAATGTGAAAGTTAATAGCTAACAAAAAATTAGTAGTTGACTTATATTTGGTCGAAAAATTAGTAGATAACTGAGAATTGGGTACCCCCATTAGCACCGTCTTTTACCCCTCCGACGTACAAGGGGTGGGGTGGGGGTGGATGCTACCCTTCTCCCCCATTAGGTTTTTCTGAGTTTTTCCTAGAGGATAAAACATCAGCGCCTGACGTTTTCAGTAGCTGTTCGTTCATCCCTCGCGCAGATTTTGATATGAGTTTAGTAATGGTCAGTTGCTATGGTTACGAGATATGACGTCATAAGTAGCAGGTGCGCAAGCCAATTTTGGGTGAACATACATGTTTTTTCAACTTCTTTCAACCATGAAAGTAAATCTTGTGGCTAGAATCATACAAAGTGTTCATTTATGTGTTATTTTTCAAGTACAGTATGTTGCCCAGTATCCGGACACTTCAGTTTAACATTGCAATAACTTTCCTTTGTTAGTCGCAATAGCTCTGAAATTTGGCCCAGAGAAAATCTATTTAGTCCTTAATACGACGAAAGACGGTTGAACTTTTTTGCCTTTGTTTCCATCGCGAAATTAATACTTTTGCAGAGCTCCTATGTTGCCCAGTATCCGGACACAACAATAATAACGTAATTGCACATAAATTTCGACAGGCAAGCGATTTATTAGCTTCTCTTGCACTTGCAAAGTAGTCTGGCAATCGATTCCAAAAATATAACCTAGCATCGTGAAATAAAACATAACAAATGATTGGGGTATGGTAGGGAACGCGAGCGGTTGTTAAATGGCATAATTCTTACTTCCTTGTCTAGGAACTTTTTCACTGATTTAAGGAAGGCATCCGTGGACATGCCGAAGCCGCGATTTACTACCTCAATGAGCCAATCTGCAAACGTCTTTTTTCTTCTTTTTTTTTTCGTTCGGGGAAGGGACCTCAATGCGACGGTCAAAGGTCACTCTCCTATTTAGTCTGACCTGCAGTGTTGATTTCTTCATGCTCAGTCCCTACAGACCCTACAATAAGCCTGCTTTGCTAGCACTAATTCCTCTTTCTTTCACATCTCTCAATCCCTTTGTGACATTTTTCAGACCGTTGTAACCCCATTTTAGCAGTCACAACGAGGGAAAGTATGAGAATTCCAGGTTCAACTCCGACGCTTTCGGTTATACATAGAAAATGCAGTCACGCGAGACAAGCGGCGCACACGAAATCAATTCGCCTCCGAATGAGTGAAGAAAATTTCCGTACGGAGTTGAGTAGAATTACATTTTACGACTATATCATATATCCTAAGCTTTAATTATAGTTATAGATATGAAATAAATCTTATCCGGATAATGTACTCAGCTAATTCATCGATTCTGTACAGCAAAGAAAAAACTGTCCGGATACTGGGCACCTGACATCAATACTTAGTGTGTGTTTCTGGGCTCCGTTATTCCAAACAAATCGAATTTCAAGAAGAATTAATAAACTTACTGAGAACGTGACTTCTTTAAGTATCTTCACTGTAAATATAAAACCGTTTCTTTGAAAATATTACATGTTACCGACCCTTTTTTGAACAGCACTAATTTTACTGCGCAGCCAGCGTAAATATTTGCCATGAAATGTTTATTCACCT